TCAGGTTCTGATGCGGAAGACATTTGCAGTAAAATGCACACGAAGATTGAGAGAACATCAAGAGCCATTGTCTCTCTGATCAAACCAACATGCTAAACGAGACTCACTGTTTGAAACGAAATGCTGACATGAAATACAGGGCTATATGTCGCAATCAATCATGGAAGATAAACATAGAAACCTGGATCTCCCCGCGCACTGTTTCTGTATAGTATTGTTTGAAGCAATGAAATAAAGCAAACCAACACATTTAGACCGATGAAGTAAGTATTCACCCACTGTCGATGTTATGTTGTTTAAAGTACATAGTACATGCATTGCGCATATAAAGTTCTTTGAACTCTCATCCGTTCTTTCGATTATTCGTTTCAACTTGTTAATTCTAAACGGAAAGTCAACAAAGCGAAATCCGGCGCGCTCGTTAAAGTTATCAAGATTGACTTCCTGATTAATTGAGTGCGAAAAAAAATATGAAAACACCCAGAAAGGAGCACTTTCGAGAGAATGCGCCCAATTGGACTCGGTAATTGGATGACGTCAAAAAGTAGAATTTGAACATTTTACAACTACCTTTTTACCGTGATATTTTCGTGTTATTGCCACACGAAGGATTTTCGGAATGCAAATTTTGGTCCTCAAACATCGAGTCATTGGACCGCTTGAATGTTGTGCCCTTTATACGCATGTATCCATGCCTCAAACGTGCGCTAGGATCGTCAAGTAAGTCCGAATAGCGTGGGACCTGATATCGCAGCCTCGCCGGAAGCAAACAAACTTTGTTCCTAACATCTTTCTCGGTAAATGTTACATTATGCATTTTGCATGACCGATCGACCCAGTCCGTTGCGATATAGCAAACAATAGAAACACTACAGTTTAGAGATCTTCTGACGAAAGTACGAAGTGTATCTGTAAATAATGTACATTTATACATCGAAAGCTAAAATACGACCAAATAAAAGGAATCAACCATCACAATTAAGCTGCAACTGAAGTGAACATCTTAGAACTGCAGGCATCATTTTCACCCACGTCTCATTGGGGGAGGATGTCTTACGACAATACGACGACTTTTTAAGCCAGTTCATTGTTTCTTGTCTAATGGTGAAGTTTCTCACCAAGTTCTACTCAGCTTTATGTAGGAAGAAGAATGGAGGAACCCAAGCAGTTTCCCCGCCCATACCAGGCAAGGCAAAGATGTCTAGTTCTGGTTTACTGCCCACGGTCTTTTGTGACATTGCTCCTATTTGGTATCAGGTACGGATCACCACTCTCTCCTGGTCTATTGGCGACATTAGTCCTATTTGGTATCAGGTACGGATCACCACTCTCTCCTGCTGCGACGTTACTCCTATTTGGTCAGGCACGAATCCTGACTCTCTCCTGGTCTATTGGCGACGTTACTCCTATTTGGTATCAGGTACGGATCCTGACTCTCTCCTGGTCTACTGGCGACGTCACTCCTATTTGGTATCAGGTACGGATCCCCACTCTCTCCTGGTCTACTGGTGACATTACTCCTATTTGGTATCAGGTACGGATCCCCACTCTCCCCTGGTCTACTGGCGACGTCACTCCTATTTGGTATCAGGTACGGATCCCCACTCTCTCCTGCTCTACTGCCGACATTACTCATATTTGGTATCAGGTACGGATCCCCACTCTCCCCTGGTCTACTGGCGACGTCACTCCTATTTGGTATCAGGTACGGATCCCCACTCTCTCCTGGTCTACTGGTGACATTACTCCTATTTGGTATCAGGTACGGATCCCCACTCTCTCCTGGTCCACTGGTGACGTTACTCCGTTTTGGTATCAGGTACGAATCCTGACTCTCTTTTGGTCCACTGGTGACGTTACTCTGATTTGGTATCAGGTACGGATCCCCACTCTCTCCCTGGTTGCTTTGTGGGGTCACATTCTGTCCTGTTCTCATCTCGCCACTAATTGTTTTAAATGAACACTGGTGTCTGGCAGGTCTGTCACTTTGAGGTTCCCCTTGTTCTACCATAGACACTGTTTGTTCCAGATCTTGGGGAGGAATTTCAGAGTACTGGTGCCCCTTTTGTTCTGTTTGAGTGGCTCCTGATTTGATGGTGTAAAAGTACACGGGAGATCCTGTTTTACGAGATGGGATAGAGGATGATGGTCGAAGCGCAGGGAAACCATCGGGTCTTGGCTGAGCGTGAGGCTTTCTGATCTTGAGTAGGTAGACGGCGATGGCAACAATAGCTACAAGGATAAGAAAGGCGAGGATGCCACCAATAATTGGCCACAGTGCTATTGTCTGTGGAACCAAACATATCTGGTGCCAAGGACTTGACTCTTCACAGAATGTGGCAAATGTGACCTCACATCTTACTTGGCTTGCGTTGTCAGAGGCCAGGAGTGGAGAGATGACCAGTCGATTTACAAGAGTCTCGAATCTGTCCCTGGTGTTGATGATTATAGTCTGGTTGTCTGCTCCCTTCAAGTGCCACGTAAACGTTGGTGAATGTGGCTGAGGGTCAAGTTCACAACGAATCTCTCCTTCACCACCCACAACCAATACTTCACTTTGAGTTCTTACTCTGGGCGCTTGACACATGGATTGATCAGGCACTGTTAGTGATATAGTTCCAGAGGAGTAGAAACCTACGCGACTTAATACCAAGCAGTAGTACTCCCCACTGTCAGCTGATGTTACATTGTTTATTTCCAGCTTGTAGATCGTTCCATTTTCAGTGCTATTCAGATACACTGAATACTTCTCGACATTATCAGTTGTATTAAAGCAATTGGTCAGTGTTGTACTTTCATTGCTAACTACACCCTGCCTTGCCCAGGAAATTGTATCATGTTCCGCACAATTAAGGTCACAGTTGGTTTGACACGTCAATGTCGCAGTTCCACCCTCATGAACAGTCTGCATAGGTGGTTTCAGGCTGAAAGTCACTGATTCTGATGAGGAAGAGACTTGCAGTAAAATGTACAGACAGAGAGGAATCCTCACGGCCATTTTGCCAGCCATTGTGTCAGCGATAGATGATCATACCTATGATGAGAACTTAGACTCACTGAACATCGTGGGTCCTTTTTACAAGAACTTCCAACGCATGTTGCTGCCGCATCAATTACAACCTGAGAAAATGCCATGCAAGAACCCTGGATGTGCCATGTAATGGTCGATCTGTCCTACGGTAAACTAAAGTCCTGTATGTAGTTTTGTTTTAAGACATCTGTCTAAAGATAGCAAAGTGAGAGAAATCTATACTAGTGATGATTTGTGCGTACCTGTGAAGCTATGGCGGCCTGTACAACAAAAGGATGACAATAAGGTCGTTAAATTGTGTGACACTGTCTTGTTTTCATTACACCTTACCAGTTCACCGTTTCGGAATTATTCGTTTCATTTTGGTCAACAAGCGTGAATTGCGGTTTTAAAAGTATGCTGCCTGCGTGCTTTCACATTTATTATGAGCGAGCACGCATTAGTTCATGCGCGCATTGAACTTCAAATTATCTTACTGTTAATTTTTTTTGGCAAATAGATACTGAAAACAGAAGAGGAAAAGATAAATGTCAATATTCCGTTACAAGTAACTGACGTGAACACCTCTGGAGGTAGACTCCTCCGCTGCATCCATGTTCTGTAAGTCACATGTCTCATGGCGTTGTGAACTCTGAACTCTTTCACAGTTAATTTTCCAGGTGACGGTGCATGACGTTAAACCAGGAGCGTTCAGGATCTGGATTCTCTCGACGAACCGAGACGCTCATTATTGGGCGACGTTGCTCCTAATCAGGAAAGGATCCTCACTGTCTCCTGGTATGAATGGGGCCACATTCTGTCCTCTCAACTCACCAGTTTCAAGGGAAGACGTTTATATATTGTATTTCTTTGAAGACCTCCTGCTTCTACCACAGAGGCCCTTTGCCGCTCTACGTGGGCCGAGAGTACACCCAGCACGATATGGGACGGAGGGGTACCCCCCCCCCCAATCTCCCTATACCTACAATGACCAACACAAAGGAGGGGGCCAGGGTCCCTCTGTCCCATATCGTGCTACACATGGGTGAGAGGAATCCGTTTGAGGTGAAGTAAACGTACACAGCAGAAACTCTCATAAAAAAAAATTGGGGGGGGGGCGGGGGGGGGGGGGTTGAAACAACTCCCCAAATGACACTCCCTCCATAAAAGGGGGGGGGGGGAGGGAGAAAACGGGAGGAGTACCCACGCATAATGATCAACGCTCGATCGCCTCATCCGCGCTGAAACTTGAAAGGTTACCGGGCACCCGGTCAGTCTACAACCCAAAAAGTCGGGGGGGGGGGGGAGCGCTGCTCAAAGCGGATGACCATGACTTTTTGTGCAACATAGGAGTCCCTTTTCGTGGCGGCACAAGTTGCCGACGTCACGTTCAAGCATGGTTTGACTGAGCAACATTAAAAAAAGGGCACTCGTGAAAAAGGGAAATCGACACTCATGAAAAAAGGGCGCTCTTGACAAAAAAAATTTCACTCCATGGGAAAAGGCCGAACTCGTTTTTACACCGCTGGCGACGCCTCACAGTATTTGTGACCTCGCATCTCCATGTGACTTTTGTTGTCTGATGCCACGAGCGGAGAGCTTAAGTGATCAGTCGATTTGCAAAATTGGTTCGATTAGGGGCCTACAGTGGCATTTACTAGTCTGGTTGCCTGATGTGCCATAACGGCCGCGGATGCCTGAGTAGTCAAAGGATCGAGATTGTCTCCTTTGAACATCGATACAACTAGTTTTTTGTACTGAAAAATAGATAGTTTAGTGTTAGAGTTCAAATTTTTATGTAATTTATTCAAACGGAGGCAAATATGTGACTACAATATGCAGCAGCAAACCACCCCACCAGCCATTGCTATGCCCCGCCCCATAAAAAGGCAATGATAATATTATGCCATGTACCTTGACTTCTGAAACAGCGACTTTCACGTTGTGTATATCTAGGATCCTGACTATTGTTATGTTACGTTCAATATTCATGACAACATTATTCTCCTGGCACAAGCGTTTTGGAGCTTTGATACGTCAGTGGATCTAGTGTTATTGAATGTATGAAGGTTGTATATCGGTATTTATTGGACAAGAGGGGCACGATGTAAAGCATTTATGTGGACTCAGTAAAAGAATGGTAAATTTGCCGCATCATTCTTAAAAGACAGGCATGACATTGACAGGTAGCTTAGCATAAATGGGAAATTCGCCATCTAACATTACTTGGCGAATTTGCCATGTCATGTCATGTGCCTAAATAGAGCTAGATTTTCCAAGATAGAAAAGATACTTAGAATAGTTTCTTTGTTAGGCCCATGTGATGGGCAATATGGAAAGTTTCAGTGAAACATTCTCAAAATTTCCTCAGAAAGTACGACAGCTACTCAAGCTGAGGAATTCACCACTGAGTTTAGGATATACCAAAACCAAAAAATGTAAATTTTCCACATGTTTTTCCATCAGTGGCAGTGTGGGTCAGTATTACGTACTATAGTATGTGTCCAATTATGGGGCTTATCCATCACATGAATCATTATTAGGAACTAGACGATGTGTTCTGCGTAAAGGGGGTATTGGTTCATATGATTTGCTACTAGCCCCATAAATCATGTGTCTCAAATACTGGACTTCCTCCGTATCGTGAGCTGCACACCATTGAAAGCTAGTGCTACAAAAAGTAAAAAACCCCGAAAGCTTGTGTTTCCTGAATTTGAAATCTTTATTGTTTTTTAGTTGATATTCATGGAAGCTACTTACCTGGTTAATAACAAGGAAAACTTAGTAAGTATAAATTTACATTAAATTTTCCTCTGCAGGTATTTGATGGTGTTCTGGTGTTGCCAACTGTGGACGAGAAGAATCCTGATGTTTAACAGAAACGTGAGATGCCGCATCTCTAAAATCACCTTTACTGATACTGATAGCAACTGAATTTGTGATGGTGCGACATAGCCCGCCACGCAGAGACACTGTGTCTAACTCACCTATGCATCAGGCAGCTTTTGACGGTGACTTGAAGACACTTCAAAAGCTTCTCCTCATCGCAGACAACAAGAAGAACATCAACCTCAAGAACCACCTGGGATGCACCCCGCTGCGGCTGGCTGCGACGGCCGGCAGCCGGCCCCGCGTGGAACTCCTTATCGCCCACGGTGCAGATGTCAACTTAACAGACATCAAAGGTCAGACACCGCTGTTTGTCGCAGTCAAGAACAACCACCCTGGGTGTGTGAGGGCGCTGGTGTCTCATGGAGCCCATCCTGACGGAAGCCCAAACTGCCTCAGTAGTCCGCTCTTCATCGCGGCAATGCAGGGCCACTTTGAGTGCTTGCAGTTGCTCATCGAGGCAGGGGCGGACGTCAACTGCTTCTTGACCGCGGTTCCTCACATCGTCATGATATACACCCCCTTACACATCAGCTTCACCTACAGGCACAAGGATTGCTTTCAAGCGCTCCTCATCGCCGGCGCCAATCCCGATTGCGGACTGACAAAGAAGTACTTGGAAGCCAGGCCATCCTTACTAGACGCAGCCATGGAATGGGGGGATGTTTACTTCATCGAGTTACTGGTAGAGTTTGGTGGGTCGATGACAAATCACAACAAACGGTGGAAGGAGAGGGTTTCTGGTGATCACATGACAGAGAAGGAACAGGAGGTGCAGGCTTACTTAAGTGAGTTGAGTCCTTCAACCGTAACTCCCTAAGCTCTCGTGCCCGGAAGAAGCCTGAATCCTCCAATATCCTCCACTTTCTGTCGCTGGAGGCCTCTGCCTGGATCCTTCGTAATCCTCCCACGGGTTTTCTGGCATGTTATCACATAATCAAATTTCAATGCTCTTATGAGTCCATTAGCCTGTGCAGCTTATTGAAATTTGTCATCCTGAATTGTGGATTGGCAATGCCAAGGCCCTACAGAGTTGGAGTAAAGAGGGTGTACAATAAACAGTGGTATGCTGGATGCCTGCTTAAGTAAACATGCATAAAGCAAGTAACAGCCTGAATCCTCCAAAATTATTTTTTTTTTTGGGGGGGGGGCAAAACCAGCCAGAGATTCAATCCTCCAATTACATCCAACTTCAGTTGGGGCCGACTAATCTGGATCCTCTGTTATCCTCCGGAGGCAAAATCCTTTTACGCCCTCAAATCCTTCAAAATTTCCAGCGTTTCGATTTTCAAATGCCCTCAATCCTTCAAAATCCTCTATTTTAGATTTTGGAGGAATTGGGAAGGATAGGGTCAAGAAAACAATGACCAGATGTCTTCTGTACATTGCCCCTTATGACATGGGCAAACAAAATTGATTCCTTAATCCCCAAAGTGCATGCATTATTTACAAGGTGAAAATCAAAACTTCAGTTTGTACCACTACTGTCAGTATTTGTGGACATGTTAAAATTTTGATGCCATTTTGTTTTTGTTTGTTCTTTCTGATCAGGTGTGCCTCGCAGTCTTCAGTCATTGTGCCGTCTGACAGTACGCAAGAGTCTGGGTGTGAAGAGACTTGCATCAGTCCCTGCACTACCACTGCCAACCTATCTCAAGAAATACTTGCAATACTCCGTGTGAAAATGCACTCTGTGGACTTCATGCATGAACAAGAGAGGGCGCTGTGTCACCTAGCAACAATATCCTGTGGGAAAGCTATTGTATCACCTGCCACATCCAAAACGAGTCACTGAATTTAGTGACTTTAGTCGAGTCGAGTCATTTTAGGGCAGTCACTCGAGTCGAGTCGAGTCATTAGGTCAAGAAGGGCAAGTCGACTCCCAGTTTTTGATTTGATCTGATTTGATTTATTTATTTCGAGTCGAGTTGAGCCGGGTCACATTTGTGCTTGAGTCAATTCGAGTCACTCATGTTTGAACACCATACACAGTGAAAGAAGGAACACAAGGCACCAGCCCATAATGCAGATCCAAAAGACTTAAAATATGTTGCATGGTACCCAATACACAGCTTCTGCTCGACATTTCTACCAAAGTTCTACCTTACAGTTATTGAGAAGCGAAAGTTCGGTTTTATCTGTGGTTTGGCTTCAGGGCTGGATCTAGTTTTTTACGCCGACAATGTCAAACCCAAATTGCAACATACGATATTGTTTCTAATTATATAAAAAAATATCTCAATTTTTGTTAAAGCTTTTTAAAGTTTTTTTTTAGCCGGAGTTCCATCAAGGGCTTAAGAAATCTTCCCATAAAGCTGATGTTGAAACAACTGGGAAATGTGTTTAAAGTCTGGTACTGCAGGAAAGTAGTTTTTGCACAACATTATAATACCACGTTGTGGGAGTCCGTGATCAGGTGTAAATTTGTTCGTGATAAGCAGCAACAAGTTGGCGGCAAATATATTTTGGCACAGTTTTGGGACTCGAGTGCTATTAGCCTTCGACTTGAGTCAAGTCTTCGGATGAGTGACTCGAGTCGAGTCAAGTCATTTGCTCGCAGTGACTCGAGTTGAGTCACTTACCCATTTTAACTCAAATCGAGTCACCGAAAATTGTGACTCGAGTCCAGTACTCTGCATCCAAGGGCGTTCTAGACTGCTAATTCTTCCCACAAACTTTTGTAAAGAAAACACAGAATTTGCAGAGCCTTCTGGGTCGTGTACCCCATTATGATCAATTCACACAAAACATTGTGTTGTGCATAAAACTGCACATGAGGAAGTAAAAGAATTAATCTCAAAGTCAAAGATAGAAGACAGTGCCCATGCATATAGGGCTGCAGTGTGAACAAGATAAGTGCGAGGCAGACAAAATGCTTCCTGTTATCAATAAGACTTTGAGCAATTTTGGGCCAGGAACAAGTCTAGAGAGTTGGGTTTTATGCTGTAGATTACGGTACTTTGTTGCATACCTTTGGATTGTCGACACCTGGCCCATCCACTTGCACATGGCAGGCAATTGGCACCAACATGATCCTTCACGCCTCTTTTTTTTTTTTCACGATGAGGCCCAGAGTCCATCGACAAGTATCAATCTTTGTCAACTTTTCACACTTTGTTAAAAAGTTGTTTACCACAAGCGAGGGCGCTCCTGATCAGAACAGGTTTTTTGGAATATAAAATTTAAAGTGGTTCTCAGTCCCTCCATCATCGATTTCGACTTCAAAAGTAGGGACCGGTGTCATATGAAAATGGACTCGTATGAAAATCAGACTCTTTTCCCCTTTTATTGGTTAAACCCTCTCACGTGACCGGTCCCTCTCCTAATTATCTATGCATGCGCATGTGCAGTACCATCAATGAGTCCATATTTCATAAAACCTAAATTTGTGCTACACCGGTACTGCCCTGTGGAATTAATGCTAATTAGTAATTAGCATATCTGTATTCCCACAATGCAATGAGGCATGCATACTCTCTCGGTCTGTTATGTAATATGGAAAGGGGTAGGGACCGTTGAATCATTCTGACCTCCTAGTTTCAAGTATTTTTTCCAGAGATTTTAATGCCGGGTGTTGGCAGAGGCGATCATGCACATTGTTTACATTTTTAGCAGGCACACATGGCCTGAAATTTGGACGTCTTCATTTTTACTGCAACTAGCATATGGCATGCAAAGGGTGCAGTAATTCGAACTGCTCCAGTCATACAATAGTCTGGTACCATCCCATTCAACAGTTTACAATTTATAAAATAGATTCAGGGAACATGATTGAAAATGGCACCTTGTGAATGTGGTCGGTTTACTATACTGTAGCAGAATACCCAATAATTTGTATATAATTCACACGTTGAGACATTACAAACTTTGTTTTCAAATTGTCATTTCTACAAATTTATGCACTTGTTAAAAACAGATTTAAACTTTATTTATTCATTCAACTTTAAGGAGTTAAATAGTATGCAATATTTTATGCTCATAACCTGAACTGTCCTTTGGAGTGAAAGTAATTAAAATCTGTGAAAAAAAATCCTGATTGGTTGTATTATTTACTTGGTAAAATCAATCGAATCCCTTTGCAGAAAAAAATCTGATTAATTTAAATCCATTCATTTCGGTGAAAACAATCTATTCAAAGTTAACTGTGGTTGGGCTTGTGACCCGGCTCATGACCTGATTTCCAAAAGAAATGAAAGGAGAACTCATCTTTTTCAATTTCAGAATTTCTATATTTGCACTGGCAATTTATTTCCATAAATGCACTTCATAAAGTCTGAAACAAGATAATTACATTATATACAACCATCAACTACAGACGATGCTAGTTTAACTATCATTTCCTCTCAAAATAATATAACCACAAGAATATTTTTTTCTACTTTACCATGATGATTTTTGATTTAATGGAGACTTGAAATGAACTTAATATTCTAAGAAACATGTTATTACAATAATGCATACAGAAGTTCTGCTTGCAAGTTTCTTGGTGAAACTCGTCGCATACTTGAAGGAATCGTGTCATTCCAATTTATTTGTTTAGAAATCCGATAAGCAAAGCAACTAACATTCCATTTTAAGATCAGAATGCAAAAGACGGTATCGCTCAAAGCTACCAAAGGATTACAATAAAAACATGACTTCTTTGCTAATCAAGACCAAAACTTTTTTATTAAAGAGACAAATTTCAGGATTCTACAAAAAAAAAGTGCCAGACAGATAGGTTTCCATTACAAATTGCTATACACTGCTTAGTCTTTTCACAACACAAGCATTCAGAGTTGAACGTTTGTTAAGCACAAATTCATTATTTTTTTGTAGCAAGCTTTATTGAGAAAAATAGTACATTTGTAGAGAACACAAAATTGGGGTTAACTAATTTATGAATTATTTTCAATCATAGAATTGAGCAGAAAGTCACCTTTTCTTGTAGTACGCAACACTTCAGTGCCGCAAGCTCAATTGGAAACGGTGGACTTTTGACCACCCCAGAATGGTATTTTGAAAGTATTTGAAAGTATTGCATGTTTGGGGCACACATCAATGGAGAGATGATTGGAGGTCACAATCCTTATGTGTGAATTTTCATTTTTATGTTTTTTTTTATCACCAAAAAAAACAAACCCCGCAGCTCGTGAGTTTACAGAAAAAGAAACTGGATAAAAAACATTTTTAAAAGTATTTTTTTTTTTAAAAACCGTTCATCAAAAGTATCCCCAAAATGGCCACTGTATGCAGGTCAGGAAAAAGTTGACAACTTAGAATTTAACTATGATATTTCTTGACATTTGAACTGCAAAATTTGTGCAAGTGATGCACGTCTTTACCCACACTAATTACACTACGTCACAACAATGAAAAAAGACGAACTTATTTATGGCTATTTTTGAAAGGAAAGGCGTGCACTGTGGTATTAAACTATACATTTACCCTTTGGGGGGGGGGGGGAAGAGAGGTGGAGAGAACTGATTATAAAAAATCACTACATGCTAAGCAAAATTGCAACAATCATAAAATAAGCAGAAGTTAAAAATGTGCACTTTTTTTGGCACCATATTATTTGTAAATACATGTTACTGTACCCCTACTTTTGAGGCATCACATTAGCCTGACCTTCAACACATCACCTCTTCATTTTTTTTTTACGTATTGCAACTCATTTGAAATAAATATACATAATAAATGTACAAATTATCCTTAAATTAATATGTGGTGTGTGGCACATTAAACACGAGGCCCCTCTATACACTGAATAAAATAATTTACTAAAAAGTTCTAATGCATGCATGGATAGTATCACCATGTCACACTCAATTAATCAGCAACTATAATTGTGCAGCTTTCAGAAATATTTTTTGTTTGCGTATGACTGGTCTTTTATCAATTGAAATAAAAACTTTAGACAAGTTTGGAAATGGAGTCTTTTTTCCACTTTCAAATCAAATCATGTGTTCAACGTAAATTTTTCCGACAAATGCTTCTTAACTTCTCAATGATAATTATCACTTTGACAAACAGTCCTTACTAAAATGTACAAAGCATTTTCGTCAATTTGTGTTGGGTAACCAACTACTAAATAATAAAAAAAAACACATGCCAGTTTACAATCTTTAGGGGAATAAAGGTGGCCCAGCACGCCTCTCTAAAACTACATACTCGAAGACCTTGGGCCAATTTTACAGAGCTACAATAACACAATATTTCTACCTTAAAGCAAAGACAGAGACCAACCAACATTTCAGGGGTTGTGCATAGCTGCTGTGATAGATTTCATTTGCTTGACGAAACATCTAGCATTTGCTTGGGAGTTCTGTGAAACTGGAACCTGTTGCTGAATTAATACTAACATTATCCAGACTACCATGAAAGTATTTGGCTACTCCTCTCATGCAGAACCAGGCGATGGGGAAGGACCTCCAGGTCCCCTGTCACTTGGCTTGAAGATGGGCTTCCCAAGTAAGGATGCTGCAGCATTTGTAGGTGGTCTTAGACCAGGAGCTGCAGCAAACATCATAGGCCTCATGCCAGGCCTCATACCTGGAACTTGGACCATCCTGGGAAGTGAGAATCTCTGTGGCATGGCAACTCCACCAGGAGTGGGTCTTCCCTGAGGCACAGCTATCCCCCCGGGTACAGCTATAGACCCTGGCACAGCCATGCCCCCAGGAACTACCATGCCTCTTGGAAGGGCCATTCTTGGGACTCCGGGGACTTGGGCTGCTGCTGGGATGACAGCCCCAGGTTGGCCCATCCTGGCACCTGGAAGAGCAAAAGCACCTGGCATAGAAACACCTGCTGGCAAAGCTATACGAGGACCTCCTACCATCCCCGGAGCCATCCCAGGTGGTAATGTTACACGAACAGCTCCGGGAGGTAAGCCAGGCATGGCAACCGATGTAGCAGCCTGTGGAACTGACGGGTGAGCTAGACGGAGCATACTCTGAAGGGGTACTCCAGGAGGTAAATGTGTACCAAACATTGCAGGAATGCCGCCAGGATGTCCAGGCTGTGCATGGACTGGGGACATCACAGGTACTGGAGAAGGAACCTGCATAGGGGAAGGTATCCGCATGGCATTCACAGGCAAGCCAGGGGGCGAGATGGCAATGGGTACTGGACTCATCATCCGCATCGGACTTGGGTTAGGGCCTGGGCTGGCTATCTGCACGAGTGAAGGGCTGGGTGCTTGGACTAGTAAAGGACTGGTGGGTGACAGTGAAGGCTGTGGGGTTGAGGAAGATACAGGTTGAGGACTTGGTGAAGAGGAATGCTGTTCGGAGACACCAAGAGTCTGGGGAGGAGTGTGTAGCATTCGGTGAGCTTGGGGAGGAGTGTGTAGCATTCGGTGAGCTTGGGGAGAAGTGTGTAGCACTTGGTGAGCTTGGGGAGGAGTGTGTAGCATTTGATGAGCTTGGGGTGAAGGTGTACGGACGTGATGCATGCGGACTGGGAAACCAGCTGGAACCATCATGGGACTTGCAGCCTGAGTACCTGGAACTGGGATACGAATATGATGTATAGGGAAAGGGACCCCGGCTGGACTTGGCAGCCGCTGTACTCCCAGCATTGCTTCAGCCTCTGAAACCAAAACTGGGGGTTGACCTGGGACTACTTTCACAAATTGTCTGGGAGGTAACATCTGACCTGGTGCCAACTGGGGGCTTGAGGCTAGAACTTGACCTGGTAGCAATCCTGGACGATGTGCCAACATTGCTCCTGGTGTTAAGGCAGGTCCTGGTGTAGGTCCAGGCGTAAACATTGGTGCAGGAGTCACGGCTGGACCAGGGGTCAGGGATGGACCAGGGGACACTGATGGAGAAGGGCTTATGGTTGGTCCAGCTGCCAAAACTTCACCTGTCTCTCGAACCAACAGTTGTGGCTGACTGGGATGGCGAGGAATTTCTTGCCCTGGAGATGGTAGGCTGACTGGCTGAGGCTGACCTGGTGCGGCAAGGATAACTTGGCCTGAACGAGGAGGTAAAACTTGTACAGGACGTGCCACAAGAACTTGACCAGTGCGAGCATCTACAAGCTGACCTGGACGGGGACCAACCACTGGACCAGGTTGACGAATTAAAACTTGACCAGTGCGAGCATCTACAAGCTGACCTGGACGGGGACCAACCACTGGACCAGGTTGACGAATTAAAACTTGACCAGTACGAGCATCTACAACCTGAGCAGGGTGTTGTGCAATGACTGGCCCAGGGGGACGGGCAACAACTTGGCCAGTGCGAGCATCTATCAGCTGACCGGGGCGCGGACTTATTACTGGAGTAGGAGGGCGGACCAAAACTTGGCCAGTACGAGTGTCAACCAACTGACCAGGAATTAGACCAGGACGTGCAGCTAAAACAGTACCAGGAGGACGTACAATCATTTGACCAGGATGAGATGGGAGTAACTGTATCCGACCAGCTGCCAGGTTCGGATCATGTGCCAACACTTGACCTTGTTGGATTGCTTGGAGCGGCACTGTTTCGTTGCCTTGGATAACCTGAGGAGTTCCTTGGAGTCCTGGGTGAGCGGCTTGAAGGCCCAGACTAGGATCTACATACTGCTCAGCATGTTGGCCGTCAACTTCTCCTTGGGTTATGGGCATCATATGCATCCCATGGGTAAGTTGCTGTTCCTCAGCCTGACCTTGGTGGCTTCCTTGTTGCATAGGGACCTGTCCCTGGGACTGCATCATCTGTTGCTGTACGTGAAGCCTTGCCTGCTCTTGGAGCTCGCGGTATTTCTCCATTTCCTCTGGAGGTATGGACATGTCTTTGGTTTGGGATGGTGGTGAGGGGGATTTTCTGTCTGCTTTGCTACTGGACTCATCTTTCTTTTGTGAAGATTTAACTACTGCCTCATTCCCACTCTGGTTCTTTCCTTCTTGTTTTGTTGTCTTCATGATCTTAGGAGCTGGTACAGAGGGAACTTTAAACACACTCCCTAACTTTCCATTTGGACTGTCTTTTTCTTCATCATCACTTGCTGTACCCTCTTCACCTTTGATCTTCACAACAGCAGAATCCTGGCTTTTTCCAGTTACAGCAGTGGATGTTTTTACAGGTTTGGGAGCAACAGAAGACATACTCTCTATCACAAGTCCTCCACCCTTCGTCAATTGTGTCTGGTCTTCCAGGTTTGCTAAATTTTGCAAAAGGTCTGAAATCTTCTCCTTTGACTTGGTGCTGATTCCTGAAGTTGGTTTATCAGTCTTCAGACTAGGTTCAGAGGCAATACTCTCTTTTAAAGCTTTACGCACCCTTTCTTTTAGATTCGAGCAGCCTGTTGAGATCTTCCCACCTATTGACTCATCAAGTTTTCTTCCTTTCATCGCAGTGTCATCCTTGCGCTTGTCAAGTATTGCAGGCCTGGTACTGGGTCTACTTGAAAGAGGTGACCTTCGATAAAGAGGTGATCGACTTCTTGATCGAGAATATCTGGTAGAGGTCCTGTAGTCCGAATGCCTTCTGGGAGAATTTGACCGTGATCTTGAGCGGGACCAAGATCTCGATCGACTATGTCTGCTTCGAGAATGGCGCCTTGACCTTTCATAATCTGAATCGCTGTCACTGTCTCGATGTCTGCTATGACTGCGTCTCCTATGGGACTTCCTAGAAGAACGATCATCATCACTGTAAGATCTGGAGCGACTACGAGACCTACGACTAGAATCCCGTCTTTCCGATTTCCTACGTCTTTCGTGATCAGACTCCTGTGAGTCATCACTGTAGTCACGAGATCGCTTCCTACGTCTGCTACGCCGGTCGTAATCATCATCAGAACTGTAGTCACTTGCAGAATGCTTCCTATGTCTACGTTTGTGCTTCCTATTAGAGGTACCTGATTTATCTTCTTCGTCATTAGACTTTCTTGGAGAATGCGAACGATCATAATTATGTGAGCTTTTAGATCGATGTCGCTTCTTCCTCCCATCATCTGAGCGGTCAGAGCTTCGAGAGTGACCTGATCTGTTGGAACGCCTCCTCTTTCTCCTCCGCTTCTTTCGTTTCTTGGCATGCCTCCGATCAGATGAATCTTTGGGATTTTCAGTGAGATCTTTGACAGGTTGGCTATTATCAACTTCTGAAATTTTGCCACCCAGAGAGGGGTTTGGATCCTGGTTGCTTTGCTCCACCTTACTTCCAGGCGCTGCTGTCGATTTGTCCACTTTGTCCCCAGAGTCAGTGCTGTTTTTGTTTACAAGCTTTCTAAACTCAAAATGCAAGGGATTTACACTAAATGATATCACAGGTTCTGTCTGAGTGTAGCATATCATCTCCATTGGCCAGGGTAAAGTTGTTACGTCATCTTGTCCTCGAACTGCAAGGTAACCCTCATCAACCTTTTCTAAAACAGGAAAAATAGGTGGCTTACTATCCGCCTGAGATGAAGTAGCCTCGTGAGAAGCAGTGCTTTCTTGGCTTGGCTTTAAGGAACGGTCCTCTTCCTTATTTGTATTCTCTTCATCATTGCCACAACCACCGACACATACTCCATCCATTTTCTTCTCGTTTGTATCAACCGTTTCCTCTGTGCCTGGCTCCTTTTTTACAACGCAAGTTACTTCAGGTGCTTCAACAGAATTTGTTTTAGTCACCCCATTGCCTTCTTTTGCTGTTGATGACGCTAGAGTTTTTGATGTCGTTGTGTTTTCACTTGGACTTTGCTTTTGTGGAGTAGCAGCAGCAGGTTGGCTGTCCTTTGTTTGACATGATGGGTTATGGGATTTAGTTCTTTGGGGTTTGGGAGTGGCATCACTAAGGCTGGCATGATCCTTCAGTTCATTCTTAGCATCAGTCTCTGCCTCTGTGGAATTGCTTACTTCATTGCATGGTTTATTGCTGTTAGATTTCACTTTTTTGTTGGCTGCCTTTTCATCGGGCTTCTTTGGGATGCTGGGTCCGTTTTGTGAAGGACACTCACCCGTTTTATATTTGGTAACCTTTGCATTTGCCTTTGTAGCCTTTGTCTCAGTTTTAGCTGTCTCCGTTTGCTCTGAAATCTTTTCCGCTTTGATGAAGGCTACATGATTCACCTTTCCACTTGCATTGGACGAACCTGGTTGGTCTGCACCAAACGAGCGGTTTATCTTCACTTTTTTGGATTTTCTGGTGCTCTTTGCTGGACAATCGTCTAGCAATGTAGACTCAGCTGTGCTCTCAGAGTCATTCCCTTGAGTAGCATTTGTCTGATCACCTTCAAAGACCGATGTTGTCGCTATCCTCGTCAGAGTTTTCTTGGAGAAGCTGAACGAGAAGTTGTTCTGCTTGTTGGCGTTATCAAGCTCCTCCTGCCGACTGGGCGACAGCTTCTTCTCCTGAGCGAAGGCCATGAGACGCTTCCGAGCGAGTGACTTCCCCCGCGTCTCCCTCTCCTGTGGGCCAGACTGCTTCTTGTCAGCTGTCACTTGTGGTTTGTTGTGTGAAGTATCTTCCGTCTCTGTCCTGGAGTTGCCATCTCCCTGACCCTCTATGCCTGGTTTGGGGTCGTAGATGTTAGGTGGCGGCACACTGTTCCATCCCCCTCCTGACTCGCAAGAAGCTGGCTTGCCTTCCCCTTTCCCCTTCTTTGCCATCTTGTGACCTCCGTTGCTGGCACTGAAAAACAAACCAAAAGATTTTTGGCATTTTTAGAGCAGTTGAAGCATTCTGATGTTAAGTTCAGTTTAGCATCTCTGTGCACAAACGGCAAGACAACATTATACAAACTCATGTAAAGATTGGTTACTCTTGGGACAACATTGTTTAATCATGGGACAATCAGACCAAAACAAAAGTATCTTCCAGATGGTGCACTTTAAATCGGAACTCCAATTAATGACAGATTCTGTGTCCAATTGTTCAGTAAGGAATTTGAGTTTGAATTTATTTCACTTGAAGACGAAATTGTACAAGGAGTTTATTCAGATTGCTTAATCAAAAAATCAGATAACAATAATATTTGCCAAGTCTTGTGGGTAGTTTTGATTTAGCATCACAGCTAATAAACAAGAATCACTAGCATCCAGTCGGCAATCCTCTATTTGTACCTTTTGTCAACTGGCTGAGCTCTCAGCTGGGCCATCTCGTGTAGCTTTTTCAACTCCTTCTGCCGTTTCTTCTCTTCTTTCTTCATCTTTGAGCCAACGGTTCGGCCGAACTCGCGTGCCTTCAAGTCCTTCAAGCGCTGCAGTGCACATTTTGTGAAAAAGAAAAACCAAATCAATTTGGTACAGTTTTGATGAGGTTTGAACATTGTAGACCTGTATATGTGAAGGTGTAGCTTGTACCAGCTTGTGATGGTGGTCGTGCGAGTTGATGTGATTCTCATATATGTACCTATTTGTGACTGTGGATTTATAACTTGAACTGATTTTTATACCAGCTTCTGATGGTGGTCGTGTGAGTTGGTGTGATTCTCATACGTGTACCTACATTGTATTTGAGACTGTGGATATATGATTTGAAGTGATTCTCCTACCTGCTTGTGATGATGGTCATATGAGTTGATGTGATTCTCATACTCTGTGTGCTTCTTGTACTGCTTGTTGCAGAGTTCACAGTAGTAGCTGGCCTTCATCTCTGACAAGGCATCATCCTTGGCTTTCTCCTTCTCTGCGTTCTCCTAGAAAAACACATATGCAATCCATTAACATGTACCATCTCCGAGTCCGATGTTGAAAAATCATTTTAGTAATTCTGGACAAGTACTAAATCTTATTCATGAAATTTTTAAGCTGAAATACACATCAAATAGCAGAGATGCACTTAGAAACCATGACAAAGAATGTCCGTCTTTTTTTAGTAGATACACAGTAATCTCACTTTGTATTTTTGACGGAGTTCTTCCGTGTCCTCTTTCTCCACCTCCATCTTGCGTCGGTGTCCAGTGACCTCCTCCGCCTGCTCCAACTGTGGCAAGAAAATAGAAAAGGACTTCTGATTAGTGCCTCTCGAAGACGGACGCTGGCAAATTTGGAGACTGTTCACAAATACAGTGCTGGAAAGCTCAGTTGGTTGAGAGCCAGTCCAGTGGTCTACAGGTCACAGGTTCAAATTCCAGTCTAGTCCATTTAAAATTAAAATAAGAGTAGGCTTGCCATATTGAGCTGGACTTGAAAGTTTGGCAGCTAGTCAACTAGTCAGGCTGTATCCAAATTACTTGGCCAAGGCTTGAAATTACACGCGGGTCTATGGGAAGTGGCTGCAGACACTTCACATAGACTTCTGTGTAATTTGCAAGCTGTAGCCAAGTAATTTGGACACCGTCTCAGTCTCAGCTGGACATCTTTGGATGGTAGGTCTAAATTGGACGCTTTCATCCGTCTTGTGTACCAAGGGCAAGTACTGTGCAGTTTAAGGCCGTTTCGGACATTGATTATACTCGGTGACTCAGTCAGTCCGTGACTCGGAGGACAGTAGGCCGAGTAATTAACAAAGCAGAAACTGAGTAAATCACACAAAAATCTCACCTCCATCTCCATGCGTCCCATACCCAAGCCATCGGACTTGATGATGATGGGCAGCGGCTCGGTTAAACCTGGGAAAGGAAAGAGCAAGCAGCAAACCAAAGACGGATAAAAGTCAGCTTGAATCTCACTCCCCTCTGGAACGAGGGTCAATCATGCCAAATAAAACCAACAAGCCGATACGACTCCAAACCCCCCAAACCTAGTTGCTGTTTGGGGTTCAGCTATAACACTTCTGTTAGGAATGGCGTGAAAAAAGTTGCCGCTCCTACTAAATTTTAAGAGGGAGGGAATATGAAATTGTACAATCTGAGACCCGTGGTAATGAGTGGTAGATTTTTTTAAAAATCGGTTTTAGTAAAGCAACGCAAACTTCTCCATTGATTAGGAAAGTACCTACATGCTGTATTGTCAGTACAGCAAAACTGTATCCACCTTTTTTAAGGGGTCTGCAGTTTGACAGACAAGTTCAGTTCAAAGCCACAACTTTTATTACAAAATATTCAAGATGCGAGATCCAGCTCTCTTTTCCTCATCGCCGTTACTGAAGCCGTTTCGAATACAGGTCATGGTACAATATTGCTGCACTGAACAACATTACAATACAAATAAAGAAAAAGAAACCCAATTACACTTTGTTTTTTTTTGTGGACAAATCCGGGAATCTTTGTATAAAAGGCAACACATTTGCCAGGTATGGTCACACATCAAGACACTGGATTTTAAAGACATGGAAGGACTATTCATAAGATGGAATTTGCTTTGGGGTGATGTTAATCAATATTAGGTTTAGCTCTTCACCGACGTATAAACACTGTATACTCAGTATAATCACTGTTTATGTACATCAGATTCGAACCAGCCAACCGATCCCACAAGCTCGGTGATCGAGTGGTAAGACACTGCACTAGAAAGCAGGAGGTCATGGGTTCGAGTCCCACCCGAGTGATTTTTTTCCAAATTTCATTTGGAAGGTAACACACTGAGTATACAGTGTTTATACGTCGGTGAAGGGCAAAACCTAATATTGAGTGACATTGAAGGATTTGAATGCTTTTGCCACTTGACGAACTGGCCCAATCATATCCCACAAAACATGATTTTACAAACTCTTTTTGCAACTTGGCTGAAGTAAATGAAGTAGTGATCATGAAGATGACATGGAAACGTGTTTAATACACGTCTGCACGGTGAATTCCTTACATGCTTCACAGGATATGATTGTAAGTGCTTCAATACATTGTACAGCTCTCCAAAGGAGAAACACAAGGGTGCATGAGAAATCTCAAAGTCATGTATCTCACCAATAACCTTTGGTGATCATTAGTTATTCCATAATTAACATTCCTTTTTATGTGTAATCATTTTTGAATTTCTTACTCCTTGTAAGAGCTGTCTAATGCAACACTCAGTACAGATAGATCAGGGATGTCTTCAAGTCATATTTGGCTTTTGTGACAAAAGATCTCTAATGTGTGAGGAAAAAAAGACATTTGGTTTCAAAAATGTACAACTGCATTTTTTAGTTTGTGTAATTTGGAGAATTTGTTATGGCGTTGAGAAAGACCAAATGTATGGGACTTGAACAAATCGCAGATCTTATAACCTTGGGAACTTAGAATGCATCGTTTTGAACATTTGCTGCAATGGTCACAATGATTATTGCTATAACTGGTTCTCCAATGTGTTACACATTCATTATCAAAAACTGGTTCAAAATCAAAATCTCTTCCCCGACGTTCCATAAGGAAAACGCCATTTACGCCATGCGTTTTTGTCACTTTAATAAGGGATTTTAGAAATTTTCAAAGCACTTGAGAACCAGTACCAAAGCAAAATGCAGCCATCACAAATGCATTCCAAGTTTGTTTCCCCCAAAAGGAGCCTTTGCAGCCCATCAAATGGCAAACAGTTGTTATCCAGTGTCTTGAATAAACTAAAAACCATTTTGAAACCCCCTGAAAAAAAAAAATCGGAAAGTTGTACCAATGATGCTTAACGCATTGCAACCTTAGAAAATGATTTTAATAAAGACACCCAGTTATTAAAACACAAAATAACACCACGTACGACATAACCAAACTACTGGGGAAAAAAATTCAAGCACAAAGGGAGATACATGAATGAAAAATAACATCAGTCCATCCGGCTCCCTTATGAAAATGTTCACACTTGACTGGAACCTGGAAACTACGTGTTCACCACTTTTTTTAATTAAAGTTTGATTACACTGAAATGTTAAAAAGAGTGCAGAAATTCAGACAAGGCAAGTAAGCATTTAAAATGACGGTATGTGTGCTGTTTACCGTGAGTCTAGGTCTCGGAGCGAGAATGGTCGCTGTGGAGTATAAGGGAGAGAAGTCAGGTGAATCAATCAGACAGACTTTTTTTGGGGGGGGGGTTAAAATTGCTTGCGTGGGTTTTAGCTTTCTGACTGCCTATTCATGCAATTCGCTAAGCTGACTAGGAGGCGTTTGCAAATAAATGGTGTTCCTGTTATTTTACCCAGTAGTGTACCTACATGTATCAGCACGGCGTTGACAGGAACTGTAGCGGGACTTGGAATGTTTAGTGGCGTCTTCGCACTGAAATCGTTTATTTTCTTTTGGCAGCTGCGGAGGGTTTCAGCACTTAGTTATGTGATATGTGGAATGATCATCTTCTTTTCAGGCGGTGATATAAGTCAGATTGTCTAGGCGAGTAAAATTTCAATTGTTTGCTTGTGTGTTTGGGGGAGGGCGGGTGTTGCTCTTTGAAGATATGGGCCTTTTGTAAATCTGTGCTGTCATTTCGTTAAGGGATCTTCTGTTGAGAATCGATAGTGGGGTGCTGAAACGGTTTCAATTTACCAGATAGTGGATCGTTGATAGGTATGAACATTCAGTGTTCAGTTACAGTGTCTTCAGACAAGTTTGGATACACGACCATCACGGCAGCTGACATTGTTCAAAAGCCACATACATAAGCCAGAGTTTATCTATTGCTTCTTCCCCTAAGGAATGTGTAAATTCATATGCTTACATGGGATTCCTAATTTTGATGCATTTCTTGGCAAGAACCTAAAAAATGCTACTTGAGTGTTAGTTTAAAGTGCATGACTACTGTTTGCATGTGTGCAATGGTACTCCACTATTGACATGTATGTCTGCCAAAATGGGTTCATGTCAATCTGCTAAAAAATGCTGATAACTTTGTTTTAATAAAAAAATATAACCCCTATTTCTATTTCACTGTGAAATATATGAATCCAAGTGAGTACAATAAAAAACAGAGACAGAAAGTCGTAACGTCTCTCCTTCCTGCCGGTGCTCCTGTGTTAAAAATCTACTTACCGCAGTATTAAAGTTGACGTTACATGCCGTCAAAACTAAAACGGCAGGACATATTCACATGTATGTTAAATGCTCAACTGATCCAGTGGAAAATTGTTAAAATTTGATGCGCCATTTGCGCAAAATGTGCATGTACAAGTGCAGTGTGAACGCAAACCAAAGTTACTCATTCAACCAATGATAAATGTTGTACATTTCTACGTTCTGAACATTTGACATTAATGTGAATACATCCTGCCCACATCAGTTACCGAGCAGGCAGCCTAAGTCCCAGCCACATACTGTACATTACACAGATGGTTTTATCGAGAATATCCGAACAGCAAACAAGCGAGTGGATCACGGTGTCATTTTCAAACAAGCACCATCACATTTGCCGTGCAGTTTTTTTTTAAACAAAGAGCATGTCAGAACAGACAAGTTATAGAATAGAGGTTTGTTTTAAACTCCACATGGGGGTAAGAATTAAAAAATGGACTGGCAAAATACCACAGATGGTGAAATAAATGGTCTGATTTTGAGGCAAGGCTGCGTGTTGGCGTCTCCCTCAGATAAACTTGTCTTTAAATTGGTGAGTTTATGACAGAGCTACATGTACATGACAGAGATGTTTAAAGTGGAGACGAAACTGGTACGAACGGTAAAACAAAAGAAGGAAAAGGAATAGAGAGTTGCAAGCGGACAGATTGAAAGACATCACACACTCAACCGACATGGACTTGGTGTTTAATCTGGTGTCAATTTGAGAAGCAGAGTAACTTTGGATTGGTGTTATGGGGCAAAGGTTGACAAAACAAGCATTTTTGGGGTCTTTTCTCACTATAATGATTTGGAAACGTGGAGACAGTACAGCATTGGCCTTAAGGTTAAGGGCTGCACTCTATTTCCCCCAAACACCAAAAGGCCTTTTCACACTAGAGCCTCTCAACCCGGGTTGAACTCAACCCTGGGTGAACTCGGTGACGCCCTGGGTTGAGTTTTTGATTTTTCAACCCCGCGTTTAACCCCACATCGTTTCACACTTGTTTCATGCAAACCAACTTTATTTCGCTCGGTTACTACTGTTTTGAACCCTGGCGAGAATTTTAACCAGGGTTACAAATCTCAACCCTGGTCTGAGTTCAACCCGGGGCGAAATCAATCTCAGGCTTGTCGCAGGGTTGGCGCAGGGATGAAAATGTTCAAGTGAGAAACGCTGCATGTGTTCAACCCTGCGTCATCCCCGCGTCAACCCCGTGATTTGTCTAGTGTGAAAAGGCTTAAGTTACCCCACCAGGTAGATTGACTCTGATCACTGTGTTAAGGTGCCATGTATGTATGAGCGTGAACTGTTAAAAAATCTAAGAGATAGTTCAATCCACTACTTGATACCGATGGACCGCATTCCCTTTGAAGGTCTACAATATCATAATAAAACTGTCGTATTTATGGGATAAAATCATATAAAAAAAGGTCAGAGCACAACAAAAGAACACAAAGAAGCATCCACACCTTGAAAAAACAAAGACGCTATATATGTATAAATGTTTTGTTGGTTTAATTATAAAGATGTGATTTCAGAAGCAGAAGGACTATGGGTTAGTGGATGTCTGCCAAGAATTATTTGAGGGGAAAAAAATAAATAATAAACAAGCCAGGAGAATGAAATCAACAAAATGAGGAAATCTTGAGGAATTTGGCACACAAGGTGAAAACTACCTTGGCAGTTTACAATCTTCATATCAAGGAATTGGATGTCAATGTCTCATGCATGATAGGATGGCATTTGCTGTCTAACTCGTTACAAAAAAGAAAAAAAAAACATGGCAAAAATTTCCCTTCGAAAGGTTTACATACAAAGCACTGCTAAGGATTTTACATGTTGTACATGTAGGCTCTGAGCTTAACAATTATCTTAAGCAAAATAGCCACAAACAAGAACGAAAAATACATTGTTCTTTGAGCCGTATTCCTCTGTACCATAGTTTTGGTATGAAAAATAGGATTTTTGTCTTGAGACAAAATTTTCATTTTTTTTTCAACATAGTAGTTATTGCAATACGAATCACAATTAAGATCTCAATTTGGCTCAAACTTTTTGGGTGAGTAATAAAAATATGCTGCAACAGACTTTCTCATTCATATTACAATTACTGAAATATCATGTGTGAATTTAGACTTCTTTGGATCTGTTCGGTATTTAAAAGATGAACATGTTTCCGAACAGATTCACAGCTACTGTAGCAATTGGCCTTTCCCTGGATTACCATAGCAGCTGTTTTGCACCTTGTATTTTCGCTGCAGATGTGGCCACACATCCATTCTAATGATTGATTGTCAATTTAGAATCAATTTCGCAGACAAAGTAGCAACTAGCTGAAAGGTCTCATTAGCATAAAGCAAAATAGCAGCTGCACTTTCTTCCATTCACACTAGCATGATTGTGATGCACAGGGTATGTGCAGTGGATTTCGAACGAACTGATTGGAAACGCTGCAAGTTGCAATCAGTATAGTAAAATCGGAAGTTTTGCCATGTTTTTTTTCTCAATCTCTAAAAAACACAAATGAATCAAGACTTGATGTATTTAGGGCACTGCAAACTGCTCCTGCGCATTTAAAGCCCCTAACCATGCACTGACAATAGGGGGCGCTATAACCTAGCAACAGTGAGCAATCTGCAGTGCCAAATACGGGGTATGTACATGTGTAAAAATCAATTATTATCAATTAGTTGACCTCAAATCAGCATAACAGGTTTTTTTTCCAATCAATGCAACCATATCAAAAACTGTTAAGAATCAGTTAATCTACATAGCAACAAGCATTATCAAGCAGCAAAAAAGAGTGCAAGATTGACTAAAAAAATAACTGAGACTCTAAAAGAGCTTCACTGAATCGGAACCGAAAAGTACTGAACACAAGAAGTACTCCCAAGTTGAACCAAAACGCTATCCCGGCCCCCTGTCACCTTAACAAATGCCACTTGCAAAAAAAAAAAAAAAAAAAAAAAAGGAAAAAAAAACCACACAAGTATAAAAACAGCATCTATATGGTTCAGACTTGTGATCACTACGCACTCATGCCTTGCTCTGAACTAGTGAAAAAAAACATACCAGTCCCAACTTGTTTTTCCTTCAAATAAAATGCACCCAAACTCTTCCCTCTTTTTTTTAGGTGAAATTTATTTTAAAACTTGTTAAACACAAGAAAAGGACAAAAAGCAGTAAAATGGATTCTTCCAATAAAAAAAAAACACACCCTTGTTTTTCAACTCCGGGGAAAAGTGTACTGAAACATTTAAAAATGTTACATGTTTACAAAGTGCAATGGTAAAGGACTTGTCGGAAATGTTACCTCATCCTGTACGAGCATATTGTGATGATTGCATCGTCTGAAAGTCAAAAGTGTTGTCAGCCAACCGTTAATTGGAAGAAAGCAAACCACAAAATAACAAAAAAAAACTTGGGACGAACAAATAGACAGACCGAACGGATGGACAAACGGTTACCATTCATACGCCATGCAAAACGGCACAGACATACGGTAGTATGGTCTACATGTATACACGTTCATGCTGGCAAACGCCCAAATTCACCACACATTCACACATACCGTGGATCAAATCAACCAGTTGCACTAGGTACCTAACGCAATGACAACGACCGTATTTTATTGCGTAATTCGCTCACGGCATTTCATGATCAAGTTTACGAGTTAAGCAAATAACACTGGAAAAGGAAAGTGTGTAAACTAGTTTCTATTTAGTCAATATCCTATTTTTAAATTGTGCCACATTTCAAAAACATTTCCAAGTCACCGACTGACACTGTTTACATACACATTTACAATTTGCATTCTTTGTTCAACTATCACAAGACATCAATACTGATTTATTACTGATTATTTTACTAATTTCATTTCCCCAAGCTTAGATAAAATCCTAAATGTACAAAAAAAAAAATGCATGAAAAAAATTCAGAAAAAGAAACAAGAAAATGTGAACTGACAACAATCGCCACTATTCATGCAAAAACTTGCGACGGCATCAACAACCAAACCAAACTGAGGCATGTGACTCTCAGCTAGTTAAACTCTCATAGAACAAAGAAACGAAACCCATGTGGTGAAAATTGAAGGTTACATTCTCCGAAAAAAAAGTCTGAGAAATGTTTTGAAGGTATTTGATGGTAAGACAGATTCCCTTTAACAAAAAAAAAAGTACCTGAAGGAAAGTGGATCTATCAAGCTGGCATGACGTTACTGTGGGCAATACAAGAAAATGCAGAAACAAAAAAAAACAACATGTCGTCAAGGATTCGAAGACGTCCACATAACTGGCTTAATTTGTAAGGCTAGTTTGGCTATCGCTGTTAGTTAAAGCATGCATGTTTTTGATTGAGAAAGGAAAAACTAAACGACTGTGCTTTGACAAACAAGAGGCTAATGGCCAGCTGAGTGAACCATTTATTACACAAGGGATGGTTAATTAGTTTGGGGTGTTAGTGAGCGGACAAGACAAGGATGAAAGCTACGGTTGTGAAGTGGAAAGGCAGGCAAGGAATAGATGGTTTGACAACGCTACAGTGATTATGCGGAGACAGACAATGCATACTTAGACAGTATGGTTTCAAATGCTACGGTTGTCGCAAGGGGGTGACTGTATGTGTACATTTTCATGACAAAACTTTGTCCACATACCGGTACTGAGAAAATTTTCAGGGCCATTTGTCCAGCAATTTGTCTGCTCATACATGTATCCTAGTTTACTAGTCTATAGTGGAGACGTTTCTTTACTTTAAAACAATTAGAAGTGCTTGTTAAGTGTTGATAAACAACAGAGATGGAGGATATTTTGATTAGGCGGATTAGTCATGAAAGTTGTGATGACTATTCGATGGCTGAACGAGGCACTAAGAATTGTCGGATTTCATGGACCCCCAAATTCTGGTTAGCTCTAATCTGATTCTAACATCTGAATTCCCAGAGCAACTATACAAGTACATGTACCTTTAACTCATCTTCATTCTTTTTTTAAATATTTCCTCTTTTTATTAAAGAAAATGGCCTAAAATTTTCTGGAGTACGGTTCATAAAAAGATGAATTGACTGAAGAATATATACAGACGGTTAGTTACATTGAAACTTTGCGTTTGCTGGGGGGTTCATGGTGGAATCAAAAGATGAGTGGTTTTTAAGAAAGGTTCAGGTATAGAATTTTTTTATCAAATGTTCCTAATGGCTCAGCAAGTGTGAATGGGATTACAGAAATCAACAAAACATACAGACAGGATTGTTAATCTAAAAACAAATTTGTCAATTAAATTCTACGTAGATGTACATGTACGTGGCAGCCCTGTGATTTTTGTCAGACAAGTTATCTAAAGTGTACATTGTATTATAAAAGTAATATCCAACATTTGCTTTTGCTGTAATTTTCAGAAATCGATGGATTTGGGGATTAGTATCTTATAGTCTGGTTCCCCGACCCTACTTCAGATGAAATGGAGCAAATTTATAGACGTCGGCCAATTGTCAGGTCAGGAAACTAGACTAGCTGGCTTGCACCAGTTCAAGGATGTGTAACCAGATTGCAAACAAAATGTGGACTAAGTAAGTTTGGTAAACTGAGGGCAGTATTTGAAAAAAGTCAGTTTTTTTTCCAATGACTGTCGGCCGACCATCGTTGGAAATTAAAACATAAATTCCACTTTTCTTGAAAATGACAGCCCACCAGGTGCCATGATTTGACAGGATGCTTGAGAATATTACTCATGTACAGCCAAGTAAGGTATTTCATTATAATGTGGTAGTTTTGTTTTTTGATGTTTGCAAATGTTTTATATTACCTTTAAGTTACAAGATGTCAAATTTGTGGGATTACAGCGTTGTTACGATGAGGTTGACAGCAAAAGTGAACAAAAACAGCAACGAACCAACAGACTGTTTCAGTATTCTAGACAGATAGATGCGACAGACAGACAGAAACTTGAAAGATGCTTGTGGAAACTTGTAAAAGTTTAAGATGGACTAAAGTGAGGAAACACGGCAACAGGACAAACATACCGAAAGATGGATAAACGTGGATGAATGAGTGGACGCTTTTGAAAAGAAAAAAACAAAACAAATCATGCGTCATGCAAGGCAGCCAGATGATGGAAAGGGAAAAAGTGAAGGGTTAGGACCAACGGATGGGTTAATAATACGATACGAAGCTCATCCAAGCAAAATGTTATAAATATCCATTAAAATGACCACGTTATGATCATCGTAAACACAAACAGAAACAAAACAAGTGGCATACGTGAAAGTCAAGAGACCAAATTAATTCTTATCTCTGGCCATGATCTGGAGGCAGTGCTGGGCCTGAAAGAGAAATGAGGACACTTTGCCGTTAGAATAACGAGTGGTTGTCTGTCTCTCTATCTCATTATATGGACTAGGAGATGGTTTTTCAATGCATCCATGCAAAGCCTAATGAAACAAATCTGGAAAGAGGACAAAGGATTTTTTACGAAATGAAGGGGCAAGTTCAGGTGCAAAACTAATGGTGAGGTGGCGACTTGCATTGAACTGTGTGTATGTAGAACACTAATATGACATTTGTACATGCTTGAAACAAGCCTATGGGCTCCGTGCACAAGTACCCCCTCAACTGTATGAAAGGGAGAGTTAGGGGAGACCACATTGAGAGACACTCAAATGCATCGCCGATGATGCCTGACGCTCACGCGAAGACGCTTTGGCTTTGTGCACGATCAAAGTCGTGCGTACTTCGCACCAGTCCACAGGGCTCTCGTAAGTGGTAAAAAAAAACACCCTCTCTTGTTGGTGCACGGAGCCCATAATACGTGTCGGTGCTTCACTGGTCATCAACAGCCTGGTTTCATGTTAAACTGGGGCAGCTTATGGCAGGGAACCATGTGTCATGCCACAAGTGGGTCTTTCTCCAACTGAAAGCATCTTTGTGCAATCATAGTGACTTAACTCCAAAACCACCAAGCTTCCCACTGTACGTTTTATGTCAACAGCTTTCGAACCTGCCCCCATCGGATCCAAAACCCCCTCAACTTTTTATTTCCTCATGTTTCTCCCTCGGTGGAAATGTTCATTGGCTTCACTTCTATAAACCTACACCAAAGAGTGTGTGATCTCTACTGTGTATTTTTTTTTCAGGTTCTATCCTTGTGATGGGTTATAAAACAACACAAAGCATTACAAATGCAAGCCACCTCATGCAACGTGTACACAATTCCAAAGGAACATCTGCAGAAAATATGTCATTCACCATCTATGTCTAGTTTGGGATATTAACACCTCAACAGTGAGTTTCTCAAGGAAGTGGGTTAAACAAATTTACTACGATGTGATTGTTACGAGCATGAATAAAAATCATTCCACGATTATTGGAGAAAAATAACTTGATAGACAGAAGCAGCTTTGCGAAGTTAATACAGCAGTTGGTTTCACAGCACAGCAGTAAATGTACGTCATTTTCATTCGTTAACACCTCGTATTTTTTTTTTTTAATTTTCAGTAAATATAACAGCAGAGTGCGAGGTAGTAACTTTTCATAGTGTACCAATTATAACTATTATTTAACTATTTTAGGAAAACTTTAATGCCATTTTCAGCCATTAGGATATCCAATACAAGAATTAGATGAGTAGGTATGCAATGATTCACTATCAGAGAAAAAAAGTTAACAAGTTAGCAGTGGTTCTACATGTACTTGTAGCGTCAACATTTGAAGTGTGCCCATGAATGACGATTACTAATCCCTGAACATGTTTCAGTTTAATCTACACTCCACCAAGTAAACCCCCAAAACAGGTTATTCAATCAAGCAATATCGCTGATTGGAAGCCGGAGATTAGCAAATGGCACGGAGTGGAGATGAACAAGATATGAAACCTTAAGGGGGGGGGGGGGGAAATTGGCTGGGAGTGCTGATAAGGCCGCAAGATGCCCGGAAGAAATTGACCGAGACGTGTCAGTGATTGGGACTATAAGGTGATGATTGCAGTACGTACTTGTGCATGTTCAACAGAGATGCAAACCAGCACTCCTACCGCAGTGGAAAACAAGACAAGTAGCAGCATACATTGTAGTTATTCAGAAAAAAAGAAAGAGGACAGATCCCAAATGGAATGCACATCGACATAAAATGAATCAGACAGAAACATGAGAACAGGCATCAAATAATAGTAAGATCAATTTTTATTCAGCTTATGGTGATGTACATGTACATGTATATTATCAGGAACAGCTGACTTTTTGACATCAAATTTTTAATGCAATTTTTTATTGCTTTTTTATTAGATTGCTCTATAGTCTTAAATTTAACTCTGAAGTTAACCCTAACGTTCCTCAATCCTCCAAAATCCTCCAGGTGGTTTTGGAGGATTTAGGCTGAATGGCAAAATAGTGTCGTTACTTTGGAGGATGCATTGTGTCGAGTTCGTAGGCTGTACCCTGCATTGTTCATGTTCAGCCATGCATATTTGAGCCCTGCATTATGCTCGATATCATCCTTACTGCTTCTGAATGTCATAGACTCTGCCTCAACCCATTAACGGTAACTGTTGGAGGATTTTGAAGGATTGAGGCATATCACCCCTCCACTGAACAAATTCAAGAAATAACGGATGATTTTGGAGGATTGAGGCTGAATCCAATTTTTACATGGCGGCAATTGGAGGATTTTGCAGGATTGAGAATGGTTCCTAGCCAAAAGGCCCTGGGGGGTTAGAGTTAATGTATCAAAATGGAATGCCTGAGGGCCTTTAAAAGCCAAAATATTAAAGACTTTTCTTCCCGAATTACAAACATGAAAATGTGCACTGAACTCTAGACTTCTGCAAGGCCATGGCAATGTGTGCATGTGTTCAGGATTGACAAGCTTTAATTCTGGCACTGGCACTGAGTTACCGGTAATTGGGTGATTAAAAAAAGAAAAGAAGATTGATGGGGGTTCACAGTAGAATTTGGAAATGCACTAATAACAAACAAAGTGATGGATTTCTAAATTGGCAACTTCTTTTTTGGAATTTCAATCGTGAGGACACCAGATGTGAAAGGGTGATGAGAAAGAACGAAGGGTGGTGGGGATGGGGGGGGGGGGGGGGGGGGGGGGGGGGGGGGGGGGGGGGGGGGGGGGGGGAGAGAGAGAGATGAAGATGCGTGATTAAATCATTCCTGAGCTTCAATCCTGTCAGCTGTGCTCGGTTTAATTAAGGATAGCCCAGGGACATGATGAAGGAGATGTGCGAATTGATGGAAATTTCATCAGCTTGGTGCAGAGGGTTAGACTAATGAGACAGAGGCACATGGGGCACACAGGTAACATGACTTGGTGAGTAAGGAATGACGAAGGGTAGGGACGCACACTGTGAGCCAGCGGAAGGGTTTAGGATGGGAGATGCTTCTAATCCAAGGGATAAGCTTCAGGGAAACTTGGGTGATTAATTCAAGAATTGAGTACAATTGTTACATTCATTTAGGCCAAGTTGACTGGATCTGGTTTCTCTCTTTCTGCAAGACACACAAAAATACAATTTTACAGATTACAACCACGCAGTGGACTTGTGATTACACGACAAGTGCGAGGATGCCCTACGAGCAAGCTTAAAAAATTATGTGGCACTGTTAATAGATGCACCCTAACCACGCGAAGCCAGTGATACAAACAAGTTGGTGTTGATTTATGTTATGCCAGTGAAAACAAGCGAATCTACTACAAAACAGAGAGATTTGATCAGTGTTTTATTTCTAAACTGGAGTGTAAGCGGTGTTAGCAGACCATAGCTTTTCTTAAGAAGCTTTATGAGGATTATCCAAAGAGGAACTGAAATAAATAAATAAACACCTAAAGAGTCAAGATTTTTTTCATAACATCTGATTTTTTTCAGCATTTGAGAAGCAATGTTTTAGCAGCCATGCAAATGTTTAAGTATATTATGTGCGCATAAATTAAAGACCTTTCCCCACACTTCCATATGTAAATTTATTTTGAAACAGAAACATCCATCACGGGTTAAAACAGAAGGGATTTGAAGATAGTCATATAAAGCTTTAAAGAGCAGCAGAAATTATGTAAAAAACTGAGTTTAACCCCAAAAATTCTGAAATAAAGACAGAGTAGCTTTACAGTACGTGTATGGTGATCAGCAGTTGGTTAGTTGTTAATAAGCCTGAGGAGTCCAAAATCTGATGATTGCAATATTGCCTACGCAGCAACGAGATAAGTACTTAACGGACGGAAACCTGCCTCAATCCTGCAGGGTAATCAGTCACTTTAGAATAGAATGATTGAAGGAAAAACAGGTGTACAACGTGCAAAAGCATACCAGCCATGATGCCATACAACATGATAGTGTTCATATGCGAGGGGGGAAAAAAAAGCATGGCATGCAAATACGAAAATAAGACGAAAGCCAGAAATCTGATTTGTTAATTTTGATTAAAACCCTTCTCACAAAAACAAAACCATAAATCTACAGAAATTCAAAATTAATGTTCCACTACAGCGGCCCTGAGTGAAGATTACAGATACTGACACACACACACACACATGATTGAAACGTGCATTTTGGTCAAGATCTACTTTTATACTAGATTGATGTGGTTATTTTTTTTTACGTTGCTGGGTGAAGTTACCAAGACGATATTCTGCCGCAGATGTACAATTTAATCATCCATCTACTTCAATATCTTCGCTACTCAGAAGGTTGCTACTGCAACATGCACAAATGCAACCTGTGCAAGATTTCCCATTGCGGTGCGCATTCATTCAAAGGTACACACATGTAGTACCATTTGTTTTTTGAGCTTTTTTTTTAGTTTGACGGAACAAATTGCTCAAAATCTCTAAAAAAGGGTGCATAACAACTAACTTGTTGAAGTTTCAGCTCAGCGGATACTAAACATTTTGAGAAAATAGAGGAAAAAATATGCACAATTTTTGGAGTATTGTAAAGATTTCGCGGCTAGCGCACACAACAAACTGTGCCCGTGGGCCCACTTTCTTAAACCACCTTCATTGATTGTTTTCTCCCGAATGAAACCATTTCAGGCGGAATAATTCCACAGGTTATTCACTTTGAGGAAGGATTTTCTCCTTAAATCAGACCTGTGCGTTTCCGGCAAATGTTCCCATGTGCCTTTAAATTGTGTAGACTACTTTAGAATTATAGTTTTGTTGTACTTCAACATGGTGGATTATGATATGGAACTGGGATTTCTGTTGTCAAACGAGGAACGCTGTTTTAAAAATTTGAATTAAAATTGCCGGCACGAAAAAAAGAGGAATAAGAAACCCCTCCTCATTTCTATTTCAAACAATTCTCCAAACTTTAGAAAATGTCTATGGCAAGATTTCTTTTTGTAAATACATCCTCCTGTGCATTCATGTTGAATATATTGCCTCAGTAAGAATGCTCTTCATTAACTGCGTATTTTTGTGGCACTGTACATACGGATATTTCCAAATGTAAATTAATTAGAAGGCACACAAAAGCATTCCGCATGTCCAGGGAAAACAGGACCATGTTTGAGGTCAATTAAGACAAACACGTCGGATCATTGAAAGCATGCATGAATGACAAGGCATCAAATTTTGTAGGCCCCCCCCCCCAAGTCATCGTCCCCAAATGACTAAATCCACAGAAAAAAATCTTATAAAAAAGGTTAAAAGTTCATTTCTTTAACCTTTTCTAGATTCACGAAAGATCAGTAACTACAAACACGCATTTTGTTTAAATGGCCAAAGCAAGTGCAACGACAATAATTGCAGATCTGAGACACCCTCGACATTGTTAGTACAGAAACATGAAGCATTCTCTCAGAATCAAATAATTTTTTTTTAGTAAATCCTGCTAAAACAAAACAAGGAAAAAAATGAACACAAAACCAAAAACATGCCTCAACAGTCACACTAAAAAAAACCAAGCACTGAAAGACATAACAATCCAACCGAAAAAAACAATGATGTGATTGTGAAATGCCTAAACTGTGAGTGATAAAATTAAGTACTACTTGAGGAATTAATGCCGGGGATCGGGTAAAAGAAATGGGAAAGCAAAAAAAGATGGGCATGTTACACATTAAAAAAAAAAAAAATAGAGGCGGTTTGTTGTTTTTTAATATGTTGGCATAGGTTTTGTTGGTTTAACCTTTAGGCCTAGAGTTCTAACCCTCTGGGCTGGGGAAGAATCGAAGCACGTACAGCTAGCTGAAACGGAAAAAATAAAAACGAAAGAAACACACAACTGGGGTTTAAACTTTCTCAGGTGGATGATTACGATAGACAGTCAACTACTGTTAGGTCGGTCCAGAGCCCTGTCGTTTGTTTCATCTACTCTGTCGACTTCTCTTAAGAGTAAGACCATACATTGTACGTGTACTGGTACATGTATGTCAGTAGGTGAAGTTAAATATTAAGATACATGTAGGATCCACGCTTCCATCGTACTTACACAATCAAGACAAAAAGGTGGATGGTGCACACTGATTTCCAATCAAGGAAATGTTGCCATGTCAAAAAAAAAAAATAATAAAAAAAAAAAAAAAAATCACCCCCCCCCTCCCCAAAAAGATCCTTCAAACTCCCACCAGGATGTTTGGAGGGTTTTGTAGGATTAGGGAAGCCCAGCCACTATTTTACATGGGAATTGACGTCCTTTTGACTGTTTTAGTAAAAGATTGGTCATTCGTTTCATGCACAGTGGAGGGTTTTGGAGAATTCAGGAGGTGGCAAAAATGCCTGATTGTACATGTAGGGTTACATAATTTTGCATACATAACTTAAACCATTCAAAATGAAATCTGAATCAGTTTCATAATCATAAATGTAAATAAAAACCTGGAAAAAATCTTTAAAATATAGAGAGGAACAAACTCTACGCAATATCAGCACTGGACATGTAGGTACCGGTATGCCTACATCATACTATGTACATTTACGAGTAAATCAAAATGTCTAAGCACACATACATTAAAGTTGTCCGTAATTACTATCCATTCTACAAAAAGTGGGCATTTACAGTGTGTGGTACCGTACACAATGATGCTGGCAGGTAAAATACATGTAAATGATTCTTTTAAACTGCACGACAATGGCATTTTTCAAACACGTGGGTCGTGACATTTCATGCATAAATGGCACTGAAAAGATCCCATTTTTAAGCTAGCACAATGTGAAAACTGACACAGTTGTAGACAGTATGGGCTCCATGCAAAAGTACCCCTCCCCGGTACAGGCAGGGAGAGTTGGGTGAGACCACTGTGAGAGACATTCAAACACACTGCCAACGGCGCCTGACGCTCATATGAAGACGCTACATGGCTTTGTGTACATTCAGAATATATAAGTCGTGCATACTTTGTGCATACGCGTGAACCGTGAACCAGTACGCGCTAGCAGTGTGTCCCGCCATCCATGGGGCTCTTGCAAGTGGTCACAATGCGCCCTCTCATGTTTGCACACGGAACCCATAGCTGAGTGACCATGATCAGGACCTGAATGCCGTCCCCACCAGTTTGGCTCAAACATTTTGGATAATTTCATTCAATTTCATTTCTTTAACACAAACTAAAATTTTCTCTCAATTTAGATACGCAAGTACACATAAAATAAAGCACATTATTTTTTTTTCAGATACGGTGGACACAAAAGGAGGGCGGTATTTGGACTGAGTAAACGCTTATCAGTACCCTCCGATCCTGTTGTGTCTGCCATTTCTCAAAAAGATAATTACATGTAGCATTGCCTGCAATTTTGCCTAGTACACCTTCATTGATTACACACACAAAGACCGTGCATTACAAATAGATTACATTTTCAATCTTGGAGCTTCTAGGCCTGAATGTTTGATTAAACCTGCATCAATCTCACCAATCAACCAAAAAAATCAGGACTACGTGACACACAGAACATGCACGCAGAGACACAATTCTCCAATGCAAATTGTTTGTTTGGCGATCAAGACACATGCATGCATACAACGGTACATAAATGTGCTGTACATGTTACATACATGCAATTTACTTGAAACCAACAAATGAAAAAAAAAAGAAAATTCTCAAAAACTTCCTTCCCAAAACCCACAACTACACGTGTATGTACAGTACATGTACATACCGTATATTGTACATGGCTGTCCAATTCATAAAGAATTTTAATTTCTGTATGATTATCCATGTACAATAAATATTTACTCTACGTACTACGTACATGTACCCAAAAAAATGTATTTGTAAGAACTGTCCATAATGTACATACTGTACAAACAGCTACAAATTACAATGTACACGTGTGGCTCCGTGATAAATGTCACTGCAAACATAAAAATGTTTTCTAACGATGCGCACAATGCCCAGTTTACAATCATGTAAAGCAGGGGGCATTGTATAGGCCAGGGTTTAGATTAATTATTAAAAGAAAAATTCATGCCATTTTTCCGTTAAGTGCTTGCACGAGGCTTGAGGACCCAGCCAGAGAGTTGACACGTAGGCCAAATAGCAGCGGTCCAGAAAATGTCAGTTTGATGTTGTTAAGTTGGAAATTTTCATACTGTGTTTCGTCATGCACAGCCTGGTAGTGGTACAATTGAGCACGCATAACAATGAGTTTTTCTGTACTAAAACTTACATGTACATGTACATGTAAATCTACTGAACAAATGAGGGCAGGCTAGTGGCTACCAGTACATGTACGCGTTTGTTTATGGGGTAAATCAAGGATTTTCTTTTGTTCTTCTTCCCTTTTCCCTTGTTTGTTTGTACTTTTTCGCAACAGCTCTCATTGGTTTTGTACACGTTTTCTAATCGTGGTCGTCCTCGATTCACCGATGATGTTGCACGTGTGTGTCCTCGATTTACACCATAAACAAACGCATGTATACGTGCATGTATACAAATACAGGTAGTAAATCATGAATTGAATTTCTCAAAACAGTACATGTACATGTATTGTAAGTGATGTACTACATGTACATGTTGATGTACGCGTGTGTGTGTGTACATGTACATGTAGATGAATACACTTTGTCAATGTACCTAGTAATCTCAACAGAAGCCTAGATATAATGGATTATTGATTTGGCAGCATGTACTCAAAAAGAGTCTAGCAGATAAGCCCCATGTACTACATCACACATGTCACACTTCAAGACTAGTGGGTCAATGCATTATGGACCATACATATTCTGTCTACGAGTATTCTTTCTACATGTAGCAGGGTTATTGATCTGTAGACAGCAAGTTGGAATTGAATACTCTCAAACTCATTTTCACACTATATTGTACCACATGTACTTGTACCGGTACAACCATGAAATCTATCCGACCAGATTGAAAATGCCCCATGAAAATTCACTAAAAAAGCCCTCGACCAAAACTACCGTAGCCTGAAGGCTGCTTTCTAGTGAACACTCAATCATGCATATTATGACCAATGTATTTTGAAATATGCAAGTTCTGCAAAGTGCATTAACATCAAGTGGGGTGAGCTGATACATGACATTTATTGTACACGTGTACATTTTTCACACGCAGGTGTACGTGGCAATGTTAAAAGCCCGAGGCTCTGACATTTCAATCCGAGTAGAATGTTTCTCCAGAGATTTTGAGACAAAATTCGGCTGTGATCAACACGCAAGAATCTCCTTATTTTAAACACTTTTTTTGGCAGATTCAAGATGTTCAAGTGCATCCACGAATAATGCTTTAACATGATTCTTACCTATTTTGCTATTTTCTATTTCATTTTTGACACTTCATTTTCCAAAGTAGGAATTATTACTGGTGTTTTGATCTCTTTTTTGTCTTAAATTGTCTTTTTGCTTAATGTAAATTCTTATTTGTTTCAATACATGTAAACTGTTTTTTTTTGTGTGCACATTGGGAAGATGAATTTCACTTGAATTGAATTGCGATGAAATAAAATAATGAATTGAATCGCATTGTACTGTATTTTATGTTTACTGGTCATGTGCATACTACAAGTGAATGTACATGTACAATACAGATAAAGTACACGTACATTATGCACAAATATCATAACGAAGGTCTTCTCACTGGCATAAATTGCCACCTCAAGGTCCCCCCCCCCCCCCCCCCCCCCCGCTGGTTTTACATTCATCACAAGTAATTCCCAAGCCTCATGATGAGAAACTCATTTCCTGAAGTAGGTGAGCTTCCGAACTGATTACCTCATATTTAATTCATACAGTTTCCCGAGACAATTGAAATTTACTGCATTCCCAGTCGACTTGGGACTGAAACCCTACCCATAAGGTTACGTACATGCACCGTGGGCTCCTCAGAAATGTAATTTAACTTTTTGCTTGCTGCATATTTTACTAGGGCATCATTTGTTGTTGTAGCGGAGCATCACTTCCTGAAATGTGATGGTGACCTCTAAATGCAACCACGGTTATCTCATCAACTAAAAAAACAGTTTTTTGAAATAATCTTGGGAAACACACACACACTCAAGAGGAACAAGATCCATCAGCAAAATAGAAATTGATTCAAACACCCCGAGTTTGTAAATTTCCAGGCAAAATTTGTCCGTCTCCCAAATTCAATGTGGCGTTTTGCATCTGAGAAAGCTGGCAGAATAATTTGAGCTTCAACATCAACATTGTAAAAAAAAAAAGGTCCTTTAAATAAACCATCCAGAACCAAATTGTATTTATTACATGATGTTGGATTCAATAGTTGTTGGATATTTTTGGAAACAGTCAGAGAGTAGTGAACCACAGTGCTCAATGCAATTGAGAAACATGTACATGCAGCACATTGGTTTAGTACTGATTTCAAATGTACATGTACCGGTACATGTACCGGTACATGTACGTGTATATGTCTCTATAAAGCTAAAGCCAGTTTTTCTACAGTTTAAACAGCTTTGAATTTTGTCCAGTTTTTTTTCTTCACAGTTAGCTGGAGTGCTGTTCTGGCAGGTTTTTTCATCATCACCACTCACGCATGGCATCCTTTTACGGACAAAAGCCAAGGTTATCATGCCATTATGTTTTCCAGTCGAAACTAATTGACAGTACAATCTCCAATAATCAGATTTTTTTGCTGCGATAAAAAAAGAAAGTGGCAGGGATCTGGGATCGTTAATGGAAAAAGCCTAGGGCGTCACCTGAGCTAATCGCCACATACATGTATGGTGCACAAAAAGGTTCCATCGGTACAATGACCATTGGAAAGTTCTGTAAATTAACATAACTTTCTTAGAGATAACGAAGCTTACAGTTAATCTGGATGGGATAATCTGAGATTAACCACCCAGGCCTGGTTTATTTAACTAATCTTTTAATTTTTGGTTTTGTAAGTTAACCGATGTATTGATTTTTTTGGTTACTTTTTTTTTTGGAGGGGGTGTTACATGCAGTTTTGCTAAACTATAGAAATTTAAAGGAAAAAAAGTCACTCTCTATAAAATTTTTTTAAACATTGGTTCATTGTCTCTTTTATTTTTAATGTACCTCTATATCTGGCATTCACTGAACGATTTTAGAACTTGGCAAGGGGTGCTTTCATTGGATCAGTAGATTTTAATTTTTTTTTTACCATCAATATTTTATTACTAAATTAATCATTTTTTGGTGTGTTTTTTGGTTGGAAAAACTTGCACTTCTCAGGTCAGGATCATAAGAACATTTTCAAGACTATGCAATCCCCATATGTACATGTACATGGAGTTGGATTTTTGCAACAGTAAATTCCAAGAGCCCGAATGTTTAATAAGAAATATGTTTGTTTGAGGAGTGGTGCCGCTGTCAATGCGTGTTCTTTGTCACAACTGATATCAGTCTCGCCTCCTACGCGTCCCTTGATATGACTTCTCCCTGACCTATTTAACTGGAATCGTAATTGAGCGTTGCATTGTGGACTTGTTGGAAATGCCAGCCGATCCGGGGTATTCTCCAACGGTCTGGCCTTTTCTTTTCAGAGAAGCTTGGCATTCTAACAAGACGGGCCTCCGCAAATCTAATTAAGTCCTTGGTCTAGGGACAGGCAGGGTCAACCTTGCGAGGCAAGCGTGCCAACAGCAGAAAGTTGGACGGCCAAATTTGGGAAGCGTGTTTCAAAACGTGTTTTGTTTCAACCAGCAATTAAATTGGGTGGAAGTATAAACTCAAACGAAACATAGGCACTCTCTTGCTCTCTTCAATTGCCCCCCAAAATATTTTTTGCCACAATTTGTTAATGCAGCACTCAACAAGAAAGAACCATTGACAGTTTACAAAATTATATTTACAGTATATTATCTCAACTCGAAGTTGCGCATATCAATTTCCATCTTGAATTTCTAGTAATTTTTTTTTTTGCCATTCCTTTCCTTGATCAATCAATACAATTACTTGTGTTCAATATTACACGGTGGGAACCATATACACTTAACTCTCACAGACGTTTTAACTTCAACATGTTTATTTAATAAAGGACGTTATTTGCTATCGGCAGTTTTCCTGTACACTACTAAAAGCTTGTCTCTTTGCCTGCCCCTAAAAGGACGACACTCGTTAATTAAATCAAATATCTGAATTGATGGCATGACTCGGGGATTATACCTACATGTATAGACGCATTCAACAAAATCGTCAATGAAATCATCTCTGAAACAAATGTTGCCTAAGGAATGCACGATACATGTACCAACATGTACATGAATGTACATGTACATGTATATGTGCACAAGGACATTTACATGTACATGTATGTTATACCTACACATGTACATGTACCACAAACATGTATGGATATGTACCACATACATGTGTGGAGGTTGTTCAAATGTACATGTACATGTACATGTGTGACGGTACACTGCACGAATTGCATTACTGCATACATGTACACGTGCCATACATGATACATGTACATGTACGCTCATGGCTTTCAGGAAAAATCTCAAATACTGCAGTACATGTACATGTATTTCTTGGCATTTACATATTTCCATGGTCGTACTGTTACAGTTGACTGGACAGACGCTAATTACGCTGCTTGTGAAAGTACATGTACCAGCACTCTACAAAACAAGCCCTATACGTGTAGATCCGTGCACGTACAATGACATTGACAGATACTTTCCTAGTAATTGCTTTTTTCTCCTGATCTGTCATTAGTTTTAAATTGGAGAGCATACTGGAAACAAACAGTGTGTGAACGCTGTAGCAAAAGCATCAGTGTTCAGATGACTTCATTTTATTCCTGTATTATTCCTTTATTCCATTTTACTCCTGGGTTATTTTTTAAAAAAATTCCTGAATCCTCAAAAACTCCAACATGTCCGATGCTACGCAGTCAACCAATTAGTACATTCTTTGTAAAATTGGGACGCTAAGCCCCCTGTCATTGTCAAGTAATAGTGGCTGGGCTATGCAGTCCTAAATTCATTATTAAAGTGCTGCTAAAAAAAAAAAAAAAAAAAAAAAAAACAGGTGCCGGAGTTGGGTGGAAATTAAATAAAGTTCAGAAAAAACAAATCTTCTCCAACATGTCGATGTTCTGAGTAAGCCCTACTGTACCACACAGGTATCCGTGTTAACTTTACTCACATGATGAAAATTATTTTTTTTTTTAATCCTTTCTATAATTCTTCAACCCCCCCCCCAAAAAAACCCAAATGGAGATGCTTTGGTGAATGTACATGCACATGTGTGCCCTGTAAATGTCTGTACACAATCGCTGGCTCATGCACTAAGATTCTAATCAGCAGAGAATCAGCATAAAATCCATCACAACCACACGCGTACATACATGTACACACTCAAAACACAAGAACGACCCATTTTCTGTATATATTTTATCAACGTACATGTACACATGTATCTGATGTGACCTGCATGTTCAGCAGCTTCTAAAGCAAAGGTCTTTATTGGATACTCCCATTTATACATCAATAACATGTTACTGAAATGCTGCTATAACTGACCTAGATTCTCCAAGATTTTTTTCATCAACGTATTATTATCTGGAATATTGCAGGGTCTTGATTTAGTGTGTGTTCTTTCAATCTTGGTCATATGCCAACGACCACACAATATGAAAGTTGATACTTGCCTTCAATAAAATAAACATCTGTCCACTCCCTATGCATACTCTAGCTTTTACTGTGGCTACATTTCTCAGTTTATTTTGTGGGGGGGGGGGGGGGAAATAAGGTTGCATTTTCAGGGAAATTTGTCGAAAATATTGACCAGATAGGGGTTATTTTTAGATGCTCGTGTCGAGATGTTAAGATCAAGTTACAGATAAAGACCTCCGTTCGCCATTTGATACAGCTCAAATATGTTCTCTAAAATGTGTTCTGAACATACATTGTAAGATACGATGAGACTCTATTTGTGAAATCTTAGTATTGGATCGTACTTCCTCAAACGAATGGATGACTCATAATGATCAGAATATGAAAATATGTCATCTTCTCTTCCTTATTATTATTACAAAACTTCTTAACAAATGATAAGTTTACAAAACAACATGTTACTTTCACTTCAAGCATGCAAACAACTTTCAATCTTATAACTTTCTGAATATTTTATTACCTAGAATGGATTTATTAGTACATAACACTTACACAAAACCCAGTGCACTAAGTAAACTAATTTCATATACAGAGCTTTTTTAAGGGGTAAAGTGAGAGTTCAAAAAACAAACCAACCAATTTCTACATTCTCATTTACACTCACCAAATCTGTAGCAACAGAGAAAATTAATGAAAAAAAACCAAACATATAATACATACTGTTGGGAAGGAAAAATCCAAAAACACACACACAAAAAACAGTCTCACAAAAAAAAAGGGACAATGGAACATGAAACATAGATCAAAGGTGATTGACAAAGTTTGAACCAGTACCTTGTTGTTTGCGACCAAGGCCCTGGCCTAGCTTCCAGCCCTGCTTTTGGAGAAGACGGTAACCAAGATTGTCCTGTAGGTCAAGAGAGAGAGAGGAAGGGGTGGGGTAGGGTGGGGAGGGGAAGGGTGGCAGTTGAGGGGAGGGGGTTAGGGGTGAGGGCCGCAATGAGCAGGAGGGGGGGGGGGGGGAGAGTGAGGTTTGGGTTGGGAGAGACAGAAAACAGAGGAAACAATTAGTGTGATGTGTAGAGTTCTTTCAATCCTTATCCTCCTATTTTCTTAAAAATCCAAAAGAAGGATTTTGCAGGATTGAGGAATTAGGAGCCATGTCACAGTGAAGCATGGAGGAACGAATAGTGGGGCTTTCCCTTTTGGTAGTCCATCAGCCAAAATACCAGAAATTCTTAAAGGTTCTGCACTGAGATGGATTTTGTGGGGATTTTGAAAAGTAAATCACAAAAATGCCAGAGGAATTAAAGTTATCCCTCCCTCTCTGGCTGGTAAATGCAACAAAGCCTTCCCATCAGTCAAAGTCAATCAAGTGACCATTTTTAACAGTTGAGTGCTCCCTGCCGACATAAAGCAGAATCGACCTGCTGTGACTCTTTATGTAACTTGATGCAGCTATGCTTTGATCAGTTACATGTTTTTGTCTGTCTATGGAAATTGATCACCGTGCCTAATATAATCCAACTACCAATTGCTATCATGTGTGTAAGGTACGGAAGGGGAAGTGGATTGAATTTCTGACTGTCTGTGACTGATCACACCAGTAGGAGGATAACTGCAAAATTACATTTGCTTTGTTGAAAACTTTGAGAGAATTCTTTAAACCATTTTGAAATACTTGTATGAACATAAATTATTTGATTGAACCTTGGTGTGAATAAATCGGACATGTAGGCCTACAATGCATAAACAGTGTACAATTACAAACACCCATATAAACACAAATAAATTCATAGTGTTTAAGAAGCCAGCTCAATACCATTGTACATGTACTATGCCTTTTTTTCTGCAAACTTTTGCGGATTTTTCTTGTGTACATGTACATGTAGGTGTCTGGATGTACATGTACATGTACCTGTATGGTACACAGTTTAAGCAGAGAACAAACCCAACTGACGACGCAGTCATGTGATGGGGGAGGCTGCCTTCAGTCAAAGCAGCTTATCACGTAATTAATTGAGATGTTGCTCGCAGGCTGTCTGTTTTGTTTTCTTAAGTAATTGCATCTGTGAGCATCTCACAAATGGCAAACATCAATGACCTTTGAATGAAGAAGTGCTTAAAGGAACTGCATTCACAAACTGCATGCAGGTCTTCCCATCATCTGGTTTTGCAGGATTATTTTTTAAGAATGTCTCTTTGACAAGTGCTGCTTTCCAACAGACTGGAAACTTCTAAATAAAAATGCAAACTTCTAAACAATAAATCACTACACATTTAGTTAACTGTAACAATGGGCCTACAATTCCATTTTGGAAGGGACAAAAACTTGTATTTTTGAGCAGAGCTTATCCTTGAACTCTAACTTCAATGAATCCACCAATGCCTAGTTTTTCAGATTGCCCCCTTCAATGAAAATAAATGAATGATTAAAATTTTTGTCATTTCACAAATCATTTTTATAAACTGTATACATGTAACAAAATAAAAAATGACAGGTAAAGAATGCCATTGCCACTTTGTACCGTGTTGTGCGACAGTGCACATTTGGACAAAATTACTTTCAGTAGTGCGTCCTTCGTAATAAACATGCACACCAATGCTCGAACACACTATGAACTCCATCAGTGAACAATAGAGGGTTATTACATGCACGGCCGTTTTCCCACAGTAACCTTATTTGTGAGATTTGACCTCAACGAGGTTAAGTTGTGCATCTCTCTATTACATACTACCTCTGATGATGTCATACGCATGGACCATATAGATTGCCCTTTTTTGACCACTTTCCAGATCTCCTAAGCATGCTCGACTAATTTGATTCTGTACATACATGTACATGTACACAAACCCATGTCTTTGTGAGTGTCAGGCATCGTCGGCAATGGGTGCAAATGTCTCTCCCAGTAATCCCCCCCAACTCTCCCCTTCGAACCATTGAAGGGGTACTTGTGAACGGAGCCCATGACCTTCGCTAGCTCTCATGTGTTGGCCCCACAGTGCAATCTACTGTTCCCTCACAGGGTCTCTACACTCTTCATCATATATCTTTACTATTTACCTCTGGTATGTGGACATCAACAGAGGCTCTTTGTATGTCATCTCCACCATCTTCATAGTGGTCGAGATCTTGGCCCTGAAAAGACATTGAAAACAACCAAATAAAACGAGGCTGCGGAATGCTGAACTTTATTCTGGGAGTAAATTGAAGTTGCTGTTGGTTTGTAGACATGTTAATTCTTGATTGGTTTGAACGGCAAAGCAGTGACGTCACATGGAACATGCCCAGTTTTTGCATATTTTTTTTGTGTACGATCATATGGAGGTGTCTGTGCGTAGTCAAGGGTAAAAGGTAGAAATTTATGGTTTTGGGTGTTTTTTCCCTCAAATTCCCAATAAAAAAATTAGGGTAGGGGCTGTCAGAATAGGGTAGGTAGGGAAACCGGAAGCAGAACTATTATTTTCTTTGGCCTTATCTGTGATAAAGAACAAACAAACGAAAATACAACAGGGGTATCGAACCCCAGATACCACACTCACATGTCAGACACACTATCCATTCTGAGCTAGCTTCTCAAACGATGGTGGTAATTTAATACATTACAATGTTCGTCTAACTCTAAGCATGCTAAGTGTCAAAAAGGGTGCTGTAAGATGTCTCCCGCTTAATATCGTTTACTGAAAGAAAGCCGAATCAGGCATAATATATTACCAGTATACGACAGTAACACTTAACACTACAGAGATCATGTTCACCAAAATGTTAAACATGTTCAAAGTTGTTAAAATATTTTTATTAATAATAAATATAAAAAAGGCAATATTTGAGTCATAAAATACACACATTCCGGAAAGAATGTTGCAACCTGACGCTGCTTTTTCTTCATATATCATCTCAATGAAGGTCAGTCATTGCAAAAATGATGATAAGACATGAATCTGGGACTGAGAAATATTTCCAATTTTGTTAAAAAATACTTTAGAAAATTTTCTTGACTCTCCATAGACTTTGTACACAGCCACTGACGCGTCAGGTTGCAACATTCTTTCCCAAATTCCAGTTGGACACGGTGGTTCAACCTTACCTGGAAATCTCTTGGCTCATTGTAGCGAGCGAAGATACCGGCCATTTTCATGAAGATAACTTCTGGCTCATATTAGCAAAGCAAATTTTCACACCTCAATCGCACACCAAATCGTCTCCCAAATCACAAATGACCGGCCGGATCGTACGCGTTAACGTAACGTACACTGCGCAGATACTAGATCGATGGGACCAGGCTGGTTCCCGACAATCTACATCAATAATGAACAACGCAGGTTACCGGACACCAATGAATATTGGGTTAACAATTACCACGAGAGGGCGCTATGCAAATTGTCTTTCCCAGTTTCTCACCAAGAAAACTTGTACACTCAGGGAAAGACAATTTACTTTTGTTAAATAAGATATGTGGTTGGAAACTGTGGTTCTAATTATTCTCATGTGTCCTTACTCGAGAACTAAATAACTACATAAGGGTCTAAGAAGAATATCAGTGTCTCACAAGGCGCTGTTCTTTGGCCACATACTTTTCCTTCTGTAATGCTTTGCCCTGCCCCCCTACAAAAAAAAAGTACAATTAAAAATACAAAACGATACTACACAAGTCATAAATTCAGATGCAAGTGAAATTTTAACTGGATAAGAATATGGCCACATGGTGGTGTTGAATGCATATATTTAGGTTATTAAATCTCCACAGACCAGTATATTTTTATCTACACGAGGAACAATAATCGGAAATTGCATTTAAGGAAAACCGAAAAAATGGGGGGGGGGCAGACATTATTTAAACATAAAAAATAACACAAATTCAACACACAAGATACAAATCAAAGAGCAAACTTTATATTACTGAACGTGGTTTCTGGTGGACATGTGACTAAAACAGTTCCTTTCGGTGTTTTTTCGTCGGTGACGGGATGAATTAATATACTCGTTGTTTATTGACATTAAATGATGATATGATGATACATACAGATGATATATTTAACATTTTTTGTGTGATAGAGCTTTAATTCTACATTGTAAGCTTTGTTGGCAATTTTTTTAGAATCCCGAAATTCTTAAAATTCTTAGAACTTCGAAACTAATTTTGGACATTGAGACCTGTGTATTGCTGGGGCTAAAATAATAAAATCTTTAGAACAATCTATTTTTGATTTTTGAAGGATTAGGGTAGTTAAGGTTAATTAAAATTCATAAAACAATGAACAGCTTGAAAGCCTTTACATGTATGGGGACAACGTACAAATGCGAAAAAAACTAGTATTTTTTACTCATAACTCTCTTCCCTTGACTAGTTTACAAATAAATGACAGAAAGTTCAAGATAAGAGAAAATCCCGACCAGAGAAATAAATATTTCAGTAACAACAGATAGTTTCGTTCTTGAATACTTCATTTTTAGCTGGATTTAGTGGAACTACATAAACACATAAAAAAAAACCAGTGGGCACGGTAGGTTTCAAGGTCAGCTTAAAAATAAATAAGTTTTAGGATACGTACACATATTGTTGACCATTTATAAAGCAATGTTGTTAGAAATTTTAATTATAACCAAATCAAAATAACCCTCCAGCACACCCCCCCCCAAAAAAAAAATCTGTAAGATGAGCACCATTAATTTATTAGAACTTAATACATGTACATTTAAGTATGATCAACATTTATGAAAGATACACTGCTCTACACAATTTCCTCAAACAATGTGAGATGATAAAAAAAACCTGAAATATTTATACCCTGTAACTGCATTTTGTCAAGTCTTGAAACGATGGGCTTATTTGGGTGTATTTACAAAAACATACGGATCATTAAAAAAAAATGTTTTAGGATAAAAAAGATGTACTTTACACTAAAGCTTTAACCTTAAACTCAAAAGATCAGAAAATAGACATTCCGCGTAAAGGGGGGGGGGGGGGGGGGGTCATAGGTCATAGGCCACGCAAAAACAAAAGTGAAGCCAATGTCATGACATTGACCACTGAATTCACTTTGCTCAGAAATCGTTTGAACTGGCCTTTACTTATTTGCTTATCTGCCAAGTTCCTAAGAAACAGAAGTTAGGGTCTGTTACCAAGAAATGGTGAAATGTGGGCATTGGTCACACAAACATGCTTCGCGACCAAAGTTGACTTGTTCAAATAATCATAAAAGATAATTCCATGCAAAAAGCAGACGCGGTTGAAAAGTAGAACAATTTCGCAATCTTAAGGACTACAAACATCACAACCTCATATGTGGTATCAAATTAAAGAGAACAAGATATTTCATTTGAGTGATGTGCCAGTGGGATGGGATATGGTTAAGTGTGGTGTGTTTTTTTTGGTCAAAAACCTTTTTTTGGCTAAAATTATGGATTTTTAGTACATGTATTAATTTTGGCATCTTGTTTTTACATGCAAAGTGAAGTGTTATTGTGAGTTTTGTTTTTAAGGCAGACAGGAAGATTCATATTTTATGACACAAGACTTTTTGGGGGGTTTGATTACTATTTTTTTTAACGTTTTAACTTGTACCAATGATGGACAGACATACTGTAATATGAGTAACCATAATGCGAGGAACTATAATGCGAGTAACCGAAATGCGAGTAACAAGCCTTTTTTTCTAGCATCTATACCTGAATTTAGTCTACATTTTTTATTATCCACATTTATACTTTGGTATGGTAGATATCTTGCAAATGCTCATTTGCTTATTGCAGTGGCACTATAAGTAAACTACTGAATGAAAAGAAAGCCAAGTTTTTGGCATGTCCTATTTTTGTAATGCGAGTAACCACATTTCCAAAGATTACCATGCTCAAATGAGGAACATACAACTATTTTGTTGTAATCAGGGAAAGCCTTGAATATTGGGTATGTTTATTCAAAAAAAAAGGAAATAGATAGTCTGACAAGTAGGAAGGCAACAGCACACGGAATGTAAAAGTACGCAAAACAAAAGTGTGATGCAAGTACCTGTGGAATTGCCCCAAAGATTAAAAAAAAATATTTTTTTTGGTAAAAATACAAATGTGACAAAAGAGCAGCATGCAGATTTGGATAACAGAGAGCACTTTACAATCTTCAGCCAGTTATTGAAGCATCTAAGGTAAACTCCCCCTCATATTCTCCATCAATCTCCCCCAAGTCGGGTGGAACAGTCAATGTTTCCTCTGGCAGATGGGACGTTCCATTGGCTGTCTTGGGGGCCTGATTTGGCATGTCTGAGAGGGCAAGTTTTGAAAACTTTGCATAGCCTCTTTCCACTATTGTGCTTCCAATATTCACATCCTGTTGAGAAATAAAGAAAAAAAACAAGAGTAAAAACAAACAAACCAAAAAAACAAGCGGAAAACATTTTCCAATTGTTGATTTCAGAGACTTTTGTAAAAAATATAACCTGTGGAACTTCTCTGCAAAATCAATTTTCTAAAAAGTAACACGTCACCTTTGAAGAATAAGGTTTTTTAAAGGTAACACTTTATTCTCCTGGGTGAAAAGACACAATTGACGTAAAGTGTCTTGCCAAAGAACACAAGCATGACAATCACTTTAATGGTTAAAGCACATGAATTGCTACATACGAGTCTTTCTCATTGGATTGGAGTATTGGGGTTTATATCCAATATTGAAGCTCTGTATTGATTATTCAGGCACGCGAATATGAAGTCACAAAATATGAGGAATTCTCAAGACTTTCTGTAGTTTTCTTCAGGATTTAAAGGGAAGAAAAAAAAAGAAGGGAATCAGTCAACATCCAATCTATTTGTATGTTATTTCAACGTGAATGCCTGTACCTTTGTTCCTGTCGTATCGACGAGCTCTATGCATGGTAGAGTTCCTGAGTTAGTCTGTTGATAGCTTACTATCCGCGCCATGAGAGGCTTCCACTTAGCGCAATATGTGAGATCCTCAAACAGATCGATTGCTTCTTCTGACCAGCTTGATTCTGGGGGAAAGAAATAAAAATGAAAAATCATCAGTTTTGATCTGGCTGTGCTCCATGGTAAGACATCTGGCGGCTGCCTAAGATGCCTTTACAGGTCTTTGTCTCAACTGCACCACGTTGAAGCTGCGTTCGTCAAAATTAAGCTTCTGCTAAGAGTATGGATGATTAGCCCCCTGATTTAATTTTATTAAGGAAACGTAATATTTATCACCTGTCGGGTTGGTGTAACAGTATTTTCTTAGGACATATCTTCTCTCCAGCATCTTGATTTACATCCTACTAGGAATTATGCTGTATTGAGTAGTTCTTTCTTTTTTTGCTTTGTAATATAAGTTCCAACGTCAGAGTTATCTTTTCTGTGTCTCTCCTGGGTGGGTTGTTATTATTTTAGCAGTCATTCATCTAATTTATTGGTTTTCCAATACAGGACTGTGTGCAAATCAGTTTGGAAAGGGATGGGGATGAAATTTAGCGGTTTAAGACAGAGAAAAGAATAACTATCAAAAAACAAGCAGACAGATTGAATGGAACAGAATAACGACAGGGGACACAGACTGAAGCACAATCAGAGGTTAGGCTTACCGGCTGGCTGGATACCAGCTAAGCTGCACTCAACTGCTTGATATGGAAGACTGAGAAAATCGCTCCTGTTTAAGAAGAAACAGAGAGAACCAACATTGCACTTTATAAATTCTGGTTTACATTATCTAATAATAACACAACCAACTGCAACTGTTTTGCTCGTTCTGGTTCTCTGATGCTGTACTTAAATCAGGTCCTTGGCATGAATGTTGGCATGTTGCCAACAAACTCAAAATTTTACTTTTCTTTGGCATCCTGCCAATCATACAATACTGCCACTCAGTCTGAGGCTGTTTCTAATTCATACCTTTATTTCATACATTTCCACAATAAGCTGTTTACAGTTCGTACTTTTGTTTTACATCTTCCCAATTCATACAATAATACTAAGCCTTTCTTTGGCTCCTTGCCAATTCATACAGTTCTACCACACTGTTTATATACTTTTTCCTTGGCACATTGCCAATTACCTCAAGCTGCATATACCATCCCTGGGCATCTTGTCGCTGTCTCCAAAGTCTATGTAGTACAGGTCCACTTGGCCATCTTCCAAGAATCCCAAGATACGGGCCCGGTACCAAGACTCGTCTCCCTGGAACGGTGCTGCTATGATGTCCCCGGTACACAGGGTATCTGGCTTACACAGCTGAAAGGAATGAATAAATAAAGAGTGTATTCTGAACTTTGAATACGGTTCTTACACTGAGCCTTTGTCTCCCACCTGGGCCCAATTTCATGGCGCTGCTAAGCACAAAAATTTGCTTAGCACAAAAAAGTCTGGCTTATAAAAGCAGGTTGCCAGCAAAAACTCCACGTGATTTTTATGCTAAGCAAACAACAGCTGAATACTAATCACGAGCGATAAACATCATGTGGAGTTTTGGCTGGTAACCTGCTTTTATAAGCCAGACTTTTTTGTGCTAAGCAATTTTTTTTTGCTTAGCAGTGCCGTGAAATTGGCCCCTGGAGATTTTGAATGACTATACAAGTTTGAGATCAGCCACTTGCACTTGACATAGGGATTGATGTCCCTTGGCTTTTGGAAGATTTTAAAGGATTCCGAACAAACTTCCCCAAAGAGTAAGGGTTCATTACTAACCTGTTGGTTACTGTCGACAGCGTAGTACTCTGTCATGTTCTGTATCATCAGGTCCAAGGCCCCAGATTTGGAGCCCAGGACTTGCACCCAGAAGTGGCCCAGGTGCTCCACTGCCGAGACGTAGATGCTGAAATAATCCTCGTGGGTCGGCATTTGCATAGTGTGCTCTATTGCATTGGAATCATCTGTTAAAAATCAAGAGAAATATCAATAATTCTTGGGAGTTGGTTTATGCAATAGTGTCGTAAGTGCGTCAATCACAAGTCCATCACAAGTGAACTCAAAAGCCTAGTAGCAAGCAACCGAGGATGAACAATGAAAGGAATGCTTTTGGCACAGATTATTTGAATAGCTTGAGACTTAACTTGCCAGTGGGGCATACAAATCTTTTAGAATTTTTATTAAAACTTATAATTGGATCTTAATGTCCTTAAAAAAACCAAAAAGAAATATGCTGTCCTGTTTTTTTTCTTGTGCTTATGTGATTGTATTGTTTACTTTGAATTTTTTTTATACATGACTGTGCTGTTTTGTATAATGTTTGTATTTTGCTTGTTGTCTGGTGAACCCTTTATATAATGACTTGGTTTGCTTCTAGGCAATCCTAGGACCTGTCTGTTTCTATAAGTGTCCTTTTATTTCATGTGTCAGCTAAATAAACAAATAAAAAAATTACTTTCTGGTATTTACTATTAACCTTTGGTATTTGTTTCAACGACTACTGTATCCACAACTGGTCTGGGATCCAGAGGGGTGCTATTTTTGGGCACTTTGGAGCCCCGTTGCTTCCGATTGGCCGAAGCATTGTCCAATTTCCGTCGGTGCTCCTCTTCGTTGGCGATGTCCTCCTCTATCAAACTCTAGAAAGTAAAACGTATGAGATAAGAGGTTACAGTCGCAACAGATTGGCTTTCTTAAGGACAGACTCCATTGAATAAGGGAATAAATACGTGCTTGGCTGGTTTGAAACACGTACATTTAAACCAGCTAGGAGACTGGACGCCTAATGACCATAGCTGAAGGTTAGGGCCATTACCAGTGACCAGGCCCCCAGCTGGTTTTAAACATACTTGTTTAAAACATGTCATAGACAAAGTAACAGATATATGATTTGTGTACACGTAAGAATAAAAAATGAAAGGGTCTATTTAGAGAATTACACCACTTTTCAACTGTGGTCTTTGTGGTGCCATTTGTTGAAGAGTGAAAGGCTATGGTTGCCAATCAAGCCAGGTGGGGAAAAAAAGAGATTTCACCATGAAAAGTGGCACAATTCTCTAAATAGACCCTTTCACAAAATTGGTCACTGCTCAGTCAACCGTGAATGTAATGACATGATCAGGGTGTCATTTTAAAGAGGAGATTCAATCCTAACAGAGGATATCTTCCTTTCATTTACATGTGCCCTACATCTGTTCCAATTAGCAATAATATATCGGTTTCGTTTTTTTAATTTTTTTTAATTTGTTTTATTCACCCTGTATAAGTTAATACAGAGCACAACTAGGTTTAAATCCTTTCAAAATCTATGGTGACATAGGGCATTAGACTGCTCCTTTGATGCTTTGACTAATCACAGTCGTGGGAAAGCAAATGCTGACAAAAGTCCGACATGCGCACACTAATGCATGACACACTAATGCATGACGTGTGTGGCCAGAAAATGCAGTGTGGCTTTGAAAAAGTGCACTGGGGCCATTGCTCTCGTGCTCCCCCATGATATTCTCTGTCTCTTTCCGCACCTTAGCGTATCGGATCTGTTCTTCAGTTCCCTTGATGAGGCACTGGCGTAGCGCGTTGGGATCACGTCTCTCCTCATCTCTCTCAATGCGGACCCTCGCCTTGCTGGTACGGCAAATGTTGCGTATGTTGTCCCCATTGCGACCTGCAACATAGGTAAATTTGAGACCGTCACTGATTATATTCCGTCATTGATTATTTTCCCCCACTGATTATGTACCGTCATTGATTATTTTCCGTCGTCGATTATGTTCCGTCATTGATTAGTTTCCGCTTCTTTAGAATGAAAAGCTTGAGAATATTCTCTCACCCTCCCTACCAAATATAGGATGGCAATCCATCGCCGGTTACTCCAAAGATAATATCGCTACCCATTTACATGCCTGGGTAAAGAGAGACAAGTGGAGTAAACTAGCTTGCCCAAGGACACAACACAGGACCAGCAGCTGCATTTAAACCCCTGACCCTCTGATCAGGAGTCACAAACCCCAACCACTGCGCCACTCTTTCCCTCCCCCAAGAACCGCAATAGATTAAAATCAGTGTGGTCAAGGAGTCTAGAACTCACCAATGATCCTGCCAATGGCATACTGTGGTATCCTCAACTCCAGTGTCTGTATGGCGTTGGGTTCGGCGATGATCTTACGTACTTGCTGCTCGGCCTGCAGGGCATTGTCTGGCTTACCTCGGATAACCTGGATCAGATGATATTGTCAGATTTAGTTAAATTTGCTTCACAGTTCCCAAGACTGTGTTAGTGACTCGGGCTGGAATGACCCCTTCAGCATTCAGCCTAAGACTGCCAGAGTGCTCCTTTAAGCATCTGTGGCCAGAGTGGCCCTTTAAGTATCCAAAGCTGTCTTTTGATAAACTGTCTTTTGAGCATCCTCAGCTACAGTGCCCCTTTAAGCTCTTAAGGTGAGAATATCATTTTGAAAATTCTCATTTAAAGTACCTTCCTTACGCATCCATTGCTAGAATGCCCCTTTAAGTATCCATGACTCACATGCCTCTTTAAGTATCCATATTGGCCCTTTAATTATCTGCGGCTACAATTCCCATTTTGAAGGATATAGGATAGCAATACATGCTAATGCGTACATTTGGAGTGCTCCTTTAAGCATCAATAATAAGATAACTCCCTTTATCGTCCAAAGACAGAGTGCCCCTTTAATTACTCACCAGGAAGCGATCCTCTTTCTCTTCCAGTCCCGTCTCATTATGGAATTTCACTCGGCAAGATGTCTCGTCTTGGATCTGATATCATGCCATCAAATCAAATGACAGGTCAAAATGAGATGGGTGAAGGACTACATCATCAAAGGTAGGGTAGATCACTTGTCATTTGTGAATTATTTTCGTGTGAAGCCACGGATGCGGCGAATTACAAAACCGATCACTTGAAATGTCCTTCTTTTGTTGTTTTCTTCAAAATGACAGCATGCCAGAAAGAAAAAATTCACTGGGAGTATAGTGCCATTACTATCTTTAAGCCAGGTAAGATTTTCAACAATAATTTCCCCAGTTACATTTTTGGACAGCTGCAAATGATCTACTCTACCTTTAAACATGCCTAGGAATGTCTGTTGTACGACCAGAGGAAAGAATTTGAAATTCTTTTTACCGCAGAGTCACTCGCATGTAACCTTTCTGCTGACTTGATTTTGTAACTGAATTCTCTTTAAGGCCTTCGGCTGTGTAACAGGAGAAACAGGTGTCGTGTCTATGCCAGTAAATTTAATGTCAAAGTGTGACAGACTCGGGAGAAAGTGTAGTTAATTTAACATTATCAACATGAAACATTAAAAATATGATAACAAATCAGTTGCCCATGTTAAACATCACATATCTTTTTGTGACATTTACCACATACATGTATGTTCAGAAAATGGTACCAGCATTCTACACGCACTTCTTTTAAACAACATATGAGCCAAAATACAATTTTCACAAACTAGCTTCAAACTTGGTTGGGACTCAAACCAAGGACTTTCTGATTGGTAGAGAATGCATCTTTCGTTCCAAATGGTTGAATTCTGTAAATTGTGCCATGGCAACAAAATTCTGGGGAACAAAGATCAAAAGATGCTGCATAAATTCTAACACAGTTCATATACATTTGAAAACAAAATTGGTGGAAATAGTATGACCTATGACATATGGGAGCTTACGGTAACAAAAGACTCTCTAAAGACATTATAATTAATGGCTTTGGTGGAAAAAAACAACAACATTGGTTCATTTTTAATATTTGTACCTTTTTAATAACGACACCTTGTTGGCCAATGATAGCTCCTACTTTGTCATACGGTACCCTCAGTTCTATTGTCAGTTGCTGACCCGTGGCAAGATCTCTGGAAGGCCGGTAATTCTCTTCTGGAACAGTCAAAGATTTTTACCACATCTATTAATGTCATTCTTGAAGTAGTTCCCTATGGCTATATTTTGAGTTTTTATGCCAAACAGTTTTAATGCCTATTTATCTAGCAAAAAAAAAAATATTAACGTTTGAATGAGACATAAAAAAAATCGCCGATGTTTACTTTTTATTTTGAATTATTAGTAGCCCGACTAAACTTCAGGTGAATCTTTTTGGAAAATTGAAAAAGAAGCTGTTTTATTCTTTGGTTTAACTAAAATTGACAACTTTGAAGTTGGTATTGAAAGAGAAAACTATGAAATAGTGTTCATAAGTCTTACTTTAAAATAACTGTAATTCAAAGTTGGCAACAATGAACTTGCGGTCACCTGGTATATACAAATGTAGCAAGGACTTTAGAGTAGTACTGCGATGACTGTCTGGATTGTACCAATCTTTTGGCCGTGTATATTTGGTCAAATGACCAAAAACCGCGATCTAATTGGTCAACGCAGACTGAATGACAGGCAGGAAGTTCATGTTGATACAGTCCAACTTCATTAGTTAATTTTTTTTGTCTCAGATTCATTGATCTAAATTTGAGCAAACAACTTGATCAATTTTTGTTCACCTTCATCCCTTTTCCTAAAGAGTAGGTAGAGGAGAAATAAGGAGGCGGGGACAGTAATTCCGAGTGCCACCCACTGCCTGGTAGTTAGGCTGTCCCTCATGGCTGGCTGTGATTGGTGGAAAGTTCCTTGGTGGGAGGAGCTATAGCAATGATGTCATCATATTTGTGACTCTGCAAACAAAAGGGAAACACAATCTGAGCGGGTTGATAAATGTCGTCGGTATTAATTAAAAAATTTCATTATAATATTCTGTTGAATTTACAATAAAATTAGAGAATATTTTGACCAAAAAAGTGGTATTTGACAAATAAAATCACGCAACTGAACTTTTTTCGTTGTCTTCTTGAAATGAGAATACTCTTAATTTTCGAATATCTGAATTGGAAAAATGCTTTTCTGATTTTCAGTGGATGAACGAAAATTCGAAATAAATATTGGTATGTTCTACATTGGTCTACATTACACTGAGTGACAGTTTGTTTTAGAAACAATTTTGTGCCGCACGACGCAAATAAATACATGTAGGCCATATAGGCCTAGGTCTACCGGCATTGCACATTTTCGTTTAACCGTAAGTTTTATATAGCATTCTTCATTGGGGGTGGGGGGGGGGGGGGGGGGGAGGGAGAGATTAGACCCCCTCCCTCCCAGAATGTTGCGGCAAGAAACAAACAAAAATGGCAATTTTTAGGTTACCTTGTATCTTTCCAACAGCAACAGTCCAAATGCAACAATAGTTCTGAAAAAAAAACAGAGAACAAACAATTAGGAAAGAGCTTTACTGCACCATTTTGATATAAGGGACGTCCGTAAACGCGCAAGTTTGCATGAGATGTGAACAGCATCCCCTGGTGGCATGTGGTGTCCAGCCCCCCCCCCCCCTTTCGAATTTCCACGACCGGGCAATTTTGGGATTTTTGGTCATGTTGGTCATCCCAGATCTCCCCACGTACGTCACGCCACGCCGAGACGGATTTACGCCACTAGTAGTGCCTAGTGGCTAGACACAATCGGAGCCAGTTCGGCAAACAGCGAACAAAAGCTCTTAAATCATCATAAATTATGAACTACAAGTTTGTTATCGTACTACTACTGTGAATATCGGTATTTACTTACACTCACATGCACAAAAAAGGGACGGCAGTTTCGTCCAGCAGTACAGAACTTAACAGTAAAAACGTGATAACAGCGCCGCAGTGTGCGTAAAAATTTCTCCTACAGTCATTGTGCAATGGCGCCCTCTGTTGGTTAAAAATTGTCCAGACCGTCTACCTTCAGTAGTCTGGTGCCTTTCCCTGCGGCTGAGGTACTCATTCAAACACATTATACATGTTATATAAACACAGAAATAAGACCAATGTAATATAGCGCACAGATGGGATGAAATTTTGGGACGCAAAATCGCAACAACTAAATCACCTCAAAATGTTGGAAATCATGACTCGTTTCATTGTGTCACCGTAACATCTACTGTTGGCTGACCTTCTGGATGTGCAGGAAGTCCTAAGTGTAAGTTATTTTTCCCAAATGATGATTGAAATCAGTCTAATTTTTGTGGGCGTGTTCACCGGTGTTGTGGATCGAGAATGAATGTGATGCGGTGCCCCGCGATTGAGCGCAGCCGGTAATGACTAAAACATTGCTAAAGTATACTGCATAGTAAATGAGTAATCATCCTAGATAGATGTGTTCTGCGAAAAGTAGCTTTTACTCAGTTTGAATTGATTGTATGAAATTACTTTAATCATGAAATGATCATGATAATGAGCCGTGTGCAACAATGGTGTGATGATTCTCTCTGCAAAATGCAACATTGTGCACTCAACAGCAGGCAGTGCGTCCATTGCACAATCTCTGAACCTGTTTTCATTTCAAACTGTGGACAATCATGCCTGTTTGGGACTATAAACACAGACATCCAGGAACTTTTGAAATCTCCTTATATCTCCCTTCTAGACCCATTCATACGGTTTTGAGTCTGGAATGCAGTGAATAATGGTGTCACATAGCAATCGATGAAACGTACGTGCTAATGAATAGATGTTTTCAACGGCTGATGTTATGCCGAGATGCCCTTTACTTTGATTTTATGTGCATTTGAAAAGTTACTACATGCTGTATTAACTGATCACAAGCCCTTGCTCACTGACAGAATTCTCCCCTGATCACCTGATCCCCTGATCACCTGATCACCAACGTGATCACCAACCTGTGGGTGAAACTGAGTTCATCTGACAGAAAGGATGGCATCCGGTGGGTTAGTCATCCCGGTGGTGTTGTGGGGAAGTAACGCTCCCACACACTGCGTCTCGGCAGTGCTGATCACATCGGACCAGAGGACCATCATCACAGGTTGCCATGACGGCCAGATCTGTCTATGGGATCTCAACGAGAGTATGCAGGTACTGTGTCAGTGAAAATGGAACAGAATTAACGGTGGTAAAAGTGAACTTCGGGACCCCTTTACCGTAAGAGAAACTAAATCCATTGGACTCAGGCAAAGTGTAATGCTATTGCAAAGAGAAAACTTTTTACCTTGAAAAAAATGGATTATTAATTAAGTAATTGTTTTTGTCAAAATAGCATAATTTTGAAAATCTTGAAAACTAGGACTTTTAAGTAAGAAAAAGGAAGATTGCTTGAGGTTGCAGAAGTCATTTTGGAGTTATAAGAACTTTTTAAGAACTAAAGAAAAGAAAGGTCGTGAAGGGCACTTTTAACACGATTCCTCTTATGAAACGGAATTCAGCTGTGTATTGACACACATGTTAAAATTTAATGTGTATTTTCTTAAGATGTTCTTAAGGATGAAATAGTATTTAGAATTTTTTCCCGCTAAAGATGTAAAACTCATTGTCCGATATATTTGTGTCACTTGAACATTAAGGCAACTGTTAGTCAGGATTCGTTGATGTTATCATTAAAAAAAAAAATTCTGTCTGAAAGAGTTCATTCCTTTCAGAACCAGATTTTTGTAAGGATTGGTCTTAGTTTCAAATTAGGGAACAACGGAACAAATGTTTCTACCGGTACTTGTACATGCAGTACTTTTGTATTGACATGATCAAAGTCTTTTGATATTCCGATATTGTTGAACTGATCGTAGGTTGTGCCTCGCAACATGCTGCTGGGCCACTCTGCTGCCATCACGTGTCTGGCCAGGGCCAGTGAGTCTTGGGAATCTTCCACTTTCATCAGCGCTGCTGAAAATGGGTAAAGAAAAAATCTTCATTTCTTTAACCCTGTTACACCCTAACTGTTGAGTCCAAACAATGGTTGGGGAATTCCCAACTGTAGGTGGGACGATCCGATCAGTAGTTGGGATCATCCCAACTATAGTTGGGACAGTGCTATAGTTAGGGTTTAACAACCCTACCCCACTTCATGTACTGTATTTCGTAAATGGGTCATTCTGTAAAATTTAGGGTCCAAAGTGTAACATTGTTTTTCCTGTCTCTTTGTAATATGCCATTCAAGTATCACTAAGAATGACTTCAAACTGTTTTATTTTTATTTGTTGGATAGGTACATTTGTAGTTTGCTATTCATAAGCACTTTTGGAGGACGACTGCATTGAGGAGTGCGTCAGAATTAAACAATCATATCTATATCAGATGTAACAGGAACAGGAAAAAAGTGGATCAAAAATATTGAATGACAGAGATGTGTTTAAGTGTGAGGCCTGCTGATTCTGACAGGATCCAATTTGTTAAACAACAGATCTTTCACTCGCTGTTCAGACCAGTGAAATCCAACAGAATATTCTCACTTGTGATCATACTTGATTCAGTAGAAGTTACAAAATATGTGGCATCAAGTTCCTGCAGAGTATTTCATTTTGGAAGATTTGGGAAGTTTTGTAGTAAAAATGTGAAGGGGGCTAGGTTTGACTAGTTTGACCTTGAACTTTTCTCTATCTGACCTTTTTGACCTTCACAGAGAGTTATGTCTGTGGGATGTGAGTGACGGTCGATGTATTGAACAGACTAGGGTACAAGGAGTGCCCACCGTCATGCATGTAAGTTCAGTAAATAGTGCTTTTCAGAATTCATAAAAAGACATTCTACTCTTATTCTGTCCAAATCCATACCCAGTTTTACAATATTTTCATTAGTGAAGAAGGGTCCCACATGCTCCTCCTTAACAAAACCTTTTTCTGCATTCGTGAGAAGGTTAAATGAGCGTGCAAAAGACATCTAGACCAGAACACGATAATTTCACCATTCATCAGGGTTTTGTAAACTTTTGTTACAGACTTACCAAGCTACTAAAGGCACCAGTCGTGAGTCGCGCGTCATCTGTCACGGCTATTATCCCGACGTTCATATCTTTGACACAACAAGCCTGGAACTTCTCTTCACGTTGACCTCCAAGGTGTCACCAGACTGGATCAGCACGCTGTGTGTGATCCGACCTCTCAAGAGACAAGGTATTAAAAGACGATGGACAATTTACTATAGAGATGTAAATTTCAATATTTGGTTCTGTGTTTTTTATAAGCACAGTATACTCGGTGCAATCTTATTGGAAAGATATTGCACACGCAACTGTGATAGACTTTCCAAGACAGATCTGCATGATTGCTGAAGCAGTAAAATTTGTTGGATATTTTAACAAGTACAGATTTAGCGGTGCATCTAAAAAAAATTGTAATTGTTGTCTATTTTTGCAGAGGATGTGGTTATTGGCATATCCAAAAGCGGGATGCTCAAAGTTTGGAACCTGTGTGGTGCAGAATGCAAGGTAAAATCAGTTAATGTAGGTACAGTTGAAAAGTGATTTTCCCCTCACCTGCTTGCCTTAAACATTGAGTCTTTATTTATTAGAGAACATTTTTTTTTTTTGGAGAAAGAGTTTATCTGGTTGAACTTAAAAGATAAAAAAGGGAAAATTTGACTTTTTCCCCTGTGTTGACTCAAAATTGAGATATTGAAACCAGATCTTTACTGATTGATTTGTTTTTCCAGAACACGGAGCCCCATTTTGAGGAGGAGTGCAAACCACTGCGATGCCACAATGCACAGACGCTGACCTGCTGTGCGTTCACACTACGCACCGTGCTGATTGTATGCACTAAATATTGGCAGGTATGGAATCTGTTAATAAAAACAGCCTCAGCTGAAAAAGTATTTGAACAATAAAGAGGTTTCGCAGTGGAACAGATATGTGTATGCATACGTTAAGCTATCCGTAACTGTTGTCGTCTTTTCAGTTGTTTTGCATCGTGTACGCTTACGCTTAGATGTCGGAACCAAGCAGTAATCCAATATGGCAGTAATCCCAAAAATGTTTGTATCTGCGGCTTGTCCTGCTTTTTGAAAGTGGTGTAAAAGCACCCTGTCTTGTTCGCTCATGTAACCCAAACATGACGTTTTGGACCGGTAATTTGCTTCTTTTTTTCTGAGAAGCTCCATAAATTTGACCATGACTTCTCCTTTTTCAGATCTACGATGCAGGTGACTTCTCTCAACTGTGCTCTGAGGACAGCGAGAAAGGTTACCACTGGTGCGGAGGGGACTTCATCAGTGCAGACAGGGTAGTCATATGGAATAGCCAGGGCAAGGGCTTCCTCTATCAGCTACCGACAAGGTAGGTTTCCTGACTGTCCGCCCCAGGCTCAAATCTAGCACTGAAGGGGTTGGAGTCACTGAAAACTAATCCTCGATTTCTCAGAACCATCAAAATCCCTAGGAGGCTTTTGGAAGATTTCCGAAAGCTTTGACCTGTCACTGAAATTTTTCGTGGGAACCATGGAATCCGTAGCTGGCAAGTCCTATTAAACCTTTTCAAAGAAATTGATGTAAAAATTAGTAAGATCTTAGGTGTCTGAAGAATATTCATCAAAATATGTTCTATGTGGGATACTAACTTGGTTCATAGACCTTCAGGTTAGGAAATTTAGAACCAGCATGACTCCCCGGTTTTCCTTCGTCCATTTTCAGTTGCATACCAGAGAGCGAGGATTTCCGCAGCAACATTGGTCGTGGTGTGGAGGTTACGTCTCATCCCTTTCTCTACTGCATCCTAGAAGCCAACGACCTCAAGGTACAGCATCCACTAAGATTGTCTCTGCACCTCTTGTACATTGATTTGACTGGGTTTGAAGTGTCTCTTGGCAAATTTTTCTATAGACCTCATTTTGTGACGTCACATTTTGAGCGGCATTTTTAAATGAAAAATCATGTATTTTTCCAAACGCAGTCATTACTAAATTGACTCTGAAACACCCCCAATTGCCTTGTGGAGAAAAACTCAAAAAGTCAAAGATTTTGAGTGATTTTGTTGCTTCCAAAAAAAAGAAAAAGAACAAAATACAATCTATCCTGCGTACTGTTAATTTTGCCATGAAGCAAACATTTTCCATGCAAAGGACATTTGCTGTGTTCGCAATTATCCCCCGGATTCTACATCCCGTCTTGCATTGAATTTTTCCAGCCACTTTCCTGCGCGCCGGCCATGACGTTTTTTTACGGCCGCCGCGGCCCTTTCTACAAGCTCTTTGTCCGTGGGGACTCGGAGGGCTGCGTGACGGTGTGGAGGATGCCCGAGATCTCGGACAAGGAGCTCAGCTACTTGAAGCAAGAGGAGTTTGACACCCTACCTGGTAAGAGATTGGATGCTTGGGTTTATTAGTTTGCTTTGGCATTTCTGAAGACGGCACTAGATGGGCCATTCCGTAAATTTGGGGTCCATTTTTTCCTGTCCCTTAGGAGTATTTTATTCATAGCAGCTCATGAAATTGAACCCGAGACTTTGTTTCTTATTTGGATTTTAATTTTTTTTCTGGTAGTGATGCCACCCTCTGCGAGTAACAGTCTTAGCGATTTGTGGAAATACTGCTCTCCGCGACCTGCTGGAATCATAGACCAACTGGTTAGTATCGTTTGTCTTATCAGGATCATAAGTACAGCACAAGTCTGGTCACAAGGAATCATAGACCAACTGGTTAGTATCTTATGTCTTATCAGGATCACAAATAAATCACAAGTCTGGTCACAAGCACATCACAAGTCAATTCACAAGGAATCGTAGACCAACTGGACAATATCTTATATCTTACATGCCTCAGGATCATAAGTACATCACAAGTCTGGTCACAAGCACACCACAAGTTAATTCTCAAGGAATCATAGATCAACTTGACAGTATCTTATGTCACACTGGCCTCAGAATCACAAGTACATTGCAAGTCTGATCACAAGTACATCACAAGTCAATTCACAAGGAATCGTAGACCAACTGGACAATATCTTATATCTTACATGCCTCAGGATCATAAGTACATCACAAGTCTGGTCACAAGCACACCACAAGTTAATTCTCAAGGAATCATAGATCAACTTGACAGTATCGTATGTCACACCAGCCTCAGAATCACAAGTACATTGCAAGTCTGATCACAAGTACATCACAAGTCAATTCACAAGGAATCACAGACCCACTGATCTGCATCTTATGTCTAGTAGTCCTCAGAATCACAAGTACGTCACAAGTCTGGTCACAAGTACATCAGAAGGTCTAGTAATGCATTTCAGATTTTTAGCACAGTTTCCTAGGTCCTGCTTATGATTAAATTTTGGTTATCTTAAACTTCTGATTTTATTCTCTCTATTTGCAGAGTGTTACGCACGGTGATAAATTGTCTGAGCCTTTACCAGTGACAGCTAGCATCTACCTACCGGACCAAGGCTGGCTAGTGTGCGGCCGCAAAGACGGTAGTATTGTGATCGTACCGGCCATTCAAACAGCTATCGTTCAACTCCTGGATGGACCACACACTGCTAGGAGAGGTACGTGTCTTGCACTGAAAGTTAAGAATTCGTATTATTGGAGCAATTTGAAATAATTTAATATCTAAAGAAAAATAACTAGGTAGTAAGGGTCAAGCTAAGAATTGCTTTCTTTTTTGGTGACCTTTTCCAGGTTGGCCACCCCATCGCATCCTCCGCGGCCACCAGGACAAAGTCACCTGCCTCCTGTACCCACACCAGGAGCACACCCGCTACGACTCCACCTTCCTGGTCTCTGGGGGAGTGGATTTCTCCATCTGTCTCTGGGATATCTTCTCAGGCAATCTGTTGCACACCTTCTGTCTGCACGGTGGGGAGATCAGCCGCATGGTCATCCCGCCAGAAAATTGCAACGTATGTCTTTTGATTTCTTTTTGAAAAGTTTGATAGTTGAAGGTTCTTTAAGGAAGTCTGGTTAGTATGGTGGTATTTCCCTTACCTTCCACTTCTATGACCTGGGCCCAATTTCATATCGCTGCTAAGCGCACAATTGTGTGCTTACAGAGCCTCCGTCAATTTTATGGAATTCCTGAGCAGTACGCACAGCAAAAGGCACGCTTATGTGAGAGGAAAGATTTGCTTAACTTAGAACGAAACAATAGAAATCTACATGCGCGAGCAACCATTAGCACATCATCCATGCATTGAAATAGTGCTGAAGGTTAGCACAATTTTCTGCTATAGTAAGCACAACTTTTCTGCTAACTGTTAAGCAGCACCATGAAATTGGGGCCTGGGTTCAAATCTCCCCGGGGCCGACAAGTGCCTTGTCTGAGTTTGAGGTTTTTCTATAGAAGTTGTTTTCAGAGTTTTCCTTTTACTTAATATCAAAGTGTACATTCTTGATCATGTTCTAAATATAAAAACTTATTCAAGTTTTTTATCGAACGATAAATTAACCTTTTACTGTGTATATTTGGTCTGTATTTCCCTCCAGGCCCGCGTCTTGGCATGTATCTGCACTGTGGCCAGCGACCACTCGGTGGCGCTGCTCAGCTTGCGAGAGCGTAAGTGCATCATGCTGGCCAGCCGGCACCTGTTCCCCATCAAGACTATCAAGTGGAGGCCCACTGAGGACTTCCTGGTGGTGGGATGCGAGGACGGCAGCGTCTTCGTCTGGCAGATGGAAACGGGTAGGAAAAGGATTAGTAAAGGGTCTCTTTTGATTGGGCAGCTGTGCTTGTGTTCTTGAGCTGGATGCTTTACCACAATTGCTTCCTGTTATATGGAGAAGAATCTGTGGCAGAGTAATGGACAGTGCATTGAAAGAGTGTCTGTAGATTCGTTTTTCATCCGGTAACATTTAATGAACCAGTGTAGGGGTCTGTTTTTATTGGACTGCTGTGCTTGTGTTCTTGAGCATGATGCTTTACCACAATTGCTTCCTGTTATATGGAGAAGGGTCTGTGGCAGAATAATGGACAGTGCATTGAAAGAGTGTCTGTGGATTCGTTTTTCATCCGGTAATGTGTAACAAACCAGTGTAGGGGTCTGTTTTTATTGGACTGCTGTACTTGTGTTCTTGAGCATGATGCTTTACCACAATTGCGTCCTGTTATATGGAGAAGGGTCTGTTGCAAAATAATGGACAGTGCATTGAAAGAGTGTCTGTGGATTCGTTTTTCATCCGGTAATGTGTAACAAACCAGTGTAGGGGTCTGTTTTTATTGGACTGCTGTACTTGTGTTCTTGAGCATGATGCTTTACCACAATTGCGTCCTGTTATATGGAGAAGGGTCTGTTGCAAAATAATGGACAGTGCATTGAAAGAGTGTCTGTGGATTCGTTTTTCATCCGGTAACATGTAACGAACCAGTGGAGGGTCCTGTTTTTATTGGACTGCCGTGTCTGTGTTCTTGAGCAAGATGCTTTACCTCAATTGCTTCTTTCTCTCATGTCATGGAGAAGGGCTTGTCGCAAATCAATAGTCATTGACTAAGAGCCTATGAGGGTTTGTCTCTGTCTGGAAATGGAAATAAGTTTAAAATTGTGGATTGCTTTATCATGCCTGTGTTCCTGAGCAAGCCGCTTTACTACAATTCAAGAGATTCATGTTTCGAGAAAAGCTGCTTAATGAGGTTCAAATTCTGTTCCACCCCTAGTGCATCACTAGAAACATCAACATCTATTCGTTTCCATTGCCAATCGGTACTTGGCAGTATAAAAAAAACCATGATTTAATTTTTTTTCGCTGAATTTTTTGGTTAGTTTTAACACCTGTATCTCTTTTGTATTCCAAAGGTCACTTGGACCGTATTGCCCAGGGTGTGACAGCTGAAGACATCTTAGAAGCCTGTAACCACATCGGACGGACAGTGGAAACCATGCTGACCCCTGCTCAAAGTATCGCCCAGGCCTTCCGGCGTCGCAGCTTGACTGCCATCAAGAACGCCGCCCATCGCCACCTCCTTGCCACCTACCAGGGAGCCAACGCCCCTTCTGCCGCCGAAATCGTGCCAAAGAACCCCTCCCATGCCCTCTCCATCCAGGCCATGCGCTCTAATGCCAAGGACTCTGATTTCCACGTCTTGTTCTTTGACACGGAGATCCTGGTGGTGCATCTCCTGACCGACGAGAACCTCATCCCCGGCATTGTCACCAAGGGCCAACCCGACTCGGGGAAGCTGTCAGCATCCCAGCAAACCGGGTCCTCCCAATCCCCGAAGCTGTCGCAGCGTGTCGCCGGCTTCCTTACCAAGCAGATTGAGAAGCAGATCAAGGACAGCGATGATGAGGAAGACGAGGAAGGGATGCTGCATCAGCTGCGGCCTCCTAACTCAGCCTCCAGGAGGCGTAGTGTCCCCTCTCGTAGCAAGACCTCCAAGAACCTGACTCTAGACCAGAGCCATCTGACCTTAGACATTGCTCAACTCTTCATGTCTTGTCTGCACGCCTGGGGGCTTGACACCACCCTAGATGACATCTGTCTGACCAAACTGGGCCTCCTGAAGCCTCACTCCCCAGTCTCCTTCGGCCTTCTCTCCCACGGCGCCTACATGTCTCTGATGCTCCCGGGCTGGCACCGCAACCCTTCCAAGACCCCATCCCCATCCAGGATGTCCCCAGACCCCAGCTCCATCTCTGCCAAGGAGGCCCTGCAGCTCAAGAAACGAGAGCAGAAGGAGATCTCGGACATCCAGCTGGGCTTGCTGCTGGATGGTCAGCAGTACCTGGGACACTGGGAGCTGTCCCGAGCAGTGACCACCCAACATCTCCTGTCGGTCATCTCTGTAGCCAACACTCTGATGAGTATGAACAATGCCAGCTTCATGATCCTGTCCCATTTCCGCAAGGGCAAGCCCAAAAAGTAAGTTACAAATAGAACAAGTATCTTTGGCACCTGTCTACAGTTGGCAAAGCATCCTTAGGGAGTATCTCAAACCAACCTTTCTGATTACCAATGTGCAAGGAGATGGACATCTGGTTTAACAAATTGTGACAAATCTGTTTTTGTCAAAATAGCGTAAAAGGACAAGAAATAGTTGCTCCATGTGATATTCCCCTCATTTAAAAAAAAAAATCATTTTTATGAATAGCATAATTCATTGAATTGCAATCTTAATCGTTTCTTGCTGTTCCTCTTCGGCAACACAGGTCTGCCGCTGGTACAGAAGGAGATAAGGTGGATCCCTTTGACAATCTTGCCGATCTGACTCCTGAACAGGCTATGATTAAACAAGGTAAAAGAATTCACTCTTTCAGAAAAAAAACTCATACTTCATTGCTGAAATTTTTTGGGAAGCTGTTCACAATTCTGTGACTAAAACCTGACGCAGTGGGCCTATTGGGGATAAATTGTCCTGGATGTTTAATGTGACGACTCCTAAAGTGTCTCTTTTTGTTCACTCATTTAAGTCCTTAAACTTCTAGCAATTATTGAGTGTGTCTGTCTCTCGTTAACTGCCTATCAGGTTGGAGCCTGCTGGCTGCCCTACACTGTGTCCTCCTGCCTGACTTACTGGGCAGCACCCGCTACAAACCACCCCACCTGGAGATGCTGGCTCGCAGGTGGCAAGACAGGTGTCTGGAGGTAAGGGCTTTGATTCTTGAAAGCACATAGGAACATTTGCAATTATACCCAGAAATGTACCGACCAATTCAACAAGAAAATCTTGTTCAAATTGAAGATATAGGACTGGTACCAAAACTCAGTCCAAGACTGTGGAATTATTCTGCCTGAAATGGTGTCACTCGAAAGAAATCAATCATTGAAGGTTCTTTTTAATAGAAAATGTGCCCAGGGGCACTGTTTGTAACTTGCGTAAGCAACCGAATCCAGTTACTAGACCCCAAAAATTGTGCATACGTTTTCTCTGTTTTCTCAAAATGTATTGTATCCACTGAGCGGAAACTTCAACAAATTTAGTTGTTATGCACCTTTATTAAGATTTTGAGCAATTTTTTTGCATCAAACGAAAAAAAAAATCACAAAAAGTAAATGATCCTTTGTACCGTTAATTCTTTGCAGGTTCGCGCTGCTGCCCAAGCTCTGTTGTTGGCCGAGCTGCGACGTATCGGTGCCGATGGCAGGGAGGAGGTTATCCACACTTGGGCCCATCACCTGCCCAACTATGTGGATTCGTCTCTGAGTCTGCTGGGCAGTCAGAGCCAGGCTAGCTCCATGTCCTCCCTGTCGGAGACTGGGAGCAGCGAGAGCGACGAACACGAGGAAGAAATACTGTCAGGTAAAACAAAGAGAAATAACAGCTGCTTGGGTTAATTTTTTTAAAGCACAAAAAAACAAAAGCATAAGGAAAAATGTTTTGTTTGCAGAAAAGTGTGAACATTGACAGTGCCATCAAATTGGACCACAGGGCTGATTGCATGGAACAGCTCAAATCAGAAATTTTGCTAACCATCGGAAATCTTTGTTTAGCAGAAACAATTTTTATGAACAGTGAAGATATTTGCATCCATCCTTTGGCCTTTGTACCGTCCCAAACCGCACTGTCTGTTACTCCTCATACCGCCCCAAACCTGCCCCTGCACTCTATTGTTTTATTAATTCATGAAGGAATAAATACAATATAATACAGTTCAATAATACAGATCAGTAATACAATACAATAGCTAAAGGGTTATAGAAATGATTTTTAAATTCAGGTGATTCACCGACAAAGAAAGTCTCGACGTCGTTTGAGTCTCGCCGCAAGCAGGCCACAGCCATCGTCATGTTGGGTGTGATTGGGGCCGAGTTTGGGGCGGAGATTCAGCCATCCCGCCTACAAGGCAGCCCGTCCAACCGACCGGTCCAGCAAGGGTTTGGCATGAACGACTACTCGCTCGCAAGACATACAGGTAGGCTTGGGTTGTAGGAAACTGGGGATTGGCAGGGCACCAATAGGGTACCGTGAAGTTGAACAATTCAAAGCAACTTTAATCTTGGATTAAGGTTAATTATTGTTAGACCATTTGAGAGCAATCTAGTAAATGTTCTAATATGTATGGTTATGTATGTGGAGAAATTTGGCAGTAGGAGTCTGACAGTTGAGTCAATCGTAGGTCTATCGCAAGTCAATCACTGATCAAATCACAAGTCAGTTCACAAGCATAAATAATGCCAAACCAGTTCCTTTGTCACAATTCGTTTTAATAGCTTACCGCTTGACTTGAGACTGGGCGACTCATGATTGCCTTATGCTTGACATTTGATTACTTGACAACATCTGTTTCCTGTCTCATTTCCCAGCTCAAGCCCTGGCCTATCTCTTGCTGGAGCCCCCGAAGCCCAAGTTACCGGCTCACACTCCGATCCGCCGTGCCGCCATCGACTTACTGGGCAGGGGCTTCACGGTCTGGGAGCCATTCATCGACGTGTCTGCTGTCTTTCTGGGACTCTTGGAGCTGTGCAGTGATACCAAAAAGTTTGCTGCAAGGTACTTTCTGATAAAAGAACTAAAGTTCTGAGGGTTCCCTTCCAGGGAAAGGCTGGGTGCTTCTTTCACTAGTCAATTGTGATACCAGGAACGGAGTGGACAGGCGTTGTTCTAGACTAGAGACATTCCTTATAAATCGGGACATGCAACACCCTAAACCTTTCGGAAACTGTATTGGCTGAAATGGACCTCGTTTTTACCCTCTCTGTATCTGATTGGCATAGTTTCGAAATTTGCATCTGTGTCAGATGTAGTACCTATTTGTAAATATTGAATTTACTTTGCCACCTCATCAGAGGTCATGAAGACAATTACGTGCTGATCTTTCTCTGACACTGTGTCTGAGTGAAATATTGAGACAGTGTGTGGACTATCACTGTCCCTCCCCCTCACTCCTTTGTGGTCAAAAGTCTCGTCAGTTCAAAGCGCAGATGGTAAAAATAGAAGCCTAAAGTATGCTTAGCAACGTTTCCTGCAAAGCGCTTCCATGAATTCCCCTCTGGGTACTTAACACAGATTTGACACATTTGTGTCCACTTTTTTTCCCCCTAGCATTAACAGTGGTTTGCCCATCACCCCGGCTGCCGATTCCAACCGCAGCGCCCACCACGCCTTGGCCCTGATTGCCACGGCCCGGCCGGCCACCTTCATCACCACCATCGCTAAGGAGGTGGCTCGCTACCAGGCCCTGGCCACCAACACTCAGACCCCGGCTGCCATCTTGCAGGCCAACCCGCTGAGCCGAGCTAAGGCCGAGGTGCTGAGGATCGTGGAGCTGCTGATTGAGAAGATGCAGAATGATGTGGTGGACCTGATGGTCGAGGTTTGTTTCTGATATCGACATTCTCTCATACCCACTGCTCTATCCCAGGATTCACAGATTTGTTTGAGCTATCATTTGATCTATTTTGTTTTAACGGGTAACTTGTGGTCAGCACTTCCATTCTCACACATTTGCTAATATGGGTAGTTATTGGGTACCACTATAGACCGTTCTGAGCACAATATCTCTGGATATGCATGGAGGCCCCCCCCCTCCCCCTTCAATGGCGAAAGCATTGTTCAAGGTATGGTTAAGATTGTCCGTGGGGCAGATTGAAGAAATTGAACAAAGAAATTGCCCTGGAGCGGGGTTTGCACCTGCAACCTCCAGATTGCCGTTCCAGTGCTCTACCAACTGAGCTATCCAGCCCTACGTTGGCTGATCCCCATCTCGTCAGTGTCTTTGTTCAAGGGGCGCTAGTCAGAAGCCATAAACCCGTGTATGCCATGTAGCCAGAGATCATGCTCAAAGTCACAATGGTAGCAACATTCCGGATGCTGCAAAGCTAGGAAGTGTTTTATTTTGTAAGCATATTTAATATTGTTGATGGCCATTCAGGTGATGGACGTCGTGGTTCACTGCCTGGACCCAGGCCAGCTCAAGACCAAAGGCCTGATGGAGATCTTTCCCTGTATCTGCCGCTTCAACATGCTCAGCTATTGTCACCACACTAAGCGGATTGCCGCCGGTGCTAAGACGGGGCTCATCGCAATCTACGACGCCAAGACTGGCAAGTCACAGGTAAGCATTTATGGCTGGTTTGTACCTATCTCACTGACTGAATGATTGACTGACTCCCTGACTGTCGCTTGTGTGCCGGGCAGTGCTATTGTATAGGGTGACCTGGTAATACCAATGAATTGGCTCAATTTGGCCCATTGTGTACACTAGACTTTTGAGTGCCGTGGCCTCATGGTCTGGAGCATTAAATTCGTGGTCTGCGGGTAATTCTGCAGGTTGTGGGTTCGAGTCCAGCCTGGGGTTATGGTGCGTGTGCCCTTGGGCAAGGCACTTTATCACTCATTGCTTCTCCCCATCCCAGGGTAAATGGGTGGGCATGAGATGGTTATTGTGGTTAATTTAAGCTGCTTTGCGCCGAAATGGCAGCATCGAGCTGTATACTCCCCAGGGAGCTGAGGTGGTATTCGGAATGTTTCCTTGGCCCAATGAGCAGGGTAATAATGATGTTGCGCATTGAGCACCAATACTGGCGGATATGTGCACTTTATAAATACACATTATTGAATACACATTGCTATCACATGCATGAAAAGACATTTCCACTTGGTAAATTTTGAGCAGTACACGTCTTTTCTCAGTTGGTTCAATTTCCTTGGAAGATCAAAGCTGGGTCTTGAGAAAATGAAGACTTGTCCAACTCGTTCTGTTTTTTCTTTTTACTCCTACCGTAGACCATCTCTGGCCACACCACGGCCGTGACAGCTCTTGCCTTCTCCACTGATGGCAAGTACATGGCATCCTACGCCTTTGGGGACACCAAACTTTGCTTCTGGCAGGTAAGTTGTTCCCCGCAGAGAAAAACTTTTTTTTTCCAGATGATTTAAAAATAGTTGTAACTCCTTTTTTGTTTTTTGTTGTTAATTTTTTTTGTTTCCTCTGTGAGTTGTGACACCAATTTTAATTCAAACTTTTTGGGTTGAGTTAAAGTTTTCTTGAGCATTTTTATTTATACCCTTTGAAAAATAATGTTTACTGTTTATTCTTGGAGTCTCATTGGAGCTTTGTTGGTGATTTTCTCTGCATTTGTCATTTGAGGTGACTTTTTTGGTTTGGGATTTTTGTGGGTTTTTATGTGAGCTTGGGTGTTTTGGGGTTCAAAGTTTGACAAAAGGATCATATTTTTCTGTTACTGTCATGCTGTTTGCATGGTGTTTGTGCACTTTTGAGGACTTTTATTCCTTATATTTCTCAAAATAAAGGTGGAAATTTCATAAACATGTCATCCGATAGAGAAAGACGGAGAATAAGGAAAGGAATAGACAGGAATTTTCACTTAATAATTGGGAGATTTCAGTTGGATGACATATTTGATGTTGGAATTAGATTTGCAAAGCTTAAGATTGGAGCAGTGCTTTATTGCCTAAAGTGCTTTTATTGTCCACAAAACTCACCTACTTATCCACCCCTTCCAAACCCCTGCCCCCGATAAAGACCATTGCCACCCCCATGGCTGGAGTAATGAAGCTGGTAAGTGCCAACAAACGAATGACCCATTTTTAAATGTATGGTGCAGTTTGGCTTGATATTTGAGTTGTGCGTTGACAGTAGAGGGCGCTAGATAGTCATTGCTTCCCTTGGTTTAGGTTTGCTGCAACTTCCCTATAGCCTTATGCTTTCAGTTTCTAGAGGTTTTGCGAAATTTTCCCCGTTCCCTCTAACACGTACCACAAGCATCCTCCCCTCCGTCCCCAATTTGGAAACTTTTAGGCTTCCCTGTTAGTAAATTCCCAACTTCCTGTAAGTTGCAGTCCAGGCAGTAGATGCACGCCACTGTTCTCTATATAGAAATCTGGATAGCCCATTGGCTGTTAGAAGTGAAGCCACCGTCCGCCATATTACTACTCCCAGAAATATAGATCTGTAAAGAAAGATGTCTAATTTTTATTGACATGTATCCTTTTTACACAACAAAGTAATATTTTTGTTTACAAAAAAAATAAAATGACAACAAAATATATTTTATATAACATTTCTGTTTAGAAAACAAAACGTTTTGTATACTTTTACACGACTAGATTTCAATTCTTTTGAACAATGGGAGTGGCTGAGGCTGGTTCCCTTAGCATATTTGAATGGAGGGATTGGGAACCAGTGCGTAGCTTCACTTGTACAGCTCAGAATGGCAAACAGGCTATCCAGATTGTTTACACGGAGATCAGTGATGCACGCACAGATTTTAGTTGATTGTTACGCCTGTTGCATACTTATGAGCCAGCTTCTTCCATTTGGAAGCATGAACAGTTTCTAGTGACTTACTGATCCTGTAAACAAGTGATCAGACTTATTTCCTTAGAAACAATGAATAAATTTAACCCTGATAATTATGCACAAGCTGTCATATGTGAACATGATATTTTTTTATGGGTGAAGTGAAATTAGTTCTTTGGTGTCTGCTGATTTTTGCCACCTCCCTACGCTTTTAGCAGATGTCGGATTCAGCCATTCCCTTTACAGTATGCCAAAACCAGGAACATTAACCTGTAATGCGTGTGTGTGAAGAGAAAAATGGGACATGCACATTGCATGCTACTGTCTGCATGTGTTGTGTGCATTGAGAGGTTTGTGAATCATGATGTCTGTTAGATGACACCTCGTAGTCAATACGTTGTCCATTGTGTAGCAAAGACTTTATTAAGAACCAGGGTAAACCACTTACATTTCAATGGTTCACGCCCGTTCACATCTGTAGATTATGTTAATATCAGTATGAGTTAATGCATTGCATGGAGGACAGGCTTAAGTTAAACACGCAGAGCTTTAGACCGGTTCCAGTCCCCTCTACTAATAGTCTAGATTAAAAAAGAGAGAGAGGGAGGTGGGAACCAGCCTAGAATTGGGAGCACTTGAATCACTGGTGTCCATTTTAAAATGCACCTGTTAATATTCAAGGATTATAGCATACCAGGGAATAAGGTGCCTTGCATGTACATTTTCATTTGGGGGGGGGGGGGGGGGGGGGGGGGGTGGGGGGGGCGTGGGTGGAAGCACTAAAAAATCAATCTTTGAAAATGACAGTGCCTGTCATGTAATCCCTAGAAGACATAGGGACATTTCTAGTAATTTGCCTTTCTAAGATACCAATACATGTACACGTAAAATACAGATGGAGAAATTCAATTTGTGGTTTTTTTTATTCAAATTTTTGTCAGAATGTAGTTTGCTCTTGATGATATAAAAATCTAACAGGCATCAAAATCTAACAGACATGTTTGAAAGCAGATTCTTTGGAGGTAGTTTTAGGGGTTTTTTGACCCCAGAATACGAAATTGAAATTGCATAAAATAGATTTCTGAACTACTTGTTAGAATTTGTTCCAGCCTCGTGCTGTTGAGTGTTTTCATCAAAGAATGCTGTTTGCATGAACAGGACGTCCATTTGTCCCTTTGTGGTGTTGTGAGCGGGTATAGTGGCTTGAGAGCAGGCATGATATTTTTCAGACTTTAGTCGTAAATCAGCCTTTGTTTAATCTGAGAGAAAGACATTATTAGTATGGAAAGAAATGCTTCTTTGAGACCTTACATCCAATTTTCAGATTTTTTTTTTTAAATGACAATTTCATCCCTGCTTGAGAGTGAGTTAACTAAAAAAAAAAAAATCACAGAATTGCCAACTTTGACGGATATATTTATTAAAAGGCTCCATTTTGGGAATAGTGGTGCATGAGTAGTACAGAAATTTGTCTGGCCCAGATTGTTCGAGAGAGTTGCGACAAATATACGATTATAAAACTGGTCTAGATAAAATATGTTGGCATGCAGCACTGGCTTAACTACCAGTGAATGAAATGTGTGGTAAGGATTTGGAATATCACAAGTCTAGATATTAAAAAATAACAAGGCACCAAGAGAAGGGTATCATCATCCAAATTTCAAACTTGTTTTTGAAAACCTGCTTCTACACTGCAGGATCTTGTAATTTCTGAAGCCTTAGATGCGATGTGTATATCGTCTATAAAATCAGTTATTTCAGTAAAACTAATTGTTAGTAATTTTCCAGTAATTTTTAAAAGAAAGGAATACAAGGTAAGAAGCATGCATTCACATGAAACTTCGGACTTAAGAATAATTCTATTGTTTTGGTTATTCTTGGTCAGACTGGTAGTTCGCTTCTCGGCGGTATGATCAGCTCAGCCACAAAGTGCGTCAAGGCATTCAAGACGAGGCAGTTCACCGGTTCCTTCACGGTGAGCCAGCTGCGCCAGGTGGCCCTGTCCTGGCCCCAGCCCCGGGCGGTCATGCTGAAGTACATGGACGGCTCCATGGACAAATATCAGCTGTGATTCAAGAAACTACCAGGCCTGTGGGTTCCCTTCCTTGTAGCTACACTGTTTTGCTTGTGTACAGTCACAGACAAGAAGAACATCTTTCATCAGGAGTTTCAGGGGAGTCCTGAGTTCCCCGTGCTCCACAAGAGGGGAACAAACACATCCACTCTTTGAGCAGACTGGCTACCGGACCGTACATTATCGATAACAATTGTGGGGCAGGAACCAGCCTACCCCGCGAGAACGGAAATATTGTCTGGCAGCCAATATTTCGAAATTATAAAGTAACAACGCAGTAACTTTTCATGGGCAATTTTTTCGGTCGATATCTCATTCAAAAGTGAATAACTTTTGAACTGTTAGAAAATAAGCAATTTAGAAAAGGAATTTATTTTGGGGGATGAAACTCGAAAATAGCAAGAGTAATGAATCTTTAATTTGCATTGGCAGTTATACTGGGCAACACCATTGCGCTGCACAAAAGTTATCAGAAAAGTTGTGCTTAGTATAGCAATAAAAGTGCACAAATCTATTGCAGCATTAACAAAGATATCTATTATGATTAATCTGTTATTTTTTAAAGCAAACTCTGCTTAAAATAAGAGAGTAACTTCTGAAGTAAGTGTTGTACCTGCTCATGTGAAAAAGGATTAAGCTTCAATGTGAAGTAAAATGTTTCTAAGCAGGGCCATGGTATTCTGTCTTTTTAGTAGGAGTTGTGCAAATATGTGAAATATAACCATGTATCTGTGAAATATATTTAATATTTCCCAGCCTCGTTTTGCAATATGAGCTTGTCCCATGATTTTATTGTGGAAAGAATGTCTGTCACAGATAGACAATCCAGACTTATTCAGTAGGCCTCCCAATTCCAAATGTCTGTACCCAAATTCTTACTCGCTAAACAGTATTTTTCGTCAGTGTGTTCAATGGAGTCCCAGACAGCGCTGGTTAAATGTTCTCCAACAACATGTGGACAAATAGTAAGTGTACGAAATAATTAATCTTACAGTCTGTTATGTTGTAAGTTTCTTTAATACATTCACCCACCTCTTTGTAAGTATGAATTGACTGTCAAATCATTGTGAAATCATCAATTGTACTACATTTCATCGAAAAATGTTTATTTAGGATATAACTGTTAAGATTCGGGAGTCTGTGTCTCATATGGTTTGAATTTCTCACAAAACCAACATGATTCTCTTGTTGGAATGTGACCAATTTAATTATTTTCATATTTTAAAATTGTCATTTTACCTTCTCAAGATTGAAAAAAAAAGCTCTCGGAACCACTGCCGACAACTGCTTATGTCATCTTGGATCATGGCAAGGTGTAATATGACATTTTGAACTTCGATGAAATTTGAAGGCTTAATCCTTATTTGAACTCGTAGTCATGCGCAATGTGGTCAGGTGTCAATTTTTCACAGGGTCAGAATTCCACAGAACACTCGCATGAAAAAATAAATGGTACTGTATCCAACTCATAACATGGCATGTTTGTGTCCATTGGAGAGCAGCAGAAATTGATGAATTAGTGGCATCTTTACCAAGGTATTTTTTAAAAATGTTTTCTCCTTGAAAATACATTTCCAACAGACTGACAGAACTCGTGAGAAATGCTTACTTCAGCCAATTTGTCCCTTTTGTTTCAGTGTACATTTAGGCTACATGTGGCGTGATGTGGTCCAGTGGTTATGAACCCTGGTACATGGGTTCGAACCCTGATGGAGAACGTGGTTCTTGTGTTCATGGGCAAGACACTAGTCTTTACTACAATTGCCTCTCTCCACCCAGGAGTAGAAATGGGTACCTGTGAAAGTAGAGACCAGATCGCGCAGATCTTGTGCTGCTGCAGAAAAAAATTGTCTCATGGCCTGATGAACAGGGATAATATTGTAAAGTGCTTTGAATCCTTAGGTATAAAGCCCTATATATAAGCACCGCATTATTATTATTGTAATATTATGTTTGTATAAATATTACTCATCATATCGACTGTAATCTTTTGTAAATGTTGGACATTGTTTTAAGGTTTTATTTCAAAGTGGAGTAAATTATGGAAAGACCTAGATTATCTTGTATAGAAATATTATCTGTCACATATTATATGCATTTTATTAAAGGTTTCTCCCTTATGTATCGTCAGTACTCTATGTCATATTGTGCATTGATTCGAAGCGGAACTGTAATAAAAAAAAGGGAAGAGAAAATACACCAGCAATCGAAAAGTTTTATTTCTTGTGTGTAAGAGAAAATGACTTTGTTTCCAGAAATGGAAATACATGTAAAATCAAATCACTCTGTCTTAATGTTGAACGTGTAACGACACTGGCTCTAAAAGTCCAGCAGATTGTACAAGTCTGTGAATCCAGTACGTTGAGGAAAAAATCGAACTACCAATTCCTAATAATTGTACTCTTGAATTTTTCTTTAAGTATGGCAACAGTATCTCCTTCAGATTTTCAGGATTTTTGGAGAGGGGTAACATTTTTCTTTTGTAAAGTGGCATCTTTTCAGTCCCCTTAATTTTAAACACAAAATCAGATTTGGGGAATATTACAGTGATCATACCCTTAAAGGCATATTTAGGATCATTTGCTTTTCATGCATTTCGTCCGTTTCCAATTGAAGTTTCAGCTCAGTGAGTGCATGTATAACACTTTTCGTCAGCAGCACTGTTTTATTTCCAAAAATCAGTCAACTGACTGATCGTTGGAAATCGCCTACATTTCTTGATTTCTTCTAAATGACTACAAGCCAGACGGAATAATTTCACGGGGTAGTACCATTACGATCTTTAATCCAAGTAAGCTTTTGGAAATAAATCGGTAGGTTTACTTTTTGGATAAATGCAAAATGATCCTATATGCCTTGAACCCTTGGTGCAACTACAGAAAATGGCGAGAAAAAAAATTAAACCTAAATCAGACTCTTCTTGTGAACGTGTTAATTGCGAGGCCATCTTAAGCACACTTTTGCCCGACAAATTTGGCCGTGAATTTATCGATTTTACGTATTCTGTTTGTGCTTCTTGGCAACAATGGACACCAATTAAGCCGCTCGTTTTCTGGACATGCTGGTACCTAATTGACGAACCAGCTGTGGGAATACAGTGAGGAGTATACCAACGGCCAAGGTCTGTCCTGTTTCGATCCCGCAAAAAAAACACCCCCGAGATGAGATATCATTTCTTACCATTTATTGAAGTTTAATTGCGTATTTTGTATTTGTTTATATTTTATTTATATATTTTAATTGTGGAAATAAACCAAGAGTTCCTCAAACGTGCACAGGGATAGCTGCGAAACGTGAAAAAAACTAAATTGTTTGTAGGTGTGAGTAAAATTTGATTATTCCAAGGAAAACCCGTGGATTCAGGCAACTGGACTCGAAAGTCTACGACTAAACCCATCCACATTGGCCTGAACAGGATTCGAACCCGGATCAAAGTGTAGAAGAGCGATCAATGAATTATATGTGTTTTCTCGTTCAATTTGAACAAATCATCACCCAAATTGGTATCAGAGTTCATTTTGGCGCGAATGTGATCGCAGTTTAAGACCATCGTTCAATTAACTATGCCGCACGTGGTAACCTCGTTTGGATTTGAAACTTTACAATGATGTCAAGTTTTACATAATAATGTGCAGTGCTGTATTTTGTTTAACATCCACAATTACAGTTTATTTTTGCTGCATGTTTATATTTTATTTTGATTCGTTGAAGAGGGGTTTATGATTGGTAAGCTAACTAAATAATCCAGTTAAGGGTATATAAGATTAAAAGAAATTCTCAAAATGTTTAGGTGCATAACAACTTGGGAGTTTAAACTAGTGACTATATAGAGTTTGAGAAAACAGGGAAAACATGTTCATGTTTTATGTACATGTTGTTTTGGTCTCGCGACTGGATTCCGTTGATGATTACGCGCGTATAAAGCGGCCGGCGGGAACACTTTAAAAATGTAATCACGTTCAGTCTCTTTCAAACGAAAGGCGGACTAATTTCTCATGGTATTTGGTACACCATCCCTATTTTGAGCAAGATTTTTCTCATTAAATCGGTAGGTCCGTTCCCAGGTAATTACCAATGTTCCTCTGTGCCTTTCACTTGAATAATTCAGTGAATATTCTTTTATTTCTGCTTAGATAATGAGACAGAAGTAACCAGTTTGCGATGTCAAAATTCGTGTTGTGCTGTGTTGTCTCAATCGTCACGGCAAGTTATTATTGGGGCTGCGTTTTGCTGATATAAAAATTCTGATGTACAGAACAGCATTTGGTTATCCGAAAATCAATTTAATAAAAATGAAAGATCTGATGTTCAAGTTAGTCGTCCTTGACAGTTGAATATATAATGCAATCTTCACAGCTGGTGCAATGCGTATCAACCATACGACGTAGTAGTACAATGTACAAGTGTTTTGTTGTTTTTATTAAGAGCCTTATTATACCGAGAGCAACTTATTCTCACGGACAATAAAAGCAATCACTCTATAAAATAGTATCCTTGAAAAAATTATCATTCCTTTGTTAGGTTTCTTTGAATATTAAATCCGTATCTTTCAGCAACGATTTTGCTATGCCTAGAGCCATCGTGTTAAAAGCAGCGTTTGCAATGAGCATTGTGCGCCGTACGATTTGTAAACTGTTGCTCAATTACTATTGCACTGCAGTGTATAAATTTGCACTTTTTTTTTAAATTCACGTGGTTAATTTGCTTTCTCATTCAGTGAATAAATTGTAATTAAAAGCGTAGTGATTCACCTGATGCTGTTTTTCATACTTCGTTTTCTATTAAATTTTCTCATTTTGCCCATATTATTTTCACACAGTCGACGTGATTGTTCAAGTGAAAAAACTAAAGGTGTGGTAAAAGGTTTTGGGTTTTCGTACGTGTGTGATGTATACAATCCCCCATGTAGGCCATGTCCCTTTTTGCTGCATGCCTGCCTGGTCCCAGCCAGGAGGACCAGCCTAGTGTGCTCTTCTTATCTATCTGATCGACTGACTCCCCGACTGACTGACTGTGTGAGCTGAGCAGTGTTCTCGTACATAATTACCCCGAACCGCCAATGTATGGGTTAAATCTACAATCGCGGCCAAAATGGTTGGGACACTTGGAAATAACCTTAGCCTCCAACGGTCACCAACTCCCCCGCTCCCCCGGTCAATGTTGTTCTCTCCAGCGGATGGAGCACACACCGCGCAATGAGAGACAACATTGAGCGGGGGCTGGGGGTTGGGGGCCAGGCGAGATTTGGCCAGGATTGAAGCCCATTGTGTAGACCAGATGCATACAGACTTCCAGTGAATAGCCATAGTTGACTAGAACTGTGCGCACTCTGGGTCCAGCGTTACTCGACTTGCCTTATCTTGTTGGGAAGTTCTTTTGTGCTACAAATACGGGATGTTAGTTGTCAAGACATAATTATTGGTGAACTTGCTCCCAATGCCACCGCCCACCGGCGCGCCAGAATAGGTTAGGGACCTTTTTGCCAAGGTAAATGTTGGGTGGCACAGTGACATTCGGCCTTTGTGAAATACAATATTGCACTGTGCCTTGATTCAAATGTGAAGGGTAATGTAGTTGAAATAAAGGCAATTCAACCATTCTCTGCACGTACACAACGTCGTAGGTCGATGCCAAGTCACAGACCCCGACTCCTACCGATTCCCCACGACTTAGGATGCGTTAAGTCCAAACAGTTCTGATTGTCTGCGATATATACGACTGCACAATCGTATCCAAAAACAGAAAACCGCCACCAAAATCAAAGACAGGTGCCAGTGACGTATGACTTCTCCTTACCAATTCACGAGGCATGTCGTCTGGGACCAAGACGGTCATTGCGCGCATTGTTCCGTCTGTAACCTTGACTTAATTTTTCGATGGCTGGCGTCACCACCTTAATTTACATTGAATTCGATATTTTTTAATTAGCTTTGCGCGAATAGAGATAATCGATACCCATAGCCGTTGGGTTTTAAGTTAGGATGCGGTAGGAACCGAGGCGGTGACGACTGAAATAATCGATAAGTGACTGTGCCGTTATTGTTGTATCGAGTGGTAATTAAGAAATACCAATGATATATGTTTTATTACCAACAGTAATTAACAAAGTGCAGGGCAGAGTATCAACATTACGGGGACACCAAGAGGACAAAGAAATTTTATAGAAAAAAAGGTTCAACTAAATTGAACATTTCAGGACAAAAATACTGACTGATTCATCGTTTAGAAAGAAAAAAAAGCTAGGAAAAAAAATGCGAAATACGATTTAAATCCATGGAAGCGCAACCGGAGGAATTAAAGCTTTTTTTTTTTTTTTTAATTTCTCAATAAACTCAACCACGAAATGAACGGTTTTAAAAAGAGTTGAGGATGTTTGAGACTTTCATAACTTTAAAAAAACCTCGAATCGGGTGGAGACTGCATGAATGAAATCCCAATCCATATCTGAGCACATCTGGAATCCCCAGTCGGGTCTCAGAGGCGGAAGGCGAGGGGAAAAAAAATGTGCTTTAGGCCAAAAAAAAAAGGCTCCGGTTTCTGGTATGGAGCTTGCCCAAAAAGTGGTGCGGCGACGCGGCTTTTTTTTTTTTTTTACCTGATTTTTTTGCTTCAAATGTCGGCTGATGACTGCAAATGGTGCCCGACTAAACTTAGTGCAAATATATGGGAGTCCAGAGAGGCCACATAAAGCTTATTCTCGACCATAACCCAATCTAAAAACACGTTAAAATTGTGCAGCAGCAAGATTCCAGTCAAACCAGTGAGTTTGGCGGTTTGAGAAATCATCTTTCATTGAAAAAAAAACGTTTTCATTTTGCCGACGCGCATGGCTACGGCGACGCGCGCGCATACCAGAAACCGGAGACTTTTTTTTTGGCCTTAGGTGCCTCCGTAGTCTGCCCTTAATCCGCTTGTTGCAACATTGCCATTGATACACTGGGTCATGTGGCAATTAGTCGTGTATATTTTGTGAGGTGGGATCGCTACTTAACATTCAAACGTTTGGTACGAGAATATATACCAGTCTTGTGCTGATACAATTTTAACTTTTGGAATTGCTATTGGGGGCAGAATCGAGAGGAATTGTGACCGAGAGGAGTTGGAAAGAAGTTCGCGCCAAATACACTTGGATTTTATTATTATTCAGCAATATGGCGTTCGTATGGAGGGAGTGTTTTAGGTGGGCACCACTCGTCTTTCTTCTGATCGTGACGCCAGGAGCATTGGCCCAAGATTCAGGTAAATCATCTTTCAGACTGATATAATTTGCCTTGTTTACATTATGGCGCATTGTTTCTCATAAATGTGTGTCTTGGTGGCCCACATGCTATCTCTCTATGGGGCTGTAGGTCGGGGCTGCGCGCCTTCTACGTTTGCGTTAACGTCTCTAGTTTATTTCTGTTTTTCTCTGGTTGGTTGGCATCTTCCTTCGTCGAATTTATTACGTTTTCAAAATTAATAAAAAGATCCAAACCCAAGCATTCTCAGACAACACTGACTTTATTGATGCTTCATTACTTTGGTGAAGGCAGGTAAATATTTAGGGTTTTTGGTCTGGAGGGGGTGGGGGGGGGGGGAAACGGGAAAATGTCTTGAAAGTGTGGCCTTATCTGTTTTCCTTCGTTAAATTATTATACAACTATTATAGTACAGCGGTTGTGAGTTGCTAAATGTCACGAGGGCGAGTTCCCCAAACCCCTTGCGCCCCGCCAGATACGCTTTTTTTTGTGAGGGAAACATAATTCTTTTTCAGATGCTGATCAAATGCCTGGATTTCTCGAAATCGGTCCGGCCACCATCGCTCCAGCTTCCACCATCTCATGCGAGGACATCCACGGGGACTCCTTCGGTAACCAGACGGCCAAGCCGGGCGTGTGCTACCTGGTCGCCGACGTGAAGGGTGACTTCCACGACGCCAGGGCTTACTGTCAAGCCTTGAACGACAGTCTGGGCTGGGATGTGGCGGATATTGAAGACGTCGTGGAGAACATGCTCATCCAAGATGCCTTGACGACACTCAAGGAAAACGGCTCACTGTCCTCGTAAGTTAGGTCTACTATAAGGAGCAATATTCGAACAGGCAACATTTTGAAGAGGCTTAATGAACAGTTTGCGAAGATGCAGCAGAGCTTTGCTGGAAAGCGTAGGCCCCTATAGGAAAAATTTGCTTTCATGATTTGTTCTTGTCCAATAGTAACATCACTCAAAATCCAAAGAAGAATGTTCAAAACCAAACCTGTTGAATTTCAGCTCAGTGGATATCACTTTTTCGAGAAAAAAAAAACAGTTAAAAACCAGGCACAACTTTTTGATCACGAAACACGATCTCGTCCATAGCACTCTTTATTTCTGAAACAAATCGTTCATCTTGCTTGGAAATCATCGACACTTTGTCTCTTGATTTCTTCTAAATAACAGCAAGCCATAGGAACAATGTCACGTGGTGTTTAGAAGCAGTATACGGTATTTAATCCAAGTAAGCTTTTGATAAAAATTCGGTGGGTTATACTCTTTTGTTTGTGATAAATGCAAAATATTGATTCTATATGCTTTTAAGCAGAAGTACGTTACCGGCCAAAATCTTTCTGTCAGCGGTTCACGTTATAACGTATTATATAGCGTAACAATATACGTTGAACCATGCATTGCAAAGAGAATTGCTGAACACCTTATTTGGCAAAAAGGAAAAGGTGATAATTGCTATTAAAAATGCGAATACTACCCACCGATTATATTATTATTCTTAGCATTTTAAGTGCATTTCAATCGACGCAACTTGTCAAATTAGTTTCAATACGAGTAAGAATTTTATCGACTAAAATCGGATTGACCAAGCTTTTATCATACACGCATGCAGTCAGTTGTTTCAGATCACGTTTTGGTCACTAGAGACGAAGATTTTTCTGTTAAAAGAAAAGTCCATTTTCGTAATGACACACGGTTTATGGCATCATATAAAAAAAAATTAAAAAAAAATAATGTCATGGTATTCAAATTGGATGTAAAAAAGGTAATGTCAATTTCTGTACATTTTCATAGCGCAACTACATTCTGGGTCGGCCAGAACGATCTCGAGACCGAAAACACGTGGGCGTACCTTAACGACAGCTCCAACGCGTGTAATCGCAGCGTCTACCTGAACTGGCGATACGAGCAGCCCAACGGGGGACGCCGACAGAACTGCATTGCTTACTTCTACAATGAAAATGGCAACTTTCAGGATCGCAAATGTGACGACGATTACTACTACTTGTGCAAAGTCAAAGTGACTTCCGGTAAGAGACAGAGAATGTCAACAGGATGTGATGGGTTCGAGTCCCACCTTAGCAAGCCTTCGAATTTTTTGTTATGTTTCAATGAGTATGAGGTACGGACACAAAACGCACAAAACAAAGACACGTGGGCGCCTTATGCACAAGTTGGCCATTTTTGTCGTGTTCCCTGAATGTATTTCATAAATTGTGAACTGTAGAATGGGATGGTGCCAGACTATTTATTCACTATAGTCTCACTTTCATTTTTTTAAATGTGGCTTAAAACATTAGGATATGTTTAATCCCAAATTTTAAATAATTCATCAGAGCAGACTGGTATTAATTTGTAACGTCATTGCTTTCATTTCTCTCCACAAATTCCAAAACTGAAGATTTTACCTCGCTCTCAATCCAACATGGCCGACTCGTGAATAAGGCCCATAGGCCTTGAATATGTAGTAAAATACTGTATCTATAAATTTGATCTGTCCCACAGTACTTTGCATTTACTTGTCGTCCTGTCTCGTTTCCATGGATCTGTTTTACAAGAAAAAGATTTTGCTGATCAAATATCACTTTAGGCCTATCAGTGAAAAGACAGTGACAGTTTGGCAGAAAATAGGCCTAATGTTTTCGCAATGTACAACACACATTATACACTCATGTGTGTTATTTGAATTTCTATATATGCTTGTAATTAAAATATTACATTGGTTACCCGTGCTAGATTTGCCTTCAAAGAGAAAAATTGCTGACCCCAAAATATGTTTAATATAAAATATGACTCAGGAAACAGTCAAAATTCTTTCCTTTTTTTATTGAAACAGAACCAGAGTCCATTCATATCTAATCCGCCTATTTTCCATTTTTTTTTTCAAACTCTTCCCGTGTACAGACACCGTACCTTCTTGTCCTGATTTTGTCGAGGATATTTCTACGGAGGCCTCGGACGGTAAGACAGAAAATCTTCAAGATCAGTTATCAAAATAAGTTACAATTGCAGGGTAGAAAAATAAGTTACATGTATATTCACGACAGTCTTAGAATACAATTAAAGTTGTTGAAAAAGTAACAATATTTGTTTTGACTGTCAACGACACAACGCTTTCTTTAGTAGGACATTTTCACAGATCATTTTTTTTTAAATACCAAAGATTAGCAACCTTTATAATAACGACGTGAAAGATGATCTTTTTTCCTCCAAGTTTGGTCAATCTACAGGGTGAGTAAAAAAACTCAAATGCCGGGACTATGTTTTGGGGTGAAGTTCTCCACGCATCCGTTTTAAAGTTCTGTCCACGGATCACAAAAAAGTGCGTTCTTTCAGCAAAACGAAACCAATTCACACACATCCCTATGTGATTTTGTTTTCGTTTTGCTGAAAGAACACTGTTTGTGATCCGCGGACAGAACTTCAAAACGGTGGTTGTGTTGAAAATTCCGTAACATGAAATTTACATAAGTGATTTGAATGATTCTTGTACTGAAAGAAAGCTTATGAATTGGGCTTTCCTATCCTAGATTTTGAAAGTGCTACATGCAGCACTTCAAAAAAAAATAATGGTCCCGACATTTGGGTTTCGTTTTTTGTTACTCATTGTGTATAATGAAATTTATAACAGCCAATTGTATTTTGTCCATTATAGCATGCTTGGATATCTGGCCTGTAGCGTTCAGCAATCCCGCGGTACCCGGCGTGTGTTATGCTCATGAGAGCTATCAGCAGTTCTACTTTGAGGACGCACTTAATTTCTGCAAAAGTCTCCCCGGCGGTTCCTGGTCGGTGGTCGACATCGAGGATGCGGAGGAGAATCTCTTCTTGGAAGCCTGGAATAGAGATAATTTCCCGTAAGCTTCGCTTTCCACCCCTCCACCCCAAAACAAAATAAAGCCTTAAAAATAACAATCAAATGTAGCATAAAAAGCCATTTCACTTGATTAAAAACTTCGATGTCTCACTTTACAAGATAACTTCCCTTTGCTATTTTCGAGTTTCAACTCCAAAAATAGAAAGACACAGTTTAGTTGCTATTTAGCAAGTCCGATGATGTGACTTTGCGCTCGAATATGAGTGAATCTTCATGTCTATTATGTTCACATTTAGGTCATTGTATCGGCCCTCTGTAAATATCTGACGTCTGTGATTTTATCTCGCAACTTGTACTTAGAATGAAAGGCTTTATAGATGCTGACATAGGTTTTTCAAATAAATTGAGTAAGATAATTGAAACGTGAAAGTGATATTAGACAATATTATGTCCAATCCAGTTGCGATTGCAGCTGGCGTAGAACTTTCAGCATACTGGAATGCAACTCTTATTTTTCTCACAAAAAATCCCAGCAAGAACAATGGTTACTGGATCGGACAAAACGACCGGGAGCAGGAGGCTGATTGGCGGTACACGTCGAGCGGGCAGTGCCCGGTGTATCTCAACTGGAGAAACGATCAACCCAACGGCGGCCGAGAGCAGAACTGCATGGTCATGTTCAAAACAGACGACGGAGCGTTTCAGGACAAAGCTTGCAATGAGAGGCGTTATTACTCGCTATGCAAACTCAAGAAAGGTAGATTTTTTGATGCCTTTCTTCATCCCTTTTCCACTATTTTGGGCGGATCAAGCGTACTATTTTAAATTTAAAAACCCTTAAATTTGTAACATACTAGTAACATGGCTGGATGCACTACAAAACCTTAATTTCAGCTGTGAAAATAATGCGGTTATTGTGACGTCACAGCTACCAGCACTTTTGGAGATGCACTTGATTACGTGTTTACTTGTCTGCAGCTGATTGTGTTTACTTTTGCTCTTTTGCCAAGGTTGTCCTTGTTGCTCTTCGTGTATTTTCACCTTTTGAAAGAAAACTTGAATCGAATTTATAGTGGCACAGGTCAATCACAAGTCAATCACCAATCGATCACAAGTCAATCACCAATCGATCACAAGTCAATCACTAATCAATCACAAGTCAATCACAAGTCAATCACATTTCAACCAAAAATCAACCACAAATCAATCACAAGTCAATACAAGTCAATCACAAGTCAGTCACAAGTGAATTATAAGTCAATCACAAGATAATATCAAATCAATCGCAAGTCAATCGCAAGTCAATCACAAGTCAACCACAAGTCAATCACAAGTCAATCACAAGCCAATCACAAGTCAATCACAAGTCAATCACAAGTCAATCACAAGTCAATCACAAGTCAATCACAAGTCAATCACAAGTCAATCACAAGTCAATCACAAGTCACAGTTAATTCTCAATGAACAGTGACAAAGGTATTCCTTTATCATTTTTTTTGCTTTGACTTGGGAGTGAACCGTAGCTCAGAATATGCTTCTTTGACAATGTTTGTAAGACATTGTTTTTTAATGCAACGATTTAAATCCTTTACGTTATCATTTTGTTTCAGATCCAGGACCGACCCCAAATCCGGAGTTTATCAATTGTAACGGTTCTACTCTACCATCCGAAGTTGCAGGTAATACTTTATATTCATGATAAACAGCATCATTTTCTCTCTGGGCCAACATTTGTAGGTACTAATATAGTATTCACGTCGACTGAAGCATAGTTCCAACGGAGAGGTATTGAAGTTATTAGTCGAACATTGAAAGTTGAAACTCCGGAGTCAATGCAAGAAGTGCGTCCCTCAAAACTAAAAATTCAAAACTCAAAACCCAACATTGAAATAAAGAAATAAACTGATGTCTCATGTTCTCTTTTTTTTTCGCCCAGAATGCACGAGCTTGAAATCCGGTGCGTTTGGCAGTGTGGATAACCCGGGCTACTGTTATTACATGAGCGGCAATCAGATGACCTGGGAACAAGCTGTACAAAGCTGCCAGGCTCTTGGCTGGGAGCTGATCGACATTGAGAATGCTCTAGAGAATGAAATATTGGCGGCAAGATTCAGAGATTTCTGGCCGTAAGTAGATGAACAGTTGATCTTTAAAAAAAAAATGCCCTGCTCGGATTTTTGACCCAAATTGGGTTAAGCTTCAAAAATAAACTTTCGAAAAACTCTTCAGCATTCGTATATGCTAAGTCCTTAACCATTTAGTTCCAGATTAAAATAAAGGTAGGTTACATTTTGGCTGTTGTGATTAAAAAAACAAAACAAAGATAGACACTCAGGCGAAATAAACTGATTGATTGTCTTTAATTCGTCTCAATTATTGACAGCACAAAACGGTACTACTGGGTGGGACAGAACGACAGAGCGACGGAGGGAGTCTGGCAATACTCCTCGAACAGCACGCCCGTAGCCTTCGCTGGGGTGTACCTAAACTGGGAAGATGGCCAGCCCAACGATGTTGACCATACCCAAAACTGCATCATGATGGACAAAACGGGCCAATGGGAGGACAAATCCTGCACCAGTTATTACTACGTTACCTGTAAGAAACGGGTCGGTAAGTACATATATAGAGAGAGAAAAGCAAAGTCTGCTTGCAAGTCTTGCGCAAGATCTGCCGAAGCGGCATAGGCCATTTCCCCCTGGTATCTGACTTATTAAAAAAAGGCTAGATAAGATATAAACAAGTGATACAAAAATAAACGTGGAGATTAGGTGGAAAGCAACGCCTTTTTAGACAATATTATGTGTACACCTATTTACGGCATATTCTTTTCCAACATTACCACCATCATTTATTTGATCGGCAGCCCTATAGGCCAGTTTCGGTATTGAATTAAATGTGTCATTGCAAGTACAGTCTGTTTCGAAAAACAACAACGACTAAAAAAACATTTGGAATAAAGTATTTCGTTACAGGTTGTACACCGTGATGACACCCAGTGCATGCAATCGTAGTCCTATTTCTTATGGTAGTTCTTCATGAAAGGCGACCTTGCCCTTAACCTGACACGTGACAGTGTGGTTTTAATTGGTTTGCTTTCTTAATTAACTGGGTGCCTAAAATAATCCAGTTCCGTCAGACTTCGCATTTTCTTGCATCGAATTTCGATAAAATTCGTTGGTGCCATTTTGCTGATTACCATCTGTTTTTCCCAGTTGTACCATCTTCAATCGATTGTTTTTGGTATCCTTGCTGTCACAAAACGCAACACAGCTTTTAGTAAGGACAATAAATCTGATTTTTTTTTCAAACCATCTCTGTTAATATTAATCAAAACACAGACACTTTATTGTTAAGTGCAAATCCATTTAAAAGAAATACCTCAAGCACTTTGAGGTAGCGTATTCATGCGCGCAAAACGGATACACATTGTGCAGTACTTTTAGTCCACTGCGACGCCACTCCATTTTGATGACGTATCAATCGATATTTTATGCAACCATGGTAATGGGGTCTTCGTGCAAGCGGACGCGGAGTGCACTTGAGTTGGTTAATTTTTACTTCATCGCAGACAACTCCGGTACCTCACGATTCCACTGCCATAAGCAAAATGTACCAGCACTGTTCCACAATGTGTGCAGTTTTCGAAACTGTTATCGCTTGTGTTTTCTTGCATATTACAGGACAGATACCGACAACCACCGCTGCCTGGACTGATCGTGAGTGGATTGTTTTCATGATATAATTGTTTTGTTTTTTTCTTTCCAGAGTCGCCTTGTTAATTAACAGAACTTTTCTTTCGCGTCTGAAGAACTAACATGTTTTGGGTCTGATTTCGCCGTGAGGTTTCTGCTGATGTCTTGCGCACATGTGTACACCCTTGTCAATAAAATCAGACTCTCTTTTCTCGCAAATTTTCAAATTTTCGAAAGCAAGGTAGCGCTAACATGATAACTTTTAATTGATTGTTAAATACATGCGTGTTTTAAGTGTGCGCATTCATCGGCTGAATGGTGGTATAGTAAGGCAGTAATAAAAAAAAAATTGCATGCAAACAAAAGATGTCTTCAAAAGATGGCTTGCATCCAAGCTTAATATCACTGTCTTTTGCATTGTTGCTTTTCAGAAGAGAATGTGGCTTTACAGTGTGAAATCTATCGCTTGCAGCGTGAAGATTCCATCTTGGTTTTTACTTTATCACTTTCTGTTTTCAGTTACGTAATTAAATTTAAAAAATACTTATGTTTGGATATGACAATTATAGCCCATGGGTTTGATTTGACTCGAATCATCATGGATCATGATTGGTGGTATATGGTGTATTAGGTTGTAGACTGTAGTAATGATAACTTTATTGTGTATACGTACAGTCCAATTCACAGACAATCAAAGACTGAGGTAGAAAATCCGTTCCGTACTTACCTGATAATTTTCGCAGGTAAACACATCATCGTAAATACCTGAGAGAAGACAATAGTAAAAACATTTTTCTTTCGTCTGTCACCACCGCTGAAGCGTGCCCGAAGTATCAGGAAAGTGCATTTGGGGACGAGGCCAATCCGGGCGTGTGTTATATCCTGACCAACGAAAAGAACACATGGGAGGAAGCACAGAAGGTGTGTGACGGATTTGGATCGGGATGGCAAGTCCCTGATATCGAAGATGATGCTGATCTTCTGGCCCTGGTGACAATGAACAGCCGTTCGTTCCGGTAAGATCATTAAAATGATCTCTCGTTGTCCCTTAATTGTAGCATATCCCCGGTCAGTCCTTTGATTTCAGTATTGTTTGGCATTTCGTATTGCATCATGAGGAACTGGATTTAAAACGAAAAATCTAAGTAAACATTTGTTGTTGTCCTCTCCATTGAAATCTCGTGAAAACATTCACTGCTCGTGAAAAATGCCTCCAGGCAACGTTTATTTTTAAGTTCAAAATCATTAAAGACAAATGTAGAGATTCAACGCTTATCGTGCATTCGTTTAGTTTGTAGAATATCAATGTGATTTGCTATAGGGCCTTTAGCCTATAAGCATTGGTCTTTAGCTGCTAAAAGATGGTGTTCAGAGCGTCAACTCTTAGTATTTCGTTTATTACTGTTAACTGACTTTTACTGTAAATCGAAACCAAAATTCAGCTTCCAATTAAAAAGAAACGTATCATCTCAGAGTGATCCCGGTATGTAATCATTACCAGCATTGCTTTACCGCTGGCATCATGATTTCAGGTGTGATCTTCTACGTGTGATACTTTGTACGTGTTTGAACCAAGGTCACAGCTATTTAAGTCTTATTTTTACTCCAAAATGTTGCGTATAGAAATAATTCCATGTCCAAATTTGGTTATTTTCTCAGTTCCAATGATGGTTATTGGATCGGCCTGAACGATGCAGCCACGGAAGGCACCTGGGTCTACCTGGACACCTCGATACCGGGCCCCGCGTACGAACGCTGGGATTCCTCGGGGAACAACCAACCCGATGGCGGTGTCAGCGAAAACTGCGCCGTCTTTCAAGAAAGCCGAGATGGAAAATTCAAGGATGTTCCCTGCGGATCCGAATCTTTCTTTGTGGCATGCAAGAACAGTAAGAAACTGCCTTTTCTTTTGGTGTGTGTGATGACTCAAACAGTTCATGATATGGTGTCCAAAATATATTTATGGTTGGTTATTAAGCTGAAATAATCATAGGAGTTTTGTTTTTGATTTAACAATGGTCCATTTTGGCCGTTGCGTACCATACGTCTTTGCTTTGTATGTATGCCTTTATACGCAACGGACAAAAAGTACTGAAAATGCGTTTATGGAAAGGCGGCTTTAGATTTTGAAAGAAATCTGTTATGGTTTATTTAATCAACGTGTGATTTACATCGAACCACTTACGGCGTACGGACACACTGATGAAAAGCATATAATCTTAACAAAAATATCAGAAATAAATCTTCTATATTATGTTTCTCTCAGGAAACGCCTATGACGTCAGTAGCACAGTTACAACACACGAACCTACGACCGATGCCACCACGACCCAATCTCAAACAACAGAGGGCGCCACAACCCAATCTCAAACAACAATGGGCGCCACGACCCAATCGCAAACAACAGAGGGCCTCACGACCCCACCATCGATAGGTACGATCAGAGCCTCAAAGACGGTTGATAAAAAAAAAAAAAATTTACATCCTCAGTTCCGATGGGCTTAAAGGAAATTGGCAATTGTCCCGTTCTCTGGACACCAAACGGATGCTATTAAAGGCAGTGATAATTTATTATTGTACATGCCCAGTGGTTGGTTGTTACTTGACATTTGAAACTACACATTTCTAATGTTAATTTTACCCTCCATCTGCAGGTACCACTCAACTCCCCACAACAGTGGCCACGACTCGGCAACAAACGACAGAGAGCGCTACCACTGGCCAGCCGATAGGTTGGGGCCACGGCTTCACTCCACTATTAGTAGCATGCAATAAATGATGTTGCAGTTGATTTATTTTGGCTTACGGTGTTTTTATGGGTCAAGGGACTGGTTTGTCCCTTGAAATATTTGGTATAAACACTAGGCACTATTATTGAACACTATTGATATCCCAGTTATTACAATGGATGAAATGGTGTTGTTCCTTAGCCTATATACTGTGTCTGTGAATTGGGCTGTAAAAAAGCTTGTAAGTTTTCATTACTGTATTCTGTAGCACCAGTATACCATCAAACAACTAAAACCAGGTTTTATCCCAATCGAACGGAGCATTTACAAATTTAAACTGCGTCCTTTGAATTGCAACTTATACTAACGCGCTTAGGCAATAGGGTGTATGCAAAAGTCAACTGTTTATCGCCACTTTGCGTATAATAAAATGTGGCGTTTTCACAGAAGCGGTAGGTGTAAGAATTCTTTATGTGAGGTGTCAAATTGTGCAAAAGACATCAGGAAAAACAGGTAAGGATCGGCACAAAAATAAATGCATGGCGGCGATATATGAAAGAACATTGTTTGAGGGAGATTATAAAATGGATATTTCAGGGTCAAAGTGATTAAGCGACGGTAGGTTTAAAAACTGTATTATAATAATACAATATACAAGGAAACAAACGTTGCATGATAAAGAAAACTGGCAGCCATCTTGAAAGCTGTCCAGATCCAACGACCTTTATATTGTTTCAATTACTCAAATGTACTTCCACAAAAAAAGAATAAAAACGGGATATTTCTTCATATTTGATTGTTTACATCTTTACCATCCAATTACAGATACCACTGAACAGCCAACAACAAAAGTAACTACCCGGCAACAAACGACAGAGGGCGCTACCACCGAACAGCCATCTGGTATTATGAGCTAATATGTTTCCATGCATAGTCAAACAGTACAAGTACACAGAAATGACGATAACATTTGAGCTTTGACATTGAGTTTAATCAATTCAGAAGTATATAACAATAACTAGAGATCTATGCCACTCTGTTTGATTCTGAGTGAGTGATAAATCCGCGAAAAAAATTTAGAAATAGAAACGGGAAATGTTTTTCTCATTTGATTGCTTATATCTCTATCATCCAACTACAGATACCACTGAACAACCAACAACAGAAGCCACTACCCCGCAACAAACGACTGAGGGCGCTACAACCGAACAGCCAACAGGTACAAGCCAATTTTCCGCGCACCATTCAATATTTAAACGTACAAAAAATGAGGATAACATTTGAGTTTTGACCTAGAGTTAAAAAAATTAAGCTGAGAGGTGTGGAACAATACATATTTTGACAGGTAGGTTTTAATAGTGTAATTTCATCCTCTTATGAAATCATTATGGTTTCAGATTCATCTCCGATAACAGGATCCGGTCGGTTCGTCTTCAAGTCCGCGGACGCCACGTGCAGCAGTGCGACCGCCCTCCACACCTCATCTGCCAGAGACCGATTCCACTGCGCGCGCAAGTGTCTGATCCAGGGTAACTGCCGCAGCTTCTCCTTCGCGGCCTCTGGGGAGGAGGACGCGTGCGAGCTGTGCAGCGAAGTCCTGGACGCCGACAATTTGCAGCGCAAAATCGGAAGCGTGTATTACTTTGAATCAAAGTAGAGCTTTGTTTTTGTTGTTGTTGTTGCTCCTGTGCAAAACAATTAAATCTGGCAGGATGACCATCATCTGTATTATAAATATATATTTTTCAAAATCATTTGGCTTTTTGATGGTGAATATGCTTTTTTTGTGAATAAAAATACACTGATGTGACCAACAAAAAAGCCCGCGAAATTAAGCAATAGCCTATGACCTCAGTGGCTTTTGAAGACCAGGTTTTTTCTCCATTTGTTGCCCTGTACATGCATTGCCTTTAAAACCTACCGGTAGTTATAAATTACCCCGATGCATGTAACGCAACACGAATAAAATTCAAATTTGCAAAAAGTCTCCCGGTTTAATTTCAAATAAGCCTGGTTTTAATATCCGCCTTGCACAACTTCTTGTTCTTCTTGCTCTTTGCAAAGTTTTAGATGTAGCAAATAATCATTATCCACTGAGCTATGTATCAAATGCCACGCATAATCAAGGCTTAGCTCAATCATTAAGGTTGGCATCCTTGCTATGTACAAGTCATTCGTCTTTGAATGGACGTCAAAGTCTGGCTACCAGACTTTTTTCTGCAATCCTGGAGTGTTTGAATTCTTTAAATGGTCTGGCTGCTGAGACGCCATTTTATTGAGACCGGGCCACACACTGTGCCATTATAACCGTCAATGGCATAGTGAAAGAAAGACAACCGACAGGTCAAATCTCTTGAGGACGAGTAAAATTAAGGTGAGCCAAAAATATAAGAAGGGACTATACATGGTCGATCTATAGACGAGATTAAGAGTATACCTCTATTTAATATTATTTTAAGTCTATATTTTCTTTGAATTTGCGCTGAATTTGTGTTGGTAGTCAAGATGGCTGCCATTCATTCAATCGAGTTTTTTTTGGTTTTAACGATATGTGGTTTGATCTTTGAAGAGTAGAACATGAGAAAAGGTGAACCCATGTTCACTGAAACTCACAAATGTTAGCTCTAAGCCATCAAGGCCAAACTTTAACATAACCAGCCGTTAAGGCGCATCCGTCTTTATAGATCAAATGTATATGTCTTCACTATCAAATGTGGTGTCATGGGCGTCGCGAGGGGGGGGGGCAAGGGGGGGCACTTGCCCCCCCCCCCTGGAAAAGCAAAAAAAAAAAAAAAAAAAAAGGAAGAAAAAAAAAGGGAAAAAAGAAAAGAAAAAGAGGCGCGAAGACAAAGTGGTGTAAATTTAATGAGTTGGGGGGGGGGGGGGCAAAATGTCCCTGCCCCCCTCTAAAACTGATAAATCGAGAATGTGTTGAGAAATACAAGCATTTTTTGGCAAAAAAAATTGTTGCCCCCCTCTAGAAAAAATCCTGGCGACGCCTATGTGTGGTGTGTTTCACAATGGTTTGCCCTTTGGTGGATGCATGGTGAAGCGATGCATACATAATGCACACGATACATTGTATTTCGGAGGAGTCTCGAGATGTCCGGCACGTGATTTATTTTCCAGCACACTGGACACAAAATGGCGACGTGCACATGCAAACAACTACACCTGACTCCGCCTTTGTCTCTGTATGCACTTGATAATAACTTAATCAAAACACTTACTTGGATTTTACAATCATGATAATAATATTGACATTACCAGCAAGGCGCTATACTGCATTACGCCACTCTTTGTCAGATATCAAACACTGAACGTTTCGGAAATCAGCTTCAATGATTTTATTTCAGATGACATACATTTGTTGATTTTAATTGTTAAAAATTACAAATGCCCCACTCAAAAAAAATTCAATAATATTAATAAAATAAAAGAAATTAAAAAACAAAAAAACAAAACAAAAAAACAAGAGAAGGATTTTTTTACTCAAAGATGTTAGCGACCTAGTTTATATGTATCAGAAGTACTGTATACTTATGTATCTATTTTGTGCGTTAAACATGAAGTAATTTTTAGAAATATTTATAAAGAAACGTTTTATATTTGTTGTAGTAAACATGCAAAACATTTACATCAGTATAAGGGTTGTGCTTGCTAAAAGATTTATCGTGGAGTGCGAGTTTCATTATTTCTATCGCGACGACATGAACAGTTATCTAATAAATTACTACCTCAAAAGCGGCTCGTTCCGATGAAAACACGGAAACATTTTTTGAGGGACGAAAAACGATCATCAATCACGACACAAAGCAGCAACACCCGACTGCGTCCAAGTTCATGGCTGCTTAAAGTACGATTTTTTGCTATGCTAACAGGAACGCAACAAACGGGTGAATGTGTACATGAAGCAAAAGTCGTTTTTGTTCAGATGATGAGCCACAATTTCGTGAGATGGATTAAAACAAAATGTTTCATTCGGTATTTTTTCCGAGCACGCTACTTTTTTTTAAAGTACATTGTGTAATATTTTGTTGCTTAACTTTTTTCTGCTTGATGCCCCCACGAAGTTGTCTTCGTGGTATCCTCACAGTTTCAAGAGTCTACAGCCAGTCAAAATGTTGGCCTTCGAAGAAATATTTCGCACAGCAAAATCTCTGGAATTTAGCAGGACCATGAAATTGGATCCGACCAGCCAATTTTATATGATCGTGTTCAATTATTTTAATATAGTATTTTTTCAGCTATCTATTGCACAAACTTATTTTAATTATTGATTGTATATTAGATATTTTCAAATTGTGATGTAAAGGCATAATAAACAAAATGATGGAATATAATTATGCTAATGACTGTGTGACAGAATGCGTGAGTTTTAGATTTAACGATTTCAGATTAACAATAGGCCTACATGTATAAGCAATCGGTCGTCAACCAGCGAAACTGTCTCCCTCGTTGTCGAACGTAGTTTGGGCGAAAGGCACATCAATTTGGAAAGATCTTTGAGAGACTGAGAACTTTCTTTCGTAACTTGCTCTTCCAGACACCAACTCTTCCAGGAGGAAAGACGTCAATTATAAAACATCACGCCGATTTATATTCTTGAAATTCCCCCACGGAACATCCAACCATTCAAGTACTTAACCGCGCTATGTAGATTAAGTAATCGTCCATATTGAACAAGAGGATGACGTCAGCTAGGGAAGCTCTCATGAAAATGCATTGGGGCATTCCCCAACATGCAGTTTCACAATCCCAGCCCTGTGCAGCTTCTTCAGATACACGAACTCGTCCGGCAGCTCGTGGAACCGCTTGTAGCCGTAGTCGAACTTTTTGCCCACCCGATCGGGGGCGTGGTCGTAGTGGTAAGGGATGGGCTTGCCGTTGAATTCTGGGAAGGGGTAGAAACCGTACATGTGGATCTCGTCACAGAGGGCGCTCGCCATGTTGTACATCAGGAGGCCCGTGCTGATGCGCTCTTCGTCGACACCTTTCGATGCCCAATAACTGGGAAAAGAAGAAGAACGAACTGTTACTGTGTCGTTCCTTTTAGGTACTGAAGACCTATCTTAGTACTCCAACCTTTATAACCGTCCTTAATCTGTTTAGACAGCAAACAGGTGCGAGCTCTTCAACTATTTTGCAGTGACTCCTGATTCGTCATACACTAACAAGTTTAAGATCAAGGAAGTCGTTTTTCGTCACTGATTACGGCTGCAATACCCGTAATTGATTGGTACAATTGGGCAGCTGTCTTTTACACGTGCTGATCACTTCCTTTTGGAAAAACGATCAAGTACAACATTGTGAACTGTACTTTTTGGGAGTCTCAAAGACTTTCTGGCTCTTAAATGACAGAATTTGAGTGTTGCGAATGGCACCGGATTATGGTCTGTCCTGCAATCTACCATCTTCACATTATCTGATTCAAGTCAAATTGATTTTGAAGAGATTTCAGTTGATTAGAACCAAATGATGTACCTCTGTGGTGAATTGGCATTTAAGGCCTACAATACTATTACTTTCTCTTCATTACCAGTAAGGTAACAACAAAAATTTCATCCTATTAAATTGCATAATATTGTATAACCTGAATACATTTTCTATTTTACGTACTCTGATATATCTGGAAGTACGTTGCCTGGAAACGCAAGCTGCACGTTCTTGATAAACCCAAGATGTTTGTCGAAAAAATCCAACAAAGTTCTCAGTGCAACCGTGACGTATTGACGGTTGAAAACTGGTACCCACAAGACGTATCGTTCACGGTAGTTCTTTAGGTCACCCGCGAACCTCGCCCCATCTGCCTTGGTGGACAGTTTGTTGTATTTTTCTATGATGCTGGGGTTAAAGGTCACGACATCGGTGTGGGTCCCCACGTCCTTCTCGTAGCCTTTCAGCGTGGCAAAATTGCACCTGACTACGAAATCGGATGAGTCTATCTGGCTGCCACAGCTGCTGTTGCGAAGAACGCCACTGTTGCCGACCAGAGAACACTTCTTGTAGTGCTGGTTGCGAAATAGCAATTTCTTAGGCAGCAGTCGGTGAAGCCCCGGGGGAACGAGGTTGACACTCAGTTTCTTGGAGAGGTAAAAGCGCCGCAGCCGTCCAGTGGCGACGTCATCCGATGTCATGGTGATGACGTCATAAGGGTTGAAGTACTGTCTCATGTCTTTTCTGGAAGAAAATCGAAAATTTCGATATCTGTAACCATTTTTGTATTAAAATGAAAAAGGGTAATTTACTCTACTTTTCACTGCTCTGCTCTTGATGTCTTAAAACTTTCAAACAAAGAGAACTAAGCAGAGGGCGCTCTGACACAGTCGCAACAGTTTCGTATTCAAACAGATAAAATACTCTGGGGAAAAATAAACAAGCCTTACACATGCACGACCTTCACTTTTCACCTTCCCCCAATAATTCAAAACATGTCCGCAGGAGTGTCGCATAAACTGATTGATTTGACGAGTTACGCAAAGGTAAATCCTCGGACATCCCCCCTGGATTAAAGGTGATTCTGGTTGGAACGCAGTTCTAATACATGTTGACAGCTGCACTTACATTTTGTTTGCACGGGAAAGTGGCGAGATCAGGTTATGTCATTATGCACGTCGTCCCCAATACGAGCATAGCGCGGGCTCCCCGTAGTGCTCATGGATTACCTGTGACGTTAGAAACTTAGGTTGACGTCACAAGTATTTCTTTACTTGCACATACTGTATACTTTAAAAGACTTGGAATGCAACTTTGTCCCCACATCCACATGCTCAGATCGCGTTGCGGATGGTCATGAATGACACTTGGCCTGAATTTCGATCTTAGGAAATCGAACTCCAGGGAGTCACACACTCGGTGATAAATCGATTAATTGGATGGTGTTTGTTGCCTTTCAGTTTTAAACTGATCTATTCGGCATGGAATTAATCTTATTTACCTGGCTTCTTCCGCAGCCTCTTGATTAAAAGACCACTTGCGATTCAAGATGGCGTCCAGCCTCGCTTTGGCCGAATCGCTTTCAGGCTCATCGTCCTCCCCCTCCGACCTGCATTCATGATAGAAAGATGGAGATCGATTATTCTTCACAATGCCTATAAACCTAACAATCCCTTTGGAACTTTGATGAACGCAAAAGGGAACCTCACACTAAAACAAAATGAACCTTTAGTTCACGTCCACGTCCATTAACTTGCAAACTTTGATATACCATATTACGGAGCCCCATTTAGTCAATTCTTGGCAGCCTCAATTAGGCCCTATTTTAAATGGACAAACCGTTTTTAACTGCATTATCAGGTCAGCTCCTTTGAGACCAAAGACTAGCTGCAAAATTATTTGGAGCAAGGTCGTCCAGATAAGTGCCTTTAACTGCAGTTTAACGGAATCACAATCAAAATGTCATTCCACAAGAATCTTCGGCAGAACTTGAAATACCATGGACCTATATGTAAATGATGCTAGGCTAATGCTGGCAAATATGCGGCAGTAGGACAGACCTTTTTACTCATTTATTTTTGAAGAAAGTGCAAATGATGGAACGGTAAACAAATCGTGCATGTCAGTCACGCCAATTTTACCAAGCGATGACGGAGGGAATTCGATGGAACTTGCCGTCCATTTGAAGCCATTATAGTGCCGGTTGGCTGTGAGGGTTTCGACACGGAATAGAACAAAATAACGCGGGAAGGCCAGCGGAAAACGCATTGCAGTGTGATCTTCACGGTTCGCCTAAAGAGCGGCAATTTCTCCGGACGATGACACAAGTCCCACCAGCTGGCCAAATGTGCCGTTTTGTTCCCGCGTAAAACACAGAACTGGAGACGCTGGCCACTTTTTTTTGATTGCGCGAATCTCGCAAGTATCGATAGTTACCTCTGTCTGTTACTATTTTCGTATCTTATCAATCGTCCTTAATCGAATAATTGGCCATAAACGAGAGTGCGTGTTTCACAAAATGATAACAATCTTCCAATTGACACGTACCTATTAACTGTGGTCTTTTCACCGGGATTTATTGAAATTGGACAGGATCATAAACACGCGTGGAACCAGGGTGGAACATAATATGCAATTTCCTCTTCGCTGTTACCGGCACCTTCACAAGCCGTTGATTTCCATGTGTCAATCACCACAAAAGTCACGGTGGAGTGGTAAGACGTCTGCACTAGTGAGCAGTAGGTCGTGGGTTCCGGTCCCACCCCAGTGATATTTAAGCCCTGGCATGAGCTTCTACATGTCACTTGGGTGGTCCGTCGGTCAGTCTGTCTCCGGAAATTGGCCAAAATAAGGCACCATAAATTTCCCACAAAATATAACTACCAAATTTTAATTTAAAAAAAAAAGCAAACAAAATATATTAAAATACAAAAATTGTTTGTAACAATTGGGAAAGATGTTTATGAAAAGTTTGTAAATGGAGGCAAAACATGTGCAGTAATGTTATAGTCACGTGGTATATATCAAAAATCGCTATAAAGTATGGTGTTCCATATGTGCCATCGGCGTCGCCTTTTTGGGCGTCGTATAGTTTATAACAAGACGTCATTTTAGGGCACACCCATCAATATTGGACCTTTTTTAGGTTTCACTTTTTCTTGGTTGCCCATTTCTAGAATTTGCCAAATTTTCCAGAAAGTCATACAACGATTACACCAGAAACTGATGTTCGAATTCTTTTTAGGATAAGTTAAGTGCTTTGTTAATAACGACAGAAAGCTTTACTGAATATGATATCATACTGATCATTATTATGGTAGTAATCGGCCCTTTTTTTCATGCTTATTCTGGAAACCTCCTTAGCACACAAAGGTTGAATTAACCAGACCAAATTCATTGATGTATATTAGAACACTGTGACTTAATATAGGTCGATTTTCGCTTAGCACATACATTGTCCAAGTCTAAGCATTTTCCCCTATAGATACGGAACCAAGCGATATGTCTCCGGGCAGTGAACTCGCTATAAGTTGTCGTCGGTGCGAATTGCCACACATTGATAAGCTTCTTAACAACTCCTTGACAAGTTGTAGCAAATTGAAGCTGGCATTTGAGTTATACCCCCGCTTGGTCAGGACCCGCTGGAACCGTCACTCGCTTGGCTTTGAAGCTGACCGCCAATCTAATAGTAATGCCTCGATTGGGTGGTGACCTGGCGACCCGCTGCGAAATTGGCGGGGAAAGGCTGCGACAAGAAGGTGTTTTCTTTCAAAACAAAAAAGGTTGGACAGTAACTTGATGAAAATATGTCCTCGCTGGTGAATAACCTACCAATTCCGACTGCCTCTATCACCAATGAGGATCTATGTGGACGAGCTACATCCATACTTTGTTCGAATATTTGATGATGGCATTTTTGGCGAACATTTCGTTTGATAAAGGCCGCCTCTACTAGGAATAAAAACCTCCCTGGCAGCATATTCTACCTCCATACGTGCAGTAATGCTCTTCACAACTGTTGTCCGAAGCCGACAACTTGAGCACATCATTCTTACCTCACTAAATGATTGACATTACGTGTGTGGTTTCCCACACTCGTCAGGGCTGTGGTACGATCGTACGACATGGGATTTGGCCCTGGGGGCGCCCTCGTGTCAAAGGTCATCTAGGTTGCAAGGTGGTGACGTCGAGGTCAATTTCGTATAAGTGCTGTATATACATTCCTGACAAAACCTTGCCCTTAGGATATGAACGATGTTCAGTGACAGAGACTGAGCACACCAACAGATATGGTCTCAAAACTAGTAGCCTACAGGACAGCATTTCTCTCTACTGGAATGCTTAATTGTTCTCAAGGTAATCAACATTTGATAGAATTCAGTCTCCAGAATGCAGTTCAACTAAAAGCTTGAAATCTAGCAATCTGAACAGATTTCTAGTCTCTTCGGACTTCGGTGTCAAGTTTTATTCGATTTTTTTTTGATTGAATCACATTATTCAATTGCATTTGGTCTCCCAGGTCAAAGGCATTAGTTAGGCATTAGAATTTGAGACGAGGATCAATCGAAATATCAATCTTGACGAATGAGAGGGACAGTGGATGTGTGTCAACTAATCAAGATCGCTACGGTCTTTACCTTTGCATTCAGTATCGGATGACCTTACGCTTATTAAATGTCACTCTTTGACGTATGCGCTGGCTTCGAACGTAAAATTGTCCTCGAATACATATTAACATTCTTTTGATTCTGCTGCGGTCCTTATCTTAATATGTTAACAACATCAGCGAAGATAATTTTACGTCACAAGTGCATTTTTCGGCATCTGTCTAGAAGGGCCTTGATCTTTTACAGATGGTATTGTTTTCTTCTCGAAAACTTCACTGGCAACAACTGCATTGTGGTATAATTAATTAGTGTCGGTAACAGACAGGTCCTTTCGACGTAAAAGCTTATCCAAACGTACTGTGCTTAATGTAGTCAGGGAACTTGACGTTTGACGAGATTTGTAATAAGAAAAAAAAAACCTCAAAATATTTTTATTCTATTCGAAGCTTCAACAATTTGAAACCCTCGGATACTATTGACATGAGTTTTGTTATGATCTGAACAAAATGGCATTTTCAGGTGGTAGTGATTCCCCGACGAGCATTTCTGTAAGATTATTTTTTTGGAAGAAAAACAATGGTATATAATTTAATTTCACGATTGGGTTTTAATGGAAGCAAGGATTATCCGAAGATTCGGAAGTAATCCGTCATACGATTGATTGGGATCCTAGCCGAATAGGAAGCAATAAAAGAAAAAAAACTGTGGAAGATGATGAATGTTATATCGAACGGCAATGTCAATCGAAACTGTCACTTGAAACTTCTGCAGAAATCAGGCCGAGCATCGCATCCATTCCGCCGGCCGGAACGAGGGTTTCATGCTTAACACCGTGTGAAAACAACTAAGACCCACCTGGGAAAATGACACATGGGAGAAAAAAAGGGCAAACTCTTCCTCATTTTTGTCCAGAGGAAATTAGATTTAGCCGATTTCCACCTGTTTGGTTGCCTAGCAACACAAATATGTGCGCAGTGCCCTCGCAGAACGCGCGTTATTTGATACTCTTTAGACAAACCCTTAAAAAGTTTTCGAAAAAGTTATCCCAAGGAACTGCTAAAAAACTGCACATTATGTTCGGATAGAATCGTCGTTTTTCTTGACGATGTATTCTTTTTACCCCCTTGACAATTATGGTTGATTGAAAACCCTGTGTTGTGAAAGCAAACAGTCGGTAAAGTTATCGTCTGAATCAAGTCTTATCCATAATTAAGGCCTAGAGTTGTGCCGTATCTGTGTGCGACTCGGGAAAGCCATAGTCACTATGTAATTTCCGACAGGAAAGCGGCAGCCTAAGTGAATTACTTCGACTCGGCAAAGAAAACCCGAACAGTTTTGCAGACGGAAACACCCACAACATTAAGTGCTGGGGAGTCGATGCCCATTCACAGACGGCCACGTGGGAATACTCATGACGATGAACTTGTATTCCTCGAAAAAAAACCCGTCACACAGTTCCCTTTTCATGATAGCACACGAAATGCACGCAACAACATCTTTCTCCTAATGACATTTGACCACATCGCGTTTATAGGTCACATGTCAAAAACGTTACTGTTTTCGAGGACATCTGGAAAGAATGAAAGTTTTCTCAGTAATTGACAGCCCATTATGACCCATTTTGACATAATATACGCACATGACTTAACTGTGTCGAGTGGGCCATAAATCTATAGAAAGCTTGATATGTAAAGAGCTTATTATGCACCTTGCATATTTTCAATGCTCACACGAAAACAAGTAAGTGCCTTCTATTTTTTTTCTTCTTACAAAAAAAAGCGCTATAGGAAACTCATATGGAATTGTTCTATTACGAAATGATTTTGTCCACATCAGTTTCACATCGATAACCGGTAGATTAATTACCCAAGAAGTAATCTGAGTCATTTCTGTTTTAAATAAAATACTGCCTTCAAAAAACACATTAATCGCAGTACACTTTACGAAGTCCTTTCAGTGCATGAAGCCGCGAAAATTAATTGTTTTGGAAATTAAAGCTCGATCTTGAGAGAAGTATCGCTATTATCCTCACCCTTAGAAATTGGGGGAACACAAAGATTTTTTTCAAAGAAATCGTAAACAATCCTTTTATCTATATAAAAAAACTGCTCACCACTTTACATTCAATTCCACAATGTGTTACTTTGTACAAACACAAAAAGCTCAGTACAAGAAGTCAGGTTCTCATGACTATGTTTGCCAAGTTCCCATAGTGATCTATACCACGCCCTCAGGGAACATGACAACTAACAGGTGTGTGGTTTAGGAGTAGAATCCTTAGCCGATACAACTGGCCATAAATTTGACACACTTCACTTCTGTTGACAGGAGTCAAGCGAGGACAAGTGAGTGACACGAACTTGACCGTCAACCCCCGAGCGATGGATCATGAAACAGCTGTTGCATTTTGGCACGTATGGACATGCCCTCGTACAGCATAACATTAAAACAGTAAGTAGCTGTTTCATAGTTTAATTAAATTCAACTGAATCTAGTGTTAAAATGAGTTCCGACTTCGTACGACTTTTCAATTTGTTACATTCCCTCAAGTATGAAAAAGCCGTCTGTCACTCATCGTTAGAAGAATTTGGAACAAATGACTTTTATTTGCTCTATGTTTATACTCGGTATTTGGAGAACCCATCTTGCTAAATTGGGAGATCACCCAGGTAATTGCTAAATATGGCAGAGATATACCGCCAGACATCGCTTCGGATAATTGTATAACTTCCTGAGATGTAAGTTTACAGACTCAAGAAAACGCTTTTTTGCGGTCATTTGATGCGCATTTATAGTCGCGCCCTTGAGACTTTTGAAATCAATGTCAGGTTTAGTTTCTGACGTTCACTCAACGGCCGTTGCATGCTACAGCAGATGCAGCAGGATGCAACATTGCAGGCAAGATATCAGTCACCGACATTTTCCAAACAAGTACATGTACAAGTGTTTTCCTCCATTGTTTTGTCGGTTGACCGGGGAACATCAGGTTAACCCAGTAAAAACACGGACACTCTCCGCCCGCGGCCATAATATCGCAGCAGACGAGACCCCGTGATGTTTTGATGAGTAATATGTTATGATTTATACCCCCGATGTTGACACGGTCGGACTCCGTATATCACAGAATCAGTTTCTGTCATATTGCTGGCATATTGTGACGTGAATTCGGCTGCCGTCCCGCGAGATGAGCCGAAAACCTTGGGGAGTTGCTTGGAGAGAAATTCAAGTGAAGAGCATCGACATCATGTGACGATGGAGAAAATGTACTTCTCGAAAGGCTGTTCAACTTTTACCCCAAGGGAAATGACGACTTGGCCTCGACAACTATAAGTATACGCTTAAGAACTTCAACTTGGGATGTGAAAATAAAAAGTAGATTTATTAAGGAGTGGGAACTTAGGTAAAGTATGGATGAGACTTGAATAAAACCAAAAAACCCCTAAAGACTAGTGTTCTTGAGCCAAAAGGTGAACTTTATTGAGGCTAAAAGGTAATTTGGGTGCATGTGGTTAAGGTGGGGTAAGGTAGGTTTGCATAAAGTATTATTTTCACTTTTTTCAGTGCAGTTTAGTAAGTGAAAGGTCCACGAACGGCGTTACTTGCTTTAGAAAACTTTAAATCTCCAATAAAATCAACACAGTACAGCTTATGTCAACTTGAAAAGGTTCTTCAAATCAAATGGTTGAAATCAGAAAACTTTGAGCTTTGCAAGGGTGAACGTCGACAACCCAACAAATAAGACTACACCACGCCCACAGACTCGAAGAAGAGTATATGTCCTGCCTGGGACAATTCCTGCACGGCGGTGCTGACAGCACGTAACAGATGGTACAATACTCATATACAGGAGTATTGACTTTGAAAACAAGGACATTCATGTTGAAATACCTGCGGCGTTCCATCAATCATTATTGTACCATGTCTCCATCCGTACGTCTGCAATAACAATCAAGCTCAGACTGAAAGATTATATGTGAAATTGTCTCTGTATTCCTCTAGAAAAAAACCCTAAGGCATTTAGTTTAAGAGGTATAGGCCTAGTCTGAAAGAAACGTGACCATAGCTTTGTACTGACGTTATGCATCTTTTGGCGTCGTTGTATTATGTCTAAGGTATATGAAAAAAAATAGATGGGCTT